TGGGAGGACACTTTCTTCAAATCCACAAGCTCCCTTTGAGCTTGGGTTTGATCAACGGCAAATTCGTCAACTTTTCCTTCCAGTTATCCGATGGAGTTTGCGCCCTAAAGCTGCGATTGCCTACCTACGACACAAATTCATGCAACCACCGCCGATTTGCCTCGCGAAGACGCTCAATATGTGCGAGACTCCCGCCTCACTAGTCTAAGAAAAATAACGAGACAAACCCCGAAATGGAATCAACTGATTCGAGGGGAGGGAGCGCGTCATGCCATCTTTGGATTACGTTCTGCGCGGCAGTGCCCTCTCGCACCAACGATTCCATCATGGCTACACGTCCGTCATTTGAGACCTGACATAGATAACGGCAGTTCTTCCGGACTTCCCGTATGAGTTTGGGACTAGAACGAATCTTCTCAACGGCAAGGTCCCAATCTTTCCTCACTGTGTTTCTGAGTTAGAGAACCTAGGCTGGTGGTACGTTTGAGGTATAGTTATGCGTATTTTTTAAACTTTGATAGCAGCAGCTGCTGCAACAGCAGGAGCAACAACAAATCAGACGCAAGACACATGGCAGTGCTAGCAGTGCAGCAGCCCGAAGCCCCATAGAATATCAGGCTGAAAGGTCCCATCAACGTTACTATCATCAAACCAAGCCAAGAAGCACAGGGGCGCCCTCCGTCATCTCGAAGAAGCTACACCGCGTGTGCCGACCACGCCAGAAACACCAAGTAGCATCTCCGTTGGTATCAGGTCGCATATTATACAATCAAACTGTTATGAACGTGCGACCCGAAAGCTAACGCCATGTCCTGAAAGCTTGGCTCCAAAAAGCCAAGCCCAGAAAACCCGATCAGAGTTTGATGGTCGTGTGGAGAGATGTAGCATTAGCTGATACTTTGAGTAGAACCAGTCTGTGTAGTATTGAATTTTAATACTAAGGTACATGTACCTTCGTCAACTAAAATACGAAGACAGCACAGGGCTTGCTTTCGTGCCGTCGTTGACACCGTTTTTGAGATCACCGAAGTGATGCTCATCTGAAACTAGGGTATGTGAAACTCCTCGGACCATCAGAGAACCCCACACGGCGACTTGACTACCTTACACCATGTCTTCGGCAGACGGACGCCGGCCGCCTCTAGAGTGGTGAGATGTCATTGCCTTACGGGGAACACCCAAACCTCGACCATCTCTACTCCTCGTATTGTATCTAGTCCTGCCAACCATATTTTCGGGACCAGAGACCTTTTTCCCACCCATCTTACCCCACGCGGCTTTACGGGTGGCTACAGCACCGCTGCCTATGATCTCAAGGTCGTAATCGAGAGGCAGCTTGCGGTGGAGGGGAATATGGTTGAAACGCCAATCCCAGACGGAGGCGTAGACCATCCTGTATGAAGAAAAGGCAAAGACGGTCCCAATGAGGGCGCCCGCCAAAACATCGTACCAGTTGTGGGATTGGTCGACCGTCAACGAGCCGCCAACCAGGGTGGCCAGAAGGATCGGGGCGTAGGTCAGAATGAGCTTCCACATGGGTGGGTGGTAGTTTGAAAAGACTTTTAGCTTGGCGTTGAGGTAGAGGTACAGGAAGACCATGCCGGAGAACATGGCGGTCGTGTGGCCTGAGGGAAACGATTCCATGGCGTTGGAAAGCGTGCCGTCCATTTCCCTGGTGCAGACATCCGACGTCCACATGATGCCTCCATAGCCCGTGCCGTCGAGGCCGGTCGCGTTACCGCCAGGCTGGGAGGCCTTTGTGATGTCGGGTTGGCAGACTTCCAGGAAATTGGGCCGCAGACCGCCGATGAGCCACTTGATCATGACTTGGAAGACGGTGGAACCGATGACAGAGTATAAGAGGCCCATGATGCCGTTGTTGATGTCCCAGAAGGAGCGCACCCGGATCTGGCACAGAAGGATTGAGAGGATGGGCACGCCGATGCCGAGGGCCGTGGCGGCGTGGCTGGGGATGTACTGAGGGATATGCGGGTAGGCGAATTGGGGGTAGACGATCTCGCCGTTGTCAAAGGTGACGGGGAATGTTCGATGAGCTGGCGGGTGTGCTCTGAAGACCTGGATAGGTGGTGTTAGTTTGATGCCAGAGGTACGAGTCTGAGATCAGAGTTGGCTGTAGTCTGCTCACCACCAGGGCAATGACTCCCATGATGATCATGGTGAGGATGTCCAGCCACGTCACCTTCAGCCATAGCATGAAGGGTGGCCGGTGGGCCATGCTGTATTCGTGGCCATGCCAGCGGTCGTTGACCTTTGTGTCTTCGCTGCTCTTGCGATGTGCCGGAAGGGTCGTGGTGTCTTGCCGGTGACGTGCGAAAGGATTGAAGCGGGCCATTCTTTGAAGCAAGCCGATGTGATTGTCGAAAATAAGTAGTCTAGGATCGAACTAAAGGCAGGAGGACGGCGGTGTGCCCGTCAAGTTGAGTTCTGGCAACGTCCAGGTCGTGATTTGGCGCGTTAGTCGGCTTCGTTACGTTTGATGAGAAAGAAAGACTTCTGTGTTGCGGGAGCAGTGAGTGAGGGAGTAACAAGGTAACATGCCAAGCGTGCTTTCTCGCCATCTTTGCCATGTTCATCATCTCCTTGGCAGCTACATCACCAGAACACGCACTACGTAGTGCCCGTGGTACCTGACCGAGAGACAACATACATGGAGAGCATTTGGTGAAAGAGTCCAGGCGTGACGACGCGCTGCCAAGCTCTGCCCCGGTGCCTCCTGACGTCACTCGGAATCCGTTGGTGCGACTCTCGAAGGCCAGCAGTGCAGCAGTCGGCTGGGCGTGGCGTTGGGGCTGGACGGCAGGGGTCAACTGCAGCAGTCGGACATTCGAAGCCACTCGGGGCCTGCCAAAGAGGCTTGGCTGATGCTGTCCTGTCCATCCACAGCAAAAAACCAGGCTCATGCTCTGACTTTGTAGGAATGGGAGGATGGATGGATATGTACTTATGAATGAGAGCCTTCCTCTAGGGCATCTCGTCACAGACTGGGCTATAAGTGCGCCAGAGGGCATGTACTGGTAAGAATGATGTGTTTCGGGATCTCCAATTGGTGTTGCGGGGATGTTGACCTTAAAATCTGAAAGGGTAACCGCCATACATTAAGCTCAAAGGCGGTGGAGGACCGCGCCGCTCTTGTTTTTACTCGAAATGCTTTTCTTCACAACCTTTAGAATCATCGCAAATTTGTTTCACAGCGCCGTTTCTGAGTTCTGACTTCAGACATCTCGCATAGACAGTCATGTACGCTGCATGTGCGTACAAACATAGTAGGGAGGAAAATCAGCACCTTCATGGACGCGAACTATGTCTTCTTCAGACCCTCTCTTCTCTCTTGAGACGCGTGATACGAGTTACAAACTAACCATACCGCACTGCTTGCGGTATTCGGCCTTGCGTGTGAGTTTTTCGAAAGACTCAAGTATGTAATGCTTTGGCTGGCTTCGCTCTGGCTGGCTTCATGTTTGCTCCGGGGTTTTCAAGTTTCAACTTCCACGGGGGATCCAAATTACTTTTATTCTTTCGGTCAAAGCTCATCGGGTACAGAAAACTTGGTGAATAATACATCTATACTTAGCCAAACATCGGGAAGATATCATTATTGTTCTGTCTCATGGAGTTGGCGTCTCGATTATTACTCTAATCATGGCAGAAGCATCTTCTTAAAGTTATATTTTTCAAGGACCACTTTCTACATTACATCCCATACGGCCTTGAAACGGGCAATGCCTGGCCGCCCCCTACGTTCATACTTTAATTACGGTAGTAACCCCTGTCCGATGGTAATACTTAGGCTTAGGGCCTGTATTCGTGGTCCGGCGAAAGTCTACGCTCCGCGACGATTTGCTTTCGCTTTTGTCGCAGTGACTTTCTTCGAAGGCGCGGGACGAGATCCTCTTCGAGCAGGGCCTTGAAACTCGGCAATGGCGCTACAGGAAACCATGTCTTTGGCTCATGGTTCGCCCACGCATCCTGCCACTGCTCAGGGGTCCAGGTATGGTGATCCTGAAAGATCCGCTCGACGTTCCACAACTCCCCGGGATCAAAGTTGCACTTCACAATCGAATTCCCTTCGACAACGTCAATCATGGCGCGGGGGAAACCCCTGTAAAAGTACCCAGTCTCGCGGCCGACTTGTATTGTGTGGAATACGATGGACCTTGTTAGGAACCACTCCGTTGCCGGGACGATGCCCCGGTCTACCGATTCGAACCAGGCCGCCTGCCACGCAACGTCTCGCTGGATCGTCCGCTGGAAGATCTCGGCGCATAGCTGAGGCACCGGCTGGCCATCGAGGACCAGCGCGAAGGACGCGGGCGGCATCCCCGCGGGAACGAGCGCCAAGGCTTCCATGATCCATTGCGACACATTGCTGGTGACCTGCTTGGCCTCCAAGCCCCATGGTACTGGGGTCTCACGCGTATTGCGGAATTTGGCCTGGTAACGAGCGTAAGGGACGTGGAAGTTGGAGTCTGGTTGCAAGGCGTTCCTCCATAAGTTGACGCGACGCTCGATCCGTAGGCGGGGATTCTGTTTGCAGAAGGGGATCAGGCCCAGGGCGTGACACTGGGGTTTGGCCACTGCTTCGTGGTCTTCGTCGAGGACGATGCTACGCAGCTGCCCTCGCAGCCGTTCGGGCATTGATCGTTGGAAATGAATCGCAACCGCCGCGGCAGAAAAGCGATAGTTGAAGCGATTCTTTCTCGTTTTGGCCCATTTGAACGAGTATCTGCGCATCTCAAAACAGTGCGTCAAGCTCTCCATGTCGTCTTTTGAGGGGATGAACCAATGGTCGGCCGGGCACTGGGCGATCTTCAGCGCATTGTATGGTTGATTCTGGGAGAACGCTCGCCTACGTGACGCCCACAAAACATAGTCCTTGTAAATGCCTCGTCCGATGTCCGCAGCTGAGATGGTTGCCAATGCCTTTCTACAAAAGGCGCGGTACTGTGATGGTGCCTCACCAAAAGGACCACGGCGTTTCAGGATGTCTGCCCGCTCGTATCCTTCTTTCAGATCGTCCAGCAGAGGAGCGAACTGAGGATAGGCCAGTCGCAGTTTGTCTCTTGCATTCGCTGGTATGGTGTATCCTGCTCGATGGAAAAGAAACTCTTGGCTCGAGTCAAGATCTTTGATCAGGATGTCGAAGTGAAGGGCCAGGATACGTAGCTCTTCAGATGTGGCAGTCGAGAAGATGATTGTGTTCTTGCGTAGAGCCAGCCCACTCATCTCCTTGGCCACAAGCTTGCAGGTGAGAGACAACCTGAGATCAATCGGGAGGCCATCGCCCCTTTTTAGTACGCCGGCGATGCCGAGTTGGGCATCAGTGCTGCCAGAGCTGTTGAGATTTAGTGTTCTTGAGATGAGAATCTCGGAGTTACATACGTATCCGCAGTCGGTTGTTACGTAGTTGCTGTAGATCTCGTCTCTCAGCTCACGAGGGAGTGAAAGAAAAGTCGATTCAGGAGCCATCGTTTTGCTATCGTTCTGTCGGCAGGGCTGGAGGGATGTCAGTTGTTGGGGGCCGCTGTGCGACTCAGCCACAGTGTTTAAATTGGATGAATGCACTGCGTTGCTTTGAGTGGTTTGTATCTAGGATTTGGCGAGGCTTTCGGGGAGGATGGCAAAACAGATTCGACGTTCATTAGTATTGAGAGTTTGTGGGGTGTGGCGGGGTGTATATATACAGGGAGAGGAGTGTGGACCCAAACTTTGGCTGAACTCAATCGCTACGGTGAACTAAGTAATGCATCGTATCTGAGTCATCCGCTGCTAGCCATCCACGGATCATCGCCCAGGCCGCCAAAAGTTCACACGAAAGGTCGAAACCAGTGCATGAAGCTTTCCACCAAGGTACCAAAACCGACATGGAAGCACAAACAGTCTTCACACCGCCAAGGTTGGGACTCGAATTCGGCTTATGTAGTAGTCACATTATGTATCTCTGCGCCTACTCCTATCCCTCATAAGGGCCAATTACTCAATATTGCATATCCATATAAAACACGCTTACAGCATCCACTAATTGCTGGTTGACACTTTTTAAGATAAACCTCGAGATCTCAGGGTCTATGATTAAACCTCCTCCTCATCCAGGTTCACAGTTGACTGTCCAGAAAAGAGGGTCAGTAATGATACGAAAGAGAGCACAGTTCAGACATAACTCAACTTACCCTCAATGGCCTCATCCATAGATGAGAAAACTTAGACATTGCCAAGTATTTAACGCGAGGAACTGTGACCTTGAAGATAACGGTGTAAGTGTTGGAAACTACAGTCCAAAATGAGGGAGTGTACGTACATACCATCCCTGTTAGTGCCAAGTAATTCTTTCCACTACTCCAAACAATGCCAAAATGGATCACGTCTCTTGCATCAAGATGCTGATGACAAGCTTACAATAATTGTTAGCATATAATTGAGTAAAGTCGGGGATATGAAAACTTACAACGATCAACACTCAAACAAACGAACGACATAGCCCAGTCATAACAGCTCAGAGATATAGAACAGAGCTCAAGAACTTCGTTCATTTGATCAGTCCACATCTTGATGCTGAGACGAACGCGCTGGTCATCATGGCAGCTAAGAGAATAGGTTAGTAGGTCTTTTCTTTTTGATAGCACACAGGTCTCTTACTCCAATGCCGCGTAGCCGTCTTCCTCCTTACGCTCGAACGCGGGCCTGAGGGACGCCAGGATCTTCGAACACTAGGGAACGAATTCAAGGGGCCACCAAAAGCGATTCCAACAGAGCAATCCGACGCAGGAGGATTTGAAGCACTTCCAGTACCACGATCTATGTGTACTTATAAGTATTCACTGCTAGAACGTTGTGGAGCAAACTTACGACGACCTCGAGACACAAGAGTACCTGGAGGAGATCTCCAAAGCCATAGAAATGGCTCAGATGGATGAGGACTCTGAGGATAGCAGACATCAGCATGGAAATATGTTATGCAAAGAAAAATGCACCACTCACAGGATGATAGGCTGCAGGGGGGAATAGGGGGGTACTTCGTCAAGACCGAGGTTCCCTGAGATTGCGGGATATTAGCATGTTGACGTAAAATAAGAGAGTGGAAGGATATTGGGGAAGAGGAACTAACCGATAGTATAATAAATCGCTTTTAACACTATGTTCCTTCGAAAAGGAGATGAGGATGTTTCTTGGACGGACCATAGATCATGTGCTGGTCTGTCCACTCAAACTGACTGAGACCAAAGTGATGGATTGCCCAAGTCGAGGTCACATCAGGGTGTTTGCTCAGTAACGTCTCAATAGAGACCTCTCTGATCCCAAATTTGTTGGCCCCTTTGCCGGTCACAGGGGTTTCCCTAAAGGTCAGATTCTTCCACATCCGCATCTGTTCGACATTTACGTTCTCCCAACGACCTTGTTGCTTCCCTTTGGTGATAACATATGCCTTGAGGGGCAGGTTCCTCCTTTCCTTGCTGAGTAAGGGGCATTCATAGAAGAGATGCTCAACTGTGTGTTTTGCAAAGCCGCAAGAACACATATCTGTCTCGGCGAGCTTGAATAGAACATGTTTTGTTAGAGACATGGGTCCGAAGCGTCGTGGTAGATGCAAAGGTTGCAACGAGGCCGACGAAGACGGGTGAGAAGAACTGGTGGAAATGGGGGACAAGAGGACGGAGGGGCAGAAAGGGCAAAGAGCATAGTGGGTACTGCACATACCTTTCTCGGATAGAGGAAAGAATCGAGGCCAATGAAGTCGGTTCGGCACTGGATGAGAACAGTGCTCTGGGCACGCGAAAGCCCTCTGTGACGTTTGATATTTTCCCTGCCCCAATCATCAGCCAACGCGGCTGGCCTGCCGCTGAGCCCACGATTCGACGTCTCGGACTCGATGCGCTTGCCCCAATACGACGACCACAGCTTTGTGCTAAGAAGATTGGCCTGCTTTCTGATGTAAGCGTTTATGACGATATGTTTCTCCCGCAAGGTCTCGGAATCTGCTGCACCGGCGTTGTCCGCAAGGACCCTGGCGTGGGCGTACGAGGCTCTGAATGGATGTGAGGACAGAGATGCCAAGCTCCGCTTGAAGGGAAATGATTTGGTGTCAATCAGCTTGAATTCTTCGTTGAAGATGTGGCGTGCTCGGTATGCCATGGACATCTGTTGGAGGACGACGGCGATGGGCTGTACGAACAGCTCCTTGTGCAGCATGAGGCTCGGCGTCTTCTTGAAAGCGCCGGAGATTGCAACGAGACACTCGGTTTGAAGAGAGTGAAGCTCATGGACTAACTTCTGCTTGGTCTGGTACAACTTGATGCCGAGTCGCCAAGGACGAACCACACTCCACAAGCGTACGTCATGATTGAGCGCACGCTACTGAGGTAGAAAATCCTCATCTGAGCGAGACTCGGACCCCAGACGGATTTCGACATGTCTTTGACCCAGCTCATCTTCGAACGTACCCTGTCTTTGATCTGTCCGGGGGTGTTAGAAGTGACTTTTAGTTCTATGAAAGGGGGATGCGAAAACCGGGCTAAACGCTTACTCGTGCAATGTGACGTTTCCAGTTCAGTTGATGGTCGACGGCAACGCCGAGGATGATGAGGCCATCCGGGTCGGACTCGAGTACCAAGCTGCTCGGTCTGATATTGGGTATGCGCGGGATGAGCTCACAGGGTGGTTCGTGGGAGTGTGGTTTGCGGAAGTGCATGACTTTGTATTTGGCCGGATTGAATCGTATGCCGCGAGGCGTCGCCCAGTCGATCGCTCGCTGTTGTGTTTCGGCGAGCAACCGGCAGTTCTCCTCCCAATCATCCGTAGTCACCATGATGTAAGTGTCGTCAACATACGAGAGACTGACAATCATTTTGCTGGACGGTCGGTTCTCGTTGAGGATATCCAGCATCGGGGCCGTGAAGAAGGCAAAAAGAATCGGAGACAAGGGACTGCCCTGAGGTATGCCAACGTTGATGAAGAACTTGGGCGAGACGTAGCCGGGAAGTACGGTTTGAGTGCTCCGGTTGGAGAGAAACGACCAAACAAATCGCACAGCCCATGAAGGCATGCCCATCCGGATCAAAATGTTAATCAACTCGTTACGTTTGACGTGGTCGAATGCACCGCTGATGTCGAGACCCAGAAGACTCGTCTTCCATTTCTTGGCTGCAGTGGTAGCACACCAGCCGTCCATCACCCTGTTGACAATGAGCTCGAGCGCCATGGTCGTGTTTCTGCCGGCGGAACCAAATTGGGTCTGCGGAATGAGGTTGTAGCGAATGGCAAGATCCTTCAGACTGTTAGCCATGATCCGCTCAAGTGCCTTCCCAACGCTGGAAAGCAGAGCAATGGGCCGGTAGCTCTTTGGCGTTGAATAGTCGTCCTTGTCTTGCTTCCGCACAACAACCGTGTACGATTCCTTGAAACAGGCCGGATGATGGCCTAACCTGATACATGCATTGAAAAGATGGCATAAATATGGTCTGACCTCAATGACGGACCAGTAGAGTGCTTCGGCAGGAATTCAGTCAGGACCTGGCTGCTTGCCGTGGGGCAAGAATTCATCGATGATGCGAAAAATGTTCTCTTTCGTAGTGTAGGGGAGCTTCTCATTCGCCAGTGCGTCACGCCGAAGTCGATCTGAACCCCAGCGTGCGCCATGAGAATCCGTGCTAGCGCCACTGGCTACGCCGGCAGTAGAAGCGCTCCCATGCTCCGAGTTGGCGTGCTCACGAGTGGTCGTGTCGGCATGGCGGGTTGTAGAGTGAAGGCCTGGCGGGCATGAGCCAGCGCGTGTGCCCGTATGTGACGTACCTTGGTAGGAGGCTTCCTGTTCACTTTGGGAGCGGGATGGCTCGTCAGGCGGGCATGATACACCACGCAGCTCATCTTGCCGTCTGCCATGGCGATGGGTTTCGCGTTGAGACGGGATGTGGGAGCGACGTCTGGGGCCAGGACGTGGGAACCGTGTGCCGAGGGGGTGAGAACCGTTGCGGGTTCCATCACACGATCTGGGGCGTGTGCCAAACTTAGGGACTGGAGGCATGGCAGAAGCGAGGACATCCAGCTGCTGGGCGTCGGCAACGATAGTCGAATTGTTGCAGAGAGATCGAGTGTGGGAATCGGGGCTTTGATGCAGAGGCGGACACGACTCTGACGGAGACGGCTCTGATGACGATGACGGGCGAGGGACCAGCGGCTCGTTTCCGTTCATAGTGTCGCGTGGCGTCGACAGGGTCTCAGAAGACGGCGGCGGCGGACGGTTCTGGGAATGGTTTGGTGTCACACGCCGTGAGGAGGAGCGGGAAGATGACGGAGCTGGTGTAGTGAATTGCTTTATGGCATCTTCGAGCGCTTCAAGGCCAGCCGGGGCCGGCGCGTCATCACTTGTCTCTGACCAGATATGACTGCGGAAACAGTGAGCGTTCTCTGCGTGGGAGTTGCAGACAGAGCCATTGGCGTTCTTGAGCCAGGGCATGTGAGCTCGTCCTTGGGTCTGACTGGCTGCGCGAGTCTGCCTGGCCAATTCATACAGACCGACCTGATGCTCGGCTGTTTTGGCAAGCCTGTTGCGCTTCCGAACTGTCCTGTAGATGCGAAGGCGATAGTTGGTGTTCCGGACGGCGCGTTGCCACTGAGAGAGCTGCTTGTTATAGACTGGCGTCCCGTATTTCAACCGGCGTAGGACACCAAGCTCTCGTTCTTCCAGCTTCAACAGGCTGTTGATCAAACGGGTCTCGGGTTCCGGCTTCTGGCCAGCAGGGATCAAGTCAACCGGATCCGCACAAGCTTCGATAGCTTGCTTCATAGAATCAGTGAAGGCTTTCGCAAACTGATCCACTGCCCCTGGGCCATCAAGTTCCTGAGATGGTATGTCTGAAACTGGACAAATGTTCGCCTCCAATCGCTCCTTCACCTTGACGGGGAGTTCCTCAGCAGCGGACTTTTTGAGGCGGAACCGCTTCCGAGCATCTTGATCGACTGCTGTTGAGAGCGTCGTGTGCAAAGACGGCATGGTCTGACTCAAAACCTCGTGGCCGCACGACACGGAATTGTTGTATTCGACGTTTGAGATACTCTCCAAAAATTGTCAGATCGATGGTGGAGCTAGCGGCACCTCTACCGTACGTAGGCGTTCCCCGGTGAGGGAGGCATGTCATGTTGGCCGCCGCGATTTTCTCCCACAAGACCGTCCCTAGTCTGTCTTTGCGAGCCTTACTGCCACCATGTTTTGGGTGTTGAATGTTGAAGTCGCCAAGAAGCATGGAGGAGGGGCCGGTGAGCGAGGGCTGTAGGAGTATGTCAAAATCAATAGTCTTGTCGCGGTGGCGGTTGTAAGCATTGCCAATGCATGCCGTTTCTCCTCCCTCCAGGTCCAGATGAGGATAGGCAACGTAGTAACGGTTGCGGTCTTCTGCCCACTCAACCTTCCAAGAGCTCTTTGGGATTGACTTGTGAACGTAGAAGGCAAATCGTCTAGCCGAAAGTATCTGCTTTTCGTCTTCGTCAAGCACAGGTCGGTCCTCGCCATCAACAGTCGGCCAGTCGTTCTTGATCTCAAGCCAATAAGACGAGAGTCGTAGACCCTGAATATTCAGCGGTGGATCTTGCAAAGCCATGAATGCGGCAGGCTTCTCCAAAGTCTTGGAGTATTGATGTAGGGCATAGACTCGATCCCAGCATCTCATAACATTTGCCTGGAGAAAGTCGAGGGAATTGGTCGATCGATTCGTTTCCGGGACCTGTGCAACATCCAGATCATCTTCGGCGGGGTTGTTCTCCAAGGTATGAAGTTGCCCAGTTTGTTGCCCGCCCCCCTACTAATCATTAGATATTGATTTTCAGTACTATAAAGTATCTCCTACTTACCCGAAGACGGGAAATTCTAGAGCCTGAAATAGAAGCATTGTCGCGGGCGATTCCCATACTGTCGATGAAACCACGTGACAACCGGCAAGTTGAAAGGGAATATAAAAAAACCTCGGAGTCCTCAGTGTGGGGTAGTCCTGATTTCTGTGAGTCTATGAGCACGACAATCATGTCTTTGGGCAGATTTACAAACCAGCTGTGTAAGGGGTTAGGCAGCAGTATCTCCAACATCACAAGTCTGAGAGCGTGATCAGTCTCGTAGACCAACCAACTTTCCGCCATCCGCGGCGGCAGGACGGGGGAGCAAAGTCTGTAAAAATGATTCGAATGGTGTTTGGAAGAGAATGAAGAGGGTGAAATCGGCCACATCAGTAGTCGCACACACTGAAATAACAAAGATGGTGTAAGTGCATAGATGGATATGCAATCCGGAGTACTTGGCCCTCGGAGATAGGAGTGGGCGCAGAGACACCGATTCAGCACATCACAGACGAAAGCCATGTATGTCCATTGTCGATTGTTGCGAACGACAATTGGACAATCGGAGGTCTGCCTCTGAGTTCGGGCACCGAGTCCGAATTCCTGTCTACAGGACCTTTCCAACGACACCCTCCTTCGGTTGGCCTCCAATTGCCGCTGGCTGTGGGCCAACAGGAGCTGAGAGGGGCCGTTCCGGGTGGAGACCTAAGACCGGGACGGAGGGTTTTCTGCACTGTGTCCTGCGTATCCCACATCCGGGCAGGAGCGAAGCACCAAATGCCGAGTAAAATGTGTCTCGAAACCGACATGGATGAACTGCCACGTTTCCAAATTCCAAATTCCAATCGCGGGTCTATTGTGAGGGACATGATGGCATGGGGCCCAAATGGGCAAGTCAAGCCCGCTAGTCGGAGTCACCATTGATGAGGGGACGGCCCCGCCTCGCCGCCCATCTTCCGGACACGTGGAGCCCGTATCCGACTGCTCGTCTCCCATCTTTGGATCGTCCGGATTCATAGACGCGGTGACGGCGTTCATGGAGTCCGACGAGTCGGCTTTGATAGGCCGCCAAGCGACAGGGAATCAAGACCAGCCAGTGGTGGTCAACAGTCAGATGCAAACACAAGAGTCTTTCCAATCCAGTCGACGACACTGCAAAACTGATCAAAACATTGCAGGATCCCGACGTGCTGTCCCGTCGAGGTTGGTTGGTTCTTGGCGAACGCCTGGAGCAGGCACATCTCCCATTTGCAGCCCTCCGTCGCGTCCCCGTGTCAGCCATTGACGCGGGCGGCGTCGGTGTAGGTCCGTACCATCTGCTAGATCGAGCTCATCTGAGCGGGGAAATTGCGAAATTTCATCACATGTGGCTAACGAGTGGAGGTTGCAGCTAGTAACTACCTTGATTGGATAGGAAATCTAGGCAGGTGAAGGTGCAGGCCAGAGTGAGCTGCTTTATCCTACAGGAAGAGGTGTAGCTCTGCTAGAAGCTTCCACAACAGAAATCACGAACCCCTCATTGCCCAATACCTACAGAGACAAATCTTTTGGCGTCCACATACCGTATCTGTGTTCTGACAGGCATTCTGCCTCTATTCAGTGTCCTTCAAAAATCATGCCAACAGAATTACCCGTTCCTACGGCGCCACGTGCGATGCTGTTGGAGGGTTCGAGCAACCTCGCAATTCCCGCATCCCCTCTGGAGCAAGTGTTTGAAAATACAGCTGTCAAGTTGTACCCAAGACTCGCGCTCTTCGAAGCACTAGCTCAGTTCAAGAGTCGTCAAGAAAGGCGAAACCCATCTGGTGACGATATTGTCGAAGCCCGCAGGAACTTCTTGGATTCGTTTGCCTATCTCTGTGACGTCCAAAAAGGGGGAGCAACAGTAACTGCCGCTGGACTGCAGAAGCTAACTCACGGCAATTTTCTCTGGCTGGCAGCAAATGAGGGTGTGCGCAACGACATCAAGACTTATGCAGAAGCAATTTTGTTTCATCTAAAGTCTGTGGATTCCAACACCGAGAGAACTACACAAGAAACAATCTTTTGTATTGCGGTGACGCATTGCGAGTCTCGAATTTCAACCTATAAGAACGAGCTCTGTAGGTATGCGAGAAACTGCCGAATGCAGTTGAGACGCGAACCAAATAGCGATACTGGTGAGATCTCCTTTGCAAACCAGCCATGTACCTTTCATAAGACACAGAATGGCTGATTTTTTAAGTCGTACTCCTTCGAAACCGACTCAAAAGGCTTTCCGAGCCACCGCCAAGCATGACCCATGCTAAGGTCATTGACTACTGCTACGATATGCGAGGGGACGAAGTCGGCGAAATCAAGAAAAGGTCGAAAGATGCAAAGGATGATTTCGGCAAGTTGGCTCATTATATTGGGCGTCTTGGTGCGACTCGATCAGCTGCCCAATATGTCGTCAAAGGGAGGATGAAGGTTCCGGCTCTCAGCCAGATATCCTTTATCCGCATTGTCGATGCACCGGTCATCCGCAAGGTGACACTGGATCAGGGAGACCTAAGCCCATACGAGATTGTGCGGGGGATCTGCGAGGATTCGGCTTCTCAAAATCCATGGCGAAACAGGATGGCTCTATACAACCTTGTGGACTTTGACCTGCCCTCTAGAACGAATAACATACGTGCGAGGTTGAAATCTTGGAGTACAATCATTACCAGGGTACATGCTGAGCTACAAATTGCCGATATTTTCAGCAGAAACCGATATATATTTGTCGACGATGACAAATATGTAGGCTGCAGCAAGCCAGCCTGCTACTTTTGCTTCAACTGGCTTAGCAACCACAAGCATGGGTACGTTCTTCCAGCGGCGCATTATCAGATCATCCCTGGTTGCCGTGGGCCTGACAATAACATCAATGAGTCTGGCGCTGCTGTTTTGAAGGACATGTATGCCAAGTTGTGTGCGCGGCTTGGGCGAGATATCCTTGACTTTCTCCTGAAGCAAAGACCAGGAGATAGGCAACATGACAATCAGTACCAGTCGTCAGAAGGTTCGAGTTATGCTCAGAGTCGAGTGGACACAAAAATATGACGAGACGTCTCGGCTTTGAGGTTCCAGTGCGGGATTAGCGGATTAGATTTCAGCTTAGACAAATATGAGAGGTTAAAGTGACACCCCGAATGGGCCAACTAGACCGACTGATTTAGTCGTATTTTCTGACCTGCCAGTCCCGGGAAAATCGTCGGAGGGTGGAAGAGGACACGGCCGGGACGAAAGAGAAGAGCATATGGGTGCAAGATTACCAGAGGTTGCAAGTGTGGTCAGCGACCAGCTCCGGGTCTGTCAGAGGTTGCTCCTCCTTGAGAGCTTTGCTATTACAGGAATGATCTGTCGAGCCGAATCATTAGCTGGATATTTACAGCATGATCGAAGATCCTCGATGATTTACTGCCACTTCTTGCCCCTTGATATTTCCACCTCAAGGTCTAACTTCCATTCTGTGAACGCAGGTTTCTCCTACAACGTACCGCTTTCCGTCTCGCTTTCGAAATAGCATCGATCATCTCACAGGGGTGATTAGAGCCCGAATCTAGTGTATGCTAGATTTGAGAAACTGGATGACGAATGGAAGCCAGGTTTTGTTTCACCCTTGCGTCGGCAGCTGAGTGCTGATGTAGCAGTGACGGAATGATCCCACGATCATGTACACTCATTGGAGGGCTGAGAGGCATCCGATGTAGCCACATTTGCTTGAGAAGCAGTCATGATCATGAAATAAATGCATCATTACGTTACACAAGCCACGGTCAATCAACCAAGGGACAGATGTGTGCAGGGCTGCGCCGGTAAGAGTTGGGTTCGCTTCAGCAACTTCTCCCTTCTTCCTAAAAGGGTTAAAAAGGATAATGAGGCTACCGTATCATAGCTAAAAGCATTAAATTCTCCTGTAAATCGTTTGGAATTATTTGGCAACCCTTCATCAAGAGGTTTGTCCATCCTCTATCCACCATCCATTATGGCGGCATTGATCATCACGGAGGAAGCAGTCCCTGCACTAGCCGCAGCCACAGGTGGCTTGTCATTGACGGATGACGCAACCACAGCTCATGGCAATCCGACTCCAATCCTCATTGATACAACTGCTGCTCTTTCAAAGATGGTTGGAAACCTTGAGGAATTGCCGACTGATCCGCCATCGCTCTACATTGACCTTGAAGGAGTCAATCTGTCAAGACATGGAACGATCTCCATTCTCCAACTACATGTTCTTCCAAGCAAGCAGACATACCTTCTCGACGTACACACTCTTCAGGGCCAGTGCTTTTCTGCAACTAGTCGAAATGGCCGTTCCTTCAAAGACATATTGGAATCGGACACCATTCCGAAGGTGTTCTTCGACGTTCGGAACGACTCAGATGCACTATACCATCACTTCAAAATCGATCTTCGCGGCATACAAGACCTTCAGCTGATGGAAATCGCCACAAGAACATTCTCAAGAAGGCATGTGAATGGGTTGTCGAGATGCATCGAGAGAGATGCATCTCTATCGACCTTGGAAAGGATTGCTTGGAAGAGGGTCAAGGATAAGGGCGTGAAACTGTTCGCTCCGGAGCGCGGTGGAAGCTATGAGGTGTTCAACGAACGACCCTTGTCCAGCGACATGATTGACTACTGTGCCCAAGACGTACAAGTCCTGCCTCTATTGTGGGCACGTTACAAAAGCAATATCACGTCGACATGGTGGCAGAGAATCCAGGACGCATCAAAGGAGCGAGTAAAATTATCTCAGTCTTCTACTTTTGTTGGCAAGGGGCAATACATGGCTCTGAGTCCGTCTGGTTGGGCATCTATTCGCTGATGATGATCCCTTGTAGAGAGACTGATATGGAAAGGCCATCGAGATCGACCGCAAAAGGCAAAATGACTTGAAGTTAGGATTCTGGCAGCTGTGATTCTAGTTTTAGCGATATTGATTTCAATAATAACATTCTTCTTAATCCCATTCTGAATGGAGAAGACTTACAATTAATGCTTGAAATATCCGCCATGTCTCCAGAGTTCAATGAATATTGTTCCAATTTTTATTACTAGCAGAATATATGTGCTACATGGAATTTACGATCCTTCTTCAGGCTCTGTACTACTTTAGCCACCTTAAATGATTTACCGACACCTTCTCAACTAGATATGCAGGTAAGCCGGCTGGTGCAATTTTCAGCGTGCTCTCCTTCTGAAGTACTCTGCCCCAAAAGCAAATGCGAGTCTGCGGCTATGGGAATTCTCGCTTCGGTCTTAATCCCAAGAGAGACATGAACACTATGCAATGTGAGAGGACAAGAAGCCGCAGAGAATGTTGTCCATTCGGTTGCCCCACGCCTTGGGAGCAATAGAAAATCCCCGATAGTAAGTCTTTCTAGTTCGCTGTTCCTCTTGGCCAAGGATGATGTAGAACATGGCGCGCTTGTCCACCTGCATCCTCGTCTTAACGGTATGACGGTTTTTTATCATATTTTTTGTTTTCCCCTTCTTTCCTCCAAGGTATAGAACGAAGTTGACCAAGACTGCAGCTACTAATAACGAGCTATGGATGGCGAAGCAATCTTCATGGCTGAAGCAAGAAAGCGCTCATTTCAAACCATCTTGACTAAATTAATTCTCCAATTTAGGCTTCACTCACATAGATGCCGAGAAAAAACGGTCTTACCACATCAAATTTGCATTAGCCACCAGACACGTTTCGGGGCGGGGAGCTCATCAAGATTACCCTTACAATAAATAGAAAAGGAAAAAGGGAAAAGTCCAAGTAGAGAGAAAGAAGATATCGCATGCAATTACTCAGAATATACCTACTATGAAATACACGTGCACCAGACATCCAACAAGACAAATAGCCCTCGAATGATCAACACAGCAACCGCAATACCGCAATGCGTGATTCAACAGAGTCATCTCTTCCACCTCTTCCTAGGCAAAAGCATCTCGCTTCATCAGGCTCTTCTCGTCCTCACCAGCCTCAAACCTCTTCAGCAGCTCCTCCGGATCGAATCGAGGCCCGCGGGGATCCGAACCGAATTCCGCACTCATCATGTACGCGACGGCGTCCTCCTTGGTCTCAAACGTGTCAACTTGCGTCTCAATCTTTCCGCCATCCGGGTCTTTGTAGTACATGCTCGTCGACATGCCGTGGTTGACGCAGTAGACCGGCTCGATTCCCATCTCCTTCCGCGCCTTGTAGGACTGCAGCAGATCCCCGAGGGAGTCGAACGTCAGGGCGAAATGGTCCATGCCGACGGTGTTATCTTGTCTTGGTACAGCGCTGGGGTCATTTAAGATGGCTAGTCGGTGATGTTCATGGTCCCAAGTGAGGAACGTGATGAGGTTGCTGGAGGCTGTAATCTTGGCATTAAGAAACTTTTGATAAAACTCGACAATCCTTTCGGGGTTCTTGCTGCGAAGTACGAGGTGAGCGAGCTCTGACGGCTTACAGACCCCGGTAGAAACCTTCAAAGCCATGTTATCAACCGATATAAGGTGAACTAATGTAGGTAAGGTGACGATAAAATAGATCTTCAGAGGGGCACATGGTATCTACTGTGGGGTAGCTCGCATATTTATGTCTAAGCTAGTTCTCCAAGACCCCCGCACCTCTTTTCCATCAACCTGCTTGGGGGCGGCGTGAATTTCAAACCATGCTCACTGTCACTGAGAAGAAAACGAGCCTTCTTACGAGAAATAAGTCCGAATGGATTCCTCCGTCCGATATCAGCCTGGCGTCCGTGTACTGGTCGTCCACAGTGGTCCGCCATTTCGGGGTTTTCACATCGCCTCCGATGGGGGCGGCTGGGCAAGGACCCGGGCCGGACGTCCGCCCGTACAGCACTCGAAACGGGATTGAAAAACCAGCCTTAGGTTGAATGTGTAGTTTGGATCAATCGTATTGCATACAATGTGTCATATCCGCCCAGCGCGACTCAGGAGTCTCAGAGCGTTGTCCAGATGATGAGATGCTGTGGCACGAGAATTGGACGTCGGACCGAGCGTTCGCTTCTCGGCAGTAAAACGGGCACCGATTGTCCGTCAGCCCATGACGCAACGCAATTGTTTAAGAAGAAATAATTTTTCTGGTAATACACGCCAGGCATCGCTGCAAGATTGTCCAAAACGATAGCATTAGGATACGTACATGTTACTGTTATGAGTGAAGTCTGATATCCCCGCAGCTATAACGGGACGTTTTAATGACACTCCTTCTGCATACCTATAATACAGAGCATTTTGCTCCTCTTTGAATAACACTCCGTAAGATGGCAAAGATTCACATCTAGCCAGGCGAAACAGACAGTGGGCTGAGTAAATTACGTGGGGCTAACGGTGGTCGGTTAAATCACCACGGGAGGAGAGTTTCGAATGAAGTCAACTCCTATCTATCCCTCCAGCGTTCAACGAGACCTGTGAAACACGAGGAATATCATTCCTGAACATTGTTGTTAGCATGACCGCGACCTCAGCTGTCACTGTGGAAGTGTCTCCGGCGTTATGGGCTCGATGGGCTGCGTGCAGCTGTGCTAGCTGCGCACGTCCATAGATTGGACTCTGACTTCGCAAGGCTCTCGGAAAGCAGGGTGGTGACCAATGAGAATTCAGAGTCGATTGCAAACGGCCTTCATAAATGCGAATACGATTCTTGGGCAGCAAGTGACATTTTTGTACCACTGGGCAATGCCTCCTTTCCTCAGCCAATTGACGTGGAATTTCTCAGTGGGCCACAGTCCGGTAGCATACCCTCCGCCGTTGAGCCGTAAGATCACATACGTATACCGGTAGAGGTGAGGCTCCATGTCATTTACAGAGGTACGTGTATCAGCTGAGTAGAAGCTGTAACGAGATAAAAACCTTCTTTCCAGGCACCCCAGCTGTACGTCAAACTTCAATGGATTCAGTTTCCCACAAAAGAGACGCTCACTTGCTTGTGGCTAGGGAAGTTGATTCGGGTCGGGTATGCGGCTGAAGATATCTGCCTCCGAGGACAGACAGCAATTGGTTGAAGGGATGGAACAATTGAAGGCGGAGAGATTTTCGTGAATGATCTGATGATAGAATCAGGCTTGGGATGAGGTCTACTATGGTGTGACGGGCGAGTTTAAGTCCCTGGCCGCGTAGGTACCTGTTTGCGGGCTCTGGTTATGAAACACTGCAACTCGAATGGCTAAAGCTGAACGTCAAAGCTCAAAGTACCACAGCTCGGATAGCTAGTAGAGCACCCGTATCGTGCCCCTGTAGATACTTAACAGGGCGTTTTACTTTGGCCTGCAACCGTAGTACACCAAAAATACATTCAACTCTTAGCTGTAGACGCAGAACCAGGGACATTGTCATGGCCGGGTTCGGATGACCGCGGCGGAACTCTTGCAACCGTGCCGCTAGTCAGCAAAGATGTCATCTCTAATGCCTGTCACTATGCTCTCTTGCGCATGAGGTGACAAAAATTCAAGGGACCTCTCTTTACAGATTTGGCGGTGACGACTCATGGAGCACCACCAAAGCTGGCCAAGGTCACGTCTGGAACGCCCTGTAGATTAATTAGACCCACAGGTGTCGGGCAACCGGAATGAGAGGCATCCTCTTGTAGTGGGACCGACTGCGTTGCTTCATGTGTCCAAAGATGCCGCCTGAACACAAGGATGCTCACATAAAAGATCCGACTCTCCTCCCTTGGCTGTTGCTCTTATTGCGGACATTTCTTTGATTGTACAGACAACTTCCTCTTTTCACAGCAACGCCTTCGGTCTGTTTGACCTCCCACTCAGACGCAACATGAAGTTGTCGGCTCTTGCCTTGATTTCCATCATAGCTACGATCTGCACTGCAGCTCCACCCCTGACTCCGGAGCCTGGCCATGGAAAGTCACCAGAAGAATTGGTATGTGCCAATCGCGGTACTTGACACTATCTAGAGAAGTAAGCTGACAATATCCCTAGGCAGTATGAACCCTAATCTTAAGCATGAAGAAAGCACGCTAAACCCCGGTTTTCAAGATTCGAGAGCTGGTAGGCAGAGACTTAGGTTGTTGCTGTAAGATAACTATAAACCACATAACTAGTAAAAGAGAGTCTACTAAAACAAACTTAGGGTTCTTGGCGGGAACGGAGGCCAGCGATTGTCTCTGCTCCTGTGATGGTCCAATGAATACCAACCCCTGCACAACAAGCTACTGCGGACCTCGCTGTTGAATTGAGCGCACTTTGTCGGCTTAATATCCGCGATTGCATGGAATAAACAGCGAGACGTGTTCGCAGAAGGGGGAGTAGAGGCCATGCAATAGCACACATAAACACGTGCATCTACGGAATTAGTTAGAAGTGTTACACTAAGCGCCACTCACTGGCCCAAGACGAAGTTGCTCTACCCACCAGGTCATAGAAGGCTATGCGGAAAGAGTACTAGAACTCAGCGGCCGTGGGGAGAAAATTTCCGCCGTTTTCAGGCTAAATACAACACGGAAGCCTAAGACGATCACAATAATAATTTTGTATTTCTCTCTACACTTCCAACTGTGAGTAAATCAAACGGATTTGACAGTTTCATGGTGCAAAGTACACCTCGTCTACCTTGTGTCATTGCCAGGGAAAAAGTTGCATGATTCTATGGCACCCATATTATGCCCGAGCGGGATTTGAGAATCCGAATGAACTGTGAAAAGTTGGGATCTTGAGCAATCATGATAATGATTAATTGATCAATGTCCATGTGTTGCTCACACCGTTACCACTCTCATCCCTTCCACTTCATGACGACCGCATTTGCGAAGGACCTTCGTCATCCTCCGCCCACCAGAACTCGGTCCTTTTCTGGGTGCCTGGCTCCAACGGAATATCACTGTTTGAGCTTCTTGTCTCTGAGCCTCTTCGACGCGGGGACCCAATTATTGTCGAAGGCACTTCGAAGCGGCTACCTCGTAGTCTACTGTTGAGGTATCCTGACTCCAGGGGTTTGGATCTACTGGTTGATCCGGGAAGAGTCTGTTGAGTTTTCTCGTTGCTGAAGAAGTGGGCGTAGATGGCCCGTGAAAGAGCAAGATTTGCGGCGATGATACCGAGGAAGAGTTCGAGATTTGACCAGATGCCGGCGATACAGTATGCCCCTACATGTCAATTGTCAGTCTTTCCTCTGGTATACCACGTCACTAAATTGATAGTGGGAGGCTGGACAAACAGCTTAGGTCGTTGGTGGAAATCCCCAAAGATGCGGCTCTGGCGACGCCAAACCCTGTCGCGCTACATGGAGGATTATCAATTGTTGCTCGTCAAAAGCCTTGTGAGGAGCCGCTTGTAATACACTTACGCAAGGCCGAGTCCCATCAAACAACAGACTGATATCTTTGTCTGTCGCGGAATTCTGACATTCCACACCACCACGAGGGGAAGTAGTGAGCATACGAGGTCTGTCACAACAGAATATGCTATCATTTCGCATCAGAAATCAACGATGTGGCTATAGGGATAAATTCGCCTTACCAATTGTCGCATAGATAGAATAGATGCGAATATCTGTTGGCCAGCAAACGGCTGACTTCCCTCTCCAGAAGCCAACGGGATGACATTCGGCTATCAAAATGATGACGACCCCGAAATTTGTGATCAAGACACCAGCCATAATGATGTACAGCAAGGTCTTTAGCATCTTGGTGTCTTTGATGCGAAGAATGAGAAGACAAATTGAGACCTTCAAGAACGCCACAGAGATGAAGAGCAACATCTGTGCCCACCAACCGTACATGTTGATCATCATGTAGTTGTAGTCGCTAAGAAAGACTCGGTGTCTACCGTTACCGTGTTCCCATTGCAGGACAATAAAACCAAATCGAGTTATCGCCGTTGCTGCTGCGAGGATGATTGTCAAGTCGTCCCAACCAAGCCCTCGGTTTGCTGCTCGTACCCATAGTCGAAGGCCGGTTGTGATGATGAGGAAGATTGTCAGGATAAGGGCGAGAGAAAAGGAGATCGGTCCGGCGTCCTCATCTGGTGGCAGTGAATCGTCACGGATAATGAAGTTTGTCAACATGGCGAAAGATTTGAGCAGCTCGCTGCTGGAAGTGCTGACGCCGGTATCAGTTTTCAAGGTCGGTGGCACGCCGTTGTGGCGTGTCTGAGAACGCGCATGTCGGAGGAGTATGCTTCCACCTCGGATACAGCCAGACCTTGGTAATATAAGATGGTTCCCTTGAATCATACCCTTGCGTAGCTTGAGTATTTGGTTTCATACAAATCCGTCACGGAATCCATTATACAATTCGTCCGAAATTTCAGGGAAGAATTTAAAATCTATGGCGCCCGGGTAGCTCTTCGGAATTCACCAGACATTGCGTTGCCACTCGGCCGGCAATGTGACTCAGGCATGCAAAATGGACATTGGACTTTCCGTGCCGGCTTCTGTGAATTCAAAGGCATGCAGCAAGAGGGCACTTTGGAACGCGGAACCCGCTCCGCTGCCTCGCAGGCTCAATGGAGTGTTTGCCTAGCTTTGATTACACCCTGGCTTCCGTCTCTTGGGTTTATGACTCGTATCCCCACAGTTTGTCTGGGCATTATTTAAGACAAAGAAATGAGATCGAAAGACCTGAAGTCCCAGGGACGAGTTGAATTTGTCCCGAAATAACGCTTCCGGGGACGGGAGTCACGCCATTCCTGTGATGGAAAATGCCTAGATATCTCAAAGTCAATCGGTGCGCAACCAAACGATGCCAGAAGCCTAATGCTGGGGCTAGGTAGTTTGAGTAGGCCTGATCTTGCGGGAAAATCCTTCAATGGTCTCTCACAGAGATATTGCCAAAGGTGACATTGTTCACCGTTCAGTCATCGAATCATCTACTTGAACTGTGAGTCCGAGAGCGAGCCTTATCCTAGATTGCGGCAAACAGGGTTACTGAACCACACAAAAATCGGGCCAGCTCTTAGTTTCGGGATTCTCCGTCCTAACGGCCCAATCGCTATCACTGACGTCCAGTGACACCTCAGCAGATTTTTTTCACTAATCAAACAGTCTCCAACTCGACATCAGTCAAAGGCCCCGAGTGTGCCGGGAGAACATAGCCGGCGTTGGCTTGCTCGAAGCGCCAGAGAAAGCAGTAGGGCTACGTTTTGCACGGATATTGCAAGTATGAAATTCCTAGTATATCAGAGCTCGTGACAGACAACATCGGGCTCTTGAACTGCAATAATTTCTTCCCATCTCTTTGTTGTCTGCGAGTCTTTAGACAAGCCAAGCAGCCTATTTTCCACACCGCCTTGGCGCATTTTGGCGCAACCCATGCGGCCCTTGTCCCTGTTCGCGATAGACCCTCTTCCCACAGATGCCGCTGTCGATCCCTTTGTGTAGGTTCGTATTGGAGTAGACGGTGCACGGGCACGACCGGGGTAAACTGCCGAATCCTTGCTCCGAAGTCCGAGGAGCCCTACCCATCTCCCAACAATCTGCAGAGCCGGGACCATGCAGATTCGGTGGTTCATGGTGCTCTGCGAATACGGTAGGTGAATTCAAGGTTTTCGGTACCACCCAAATCTTTGCGAATGTTCTCTAGCGTTGGAACCTAGCTGTTTTCACCCCGCCACGGAGCGAATAGACTCTTTACTTTGGAAGCCACCCACGGTTTCGTGGCTGGTTCAACCAATCCTCTTTGAAGTCACGGTGAATCCGCAAGGCCTGCCGTTATCAGACATCCAGAGTGCCCAGTCATAGTAAGGTAGGCATCGATCCTATGCTTTTCCAGCCCTATCCGCAACCGAAGCGAGTTTGCGTGGTTCGTTTGATCTGGATCAGTTCCTGTCGTAGCGCAAAGGAACGCCGAACGAAAATCGTTATATCTGTGCATCGAAACGTTACCTGTCGCCTCGGTTCCCGCCCTACTAGCCGCAACGGCGCAAGCAGCTCTTAGTCAGCCAATTGACACAGCCTTTGCCTATGTTTTTGCTTTTTGACCGCTTATACCGAGCTTTTCTCTCTAAATTAATCATTGACTAGATCGTTGCTGGTGGAGGTACTGGGCTGCTCCCTTTGTCGACCCGCCTCAACCAGGGGCTGAGGAATGTGACTGTCCTTGTAACCGAGGCAGGTCCAGTAGGTCTCGTAGACGAGCAGATTAAGATTCCCGGTACAAGAGGTTCAACTTTGGGCGGCAACTACGAATGGAATTTGACGACTGTGGCTCAGGAGAACTCTAATGAGCGCGTTTGGGTTTAGACGAGAGGGCACGTCTTAGGCGGAAGCTGTGCCCTCAACATATTCTCATACGACAGGGCGTCTTCCCACGAATATTCTAAATGGGAAGAGCTTGGTAATCCAGGGCGGAACCGGGACTCGATGCGGGCTGCCATGATGAAGTCTGAGAAGTTCACTTCGGCCAACACCCAGTATTACGCCGGGAGCGAGGGAGTTGGAGTGTTCCGGACCCATCAAGGCTTTGATCAACCGCCTTATCCCCGAGCACTAAGCCCCCTTATTCCCCTTCATGAACAGCCTCGGTATCGAGACGAACCTCGAATCCTTGAACAGCAACGTTTTTGGATGTCATGTACTCATCCATCAGCGTTGAGCTGGCTCACAACAACCGATCCAACAGCGCAAATTCTTACCTGCCCTTGGCTGGTTCAAACCACTACGTGCTCATAGAGTCCAAGATTACCAAAATCAACCTGAAGGCCCCCTTGCTACATTTGTCCGCATGCTGCTGGAGTGACTCTCACTGATGGAACCGATCTGACTGCTCGCCGGGAAGTCATTGTTTCCGGCGGAGGTCTTTGAAGCCCTTCTATCCTCGAAAACTCAGGGATCGATGAGGCCGATTTCCTCTTCGCTGCCAGTATCGAGCTGACCATAGACCTACCAGGAGTAGGCAAAACCTCCCGGATCTCATCAGTATCCAGAGTTCGTACGAGCTGAAGAGCAACTACACCGGTTACGTCTGTTGTGAGGGCATGACTTCCATGTACGAGTACCCCGGCGGAAAATGCACCTTCATCAACCGGAATCAAGCTCTTAGTGACGAGGATGAGGGGGAGCTTCTTGGACTTGCTGAGACGGCGATTGGCGGCACTGACAACCCAGTTGGGAAGGAGAAACTGCAGTGACTCTATCACACGATGGTGCCTCAACTGGAAATACTCTCCAGCGATGGCTTTAGTGGTGTCAAGGGGTATCCGACGTCAGTAAATGCAGGGCACGGTAAGGACTACTTCACGCTCATTGCAGCCACCATGCACCCTCTAAGCCGTGGAAATTTCCACGCCAATCCTGAAAATCCTCGGGGGCCTCCTCTCATTAATCCAAAGTACCTTTCAAACGAGTATGACTCGCAAGCAGCCATCCAAGCCATCAAGAAATATCGCCAGGTTGCTTTAAGGGAATCTCTGAGATCCACTTGGGTGTCCGAATATGAGCCTGGCTTGAACACGACAACGGACGCACAGAGGCGGGCCTTTGCTCTGAAGACTACCTTGTCCATCCATCACCCAGTTGGCTCTTGCGTTATGCTACCGAAGGCAGACGGCAGGGTTATAGATCCATTGTTCAGAGTCTACAAAATCGAAAATCTCAGAGTCGTGGACGCTAGTATCATGCCCGTCCTCATTTTGGCACACATTCAGACCACGGTGTATTGCTGGGAAAGCCGCTGAGATCATCATTGAGACTACGAGAAGATGAGGAAACCTTACTTGTGTAGTCATAAAAGACCCAGAAAATACTGAGTAGTAATGGCATCCATGTATTCAATGCCTGATAGTTGTTCTTAGTTCATGTACATATCAAACTTCAACAACTAATCAACCCTTTTAAGAGCAATGCTATTTACTTTCTTGTCGCAGCAAACTCGTTTAACCAAGCTTGGACAAACTCCATCTCGAAGCTCTGGGCCTCCTTGACAGGCAAAGGTGGCAGCTCGGCCGTTGTCTCATTCTTGAAAATGCCATTCTCATCCCAGTGATGGACTGCTCCGCCCGTAATGACCAAGTTGGGCTCCTCGGTCGTTGACTCTGGTCGCGGGAGCCCGATCTTGTTGGGAGTCGCGGATCGCCAGGGGTCCGATTCGCCATCAATGATCGCGACGCGCGGGTAGCTGAAATTGTATGCGCCATACTTGTTGATGGCGTCGACATTGGGTAGTGAGGTGATGTTGAAAGCCTTGCGACAGATGACGCTGGAGTATTCAATATCAATCAGGCGGGAAATTAGAGGAAGTTGATTCTCCGGAACGCCGGACCCGGTCTGGAAGTAACCCCATCTGAATGCCAATGTCAGCTTTCTGTTCCAGTAGATATGGGTACGATCACTTACTGCGAGCAGTATTGGTAGGCCCAAAGGCGCCAAGACGCGCTGAGATCGTCCGCGGCATACGAATCGTCACTTCCCGGTCCAAAACAGTCATCTTGCGTCTCCACATCGCACCAGGACGATGTATAGTCGACATAGCCAATGTAGTTCTTGAGCCGAGGAACCAACTCTGCAACCTCTGACTGATAGCCACCAACCTCGAGTAAGTAGCGAATAGTCGGTTCAAGGCTATCCGTCGCGGGCCAGATGAGTTCGTCAGAAGTCAAGTTGCCACAGTAGAGGAGGAAATCATCGCTATCGATGGCCGGGTCCCAATTCCGGCTTTGCAGTCCGGCAATGCCGCCTCCAATTGCGCTGGCAAAGTCAACGCTTGCCGTCACGTTCGGGAGTCCAAAAGCCGTCTTGAGTGTCACGATGTCTTTCTCGGTGGTGTTGCCCTTCTGCAGCAAGATGTTGTCCACCACGTTTGTCAGCTTCTGCGTGGTCTCGGCGCATCCTTCCGGGGCGAAACGTCTCGCGGCTTCATAGTATTCCCAAAAGTCAACCACAGCGGCGGTGACGCCTGAGGACGAGATCGCGCCTAAGAAGACGTCTGGATACAGCTTGCGCAGGAACGCAACGAACGCTCCGGCGTAGGAGCCTCCGTAAACGATCCATGGCGTTTCGGGGGCCGTCAGATTCACCTCTGCAAGTTTACCGGGGAAGACAATGTTCTTCGCAAAGTAAGCAGTGTCTGCCAAGGCTTGGTCAGTCGTCAGGAATCGCAGGTTTTCCGTGCTAAAGTCTGGAGTGGGATAGCTGCGGCCGTAATATCGATGCTCTAAGATGACCCCGACTCCGTTGGTCGCCTCCGCTAGAATAGCGACGATGCCCTTTTGTAAGAAAGGCAAACGGCCCGCGCCGCTGGTTTCGCCCGCTGCTAGGGCGATGACAGGACCACCAGGCTTGTAAAACCGGTCGTCGTACCAGTACCGCAGGGGGAAACTGCCATTGGAGTGCGGCTCGTATATGGAATCATTATGGAAGTGGTCAACGGGAACCGAAAAGTTCCAGGCTCGGTAGAGAGTGGACGGATCGGGCGCGCCGGGGGCGCTGTCGTTGGCGAATAGGCGGATGACTGCCGGGCTTGCAGATCGTTCGGCGGCGGGTTCAAGCTCGGATTGGAGGTGGAACTCCCTCCACATCTTCGCCGGGCTGAGTTGCGGTCCAAGGGCCGTGGTGACCGGTATCAGGCCGAGGATACCAACTTTCAGCCAAGACGGCGCCATCGTGTTGATTTGGCTTTGGTATGAGAAAACAAGATCAACCTGAAGTGAAGGCGGCTGCGGACCGTACAAACGTCACGCCAACATGTCGCGCCCCCGGCCATATTTGAGCTATCCGTGTCACTGCCGATCACCGATCTCTCTGTACCTGGGTGCCGCGGCGTCGTACGAGGGGTTCAGGGATCCGATTACGTCTTTGCGTGTCCGAATGTTACCTACCTGATCGGTCCTGGCGTCTAATTCGACGATACGAATCTGTCGTCCAAAGTTCGATTTTCGACCTTCCCGAAAAGCACAAAAATCCATGCGAAATGGGACGGGCCAAGGCTTGTTTCCCGTCTTTTTGAACGTCATGGATTATCAACCGGCTAGTCAGACTTTAACGTGGATTTACAATCAAACACTATCACGACGATCTATACTACCCGGTTGAGTTATGGTTTTTTAAACTTTGCAGCGTTTAATTCGACATGAACCTGGAAAACTTGGCTCTTTCTACTGAGGACAGTAGCGAGGACGCGTTTGGAATGGGTCATGTCGAGGGTGGTAACGTGCTTCCCTAATTCATAGCACAATAGGGTCCCTCTTCTCCACCACACGTCAGCCAGCGAATGGATTCCGTGCTATGGTGCATGTACTGAGTCACGTTAGACCGGACCATGGGCGCGGATAATCGCAGTAGTTAGACGAAGCACCCGTTCACAGTTTCCACCGCGACGACTGCGAGGGGAAGTGGCACGCACACATCCGATGAGACATCGCGACTGCTGCTTAGCATTATCGATTCTCTTCAAGGCGAATCGTAGGGGCGTCTTTGTGGATGACAAGATAACATGAATGCACATCAAGATAGATTCTATTGAATATCCGTCTCACTAAAGCCACAAGGTCTCTTTATAATTGAATAATACAACTGTCCACAATGTTCAATTTTTAAACATCTTTCCAGCAAGTCACGTACCGCCTAAAACAAATTTCAATTTATTCCGGTGACCCGACTAGTCCCGTTCTTACAGCGTCAATAGCTATCTTTCGCTCACAGGATCCAACCTCAAGTTGAAGACAAATACCCAGGTCATCAAGGTCGATCTAAACAAGACATCCAATAACGATTGCGCTGCTAATGGTGTGTCTCTAGCCGACGGCACCAATGTCGTCACTATTAAAAAAGTTATGCTTTCTACTTGTTCTATCCAGAGCTCTAGCCTGCTCGGACTGTATGTTATCAGTCAGCCGGCTGTGATCAAAGCTGCCGGAGGAAAGCGTCTTGTTGACCTGCCCAGTGCCGGCGAGAACTAACAAGATCACACCCGCAAGTCTAATATGTATCGCCTAAATGATGAATTTGACTCCTTCAATGCGCTCATCTTCAAGTCCAGTGGTGCCAGCGCAGCCAATGAGCTTCGAAAGTGGTATAACGGCGAACTCTACAACCATAGAACCGCAGCGTATGGCCTCTTGAACTGGGGCCAAATCGACATTCAAGCGCAGGCCGAGATCATTGCGCTTGCAGAGGCGGAGTTTGGCGACAGCACCTATCCCATTGACAAGAAGAAGATCGAGTTCCTGAAGGGCGGCATCTTCCCAGACTATGAGCTCATCTTCGACGTAAAATACATCGGCACGGCCGGGTACCCTGGTTCTGACAAGTACATCACCGTCTCCAGCACCGTCATGAACGCCCTCAGCCAAGGCAACGTGCACATTAATCCCGCGAACCCCATCGGCAAACCTTTCATCGACCATAGGTTCTTCAGTAACGAGCACGATATTAATCTGGCGTCAAGGGCGTCAAGTCTGCGCGTAAGATTGCCGAGGCATAGCCACTCAAGGCTATGTGGAATGCCGAGACGGAATCGGGTCTGGATGAGTAGACGGACGACTAGTTACGTGAGTTCGCCGTCAACACGGTGACTAGCTTTTACCACCCGGTTGGTACTTTCTCTCTCCTCCGCGAGGCTGAGGATCATATCGTGGACGCTTATCTGCTGGTTTACGGCACCTAGAACATGTGAGTAGTTGACAATAGCATCGTGCCCATCATCGTGTCTGGCCACATTCAGACGGCTGCGTACGGCGTTGCCGAGGTGGCGGCCGCTAGTATCAGTACAAACGCGATTTGAGAGAAATCGTTCACTTAATCGTTTCGTTCAGCTTTTTATTTTACACAGAGGCGAAAGATCTAGGTACTTCTAATCTGATATTTGCATTGACTATAAATAAGGAAGCTGTCGGTCCATTCATTTCATCTACAAAAAGAACAACTCTATGATTATGAGTTGCACTCTCTTGACATGTCAACAACAACTAGCAACCGACTCCTGGAAACGTGTGAAACAACTGAGGGCTGCCGGCGATGGATGTGATGTAAGTAGCATGCGCTGCACGGGACAAGAAAGATGAATTTTGTGGCAATTCTAATTCTCGCCGCGTCACTTGCGCAATTGAAAGCCGTAACGTTCTAGCTTTTTCCGGCTGAACAGGGTCGAGTAGTTTCTGGTATGTTCACGCTGCATCCGTTGCCCTGTGTAATTGTTCAGGTCAGAGGTTCTCGCGAGGTACTTGCACTCAGATGTTAGGCAAATCTGTGTCAATCAGGTTGAACAGCAGGATCGACCTGACAGAATGGCGAGTCTCAAAGGATCAATTATTTCAAGGCTTTAATAACGAATATGCTATGTAGAGGGCGCAGGTTAACAGCTGTCAACCCCAAGAGCTCGGGCAAGAGTCGGGCTTCAGCTCCGTATTCAAACCCTGGATCCGTCTTTACCCGTGTTCACCTGCCGCTCTCCGATGCCGGTCAGAGTTGCCGCTTTTGCCGCCCGTCTACCCCGGCGCAGATATCTGTCTAAAAAATGTCTGTCAACACATGCAAATACGATGAGACACTAACGAAGTTCTCTAAGCATCAAGTTACGAGATCATGAAGAAGGACGAAGGATCATGTACTCAATCGCTCCCGGCCGAACCTTATCCAATCGGCTCCCAGGGAGGCGGTGAGTCTTTAGATGAGAGCCAGATCACAGCACCATCATCGACAGATGCCGTGCCGGAAATCAGATTAGCGACTCTTCCCGACGGAGGATTGATAGCCTGGCTTCAAGTTTCTTGTGCTTTCGCGCTGTACTGGAACAGCCTGTAAGTCCGCCCCCTCGTCTTCAGAAGACTTCGTCTTGACCTCACGCTCAACTGACGCTGCTCGATACAGGGGCCTTCTCAACGGCTTCGGTGCTTTCCAAACTTACTATGAAACGACACTGCTCACAAGCGAGTCATCTTCAGCCATTGCATGGATCGGCTCGGTCCAAGTCTTTTTCCTCATGGCCGGCGGCGTAATCTTTGGTCCGCTCTATGACCTTGGCTACGCTCGATCAATGTTGATAACAGGCACGTTCCTCGTTGTCTTCGGCTTCATGATGACCAGCATTAGCACGCAGTACTACCAGTTCCTTCTTGCACAAGGTTTCTGCGTTGGGATCGGTTCCAGCTGTCTATACATTGTCGCCATTGCCTTGGTACCAGCCTATTTCACGGTCAGGAGGGCGTTGGCAATGGGGATTGCAACCGTTGGAAGCAGTCTAGGAGCAACCCTCTATCCGCTCATCTTCGAGAACCTGCAGCCTCGCATCGGTTTCCCATGGACAGTTCGAGTAATTGGCTTTATTACCTTAGCCATGTCGCTTTATGCTGTGATTGTAGCACGACCTAAGATCAAAGGGGCCGGAGGCCGGATAACGAAGAAAAGCTCGCTGAAAGAGATTGCCGAAATTGCCGGGCTTTCAGATTCTCGATACATGGTTCAATGTATCGCCATTTTCTTCAGCAACCTGGCCTTCTTCCAACCTCTCTACTATATTCAAAGCTACGCGCAATCACACGGCATGCAGGGTATGGCTCTGGCTAAATACCTACTCGTAATACTCAACGCAGTTGGTATTCCGGGACGCATTATACCTTCTCTCATTGCCGACCGATTTGGTGTACTCAATACGTACATTGGCATCTGTACCATGGCAGCCATTACGATCTTTTATTGGATAAGCGTGACCAACACTGCTGGGAACGTGGCATTCGCCGTGCTGTACGGCTTTTTCTGTGCCAGTGTCGTTACTTTGGCTCCGGTCGTTCTAGCGAGTATTACCGATGATCTTGGAATACTGGGAACGAGACTCGGGTTCGTTGCAGTATTGAAAGGAATTGGTTCTCTCATTGGGCCACCGATCGCTGGCGCTATCTTGGGATCGACTGGGAGTTATCTCGGAGTCCAGCTGTTCACTGGTCTGGCAATGTCGCTCACTGTTGTTTTTGCCGGACAATTAAGAGTCTTGATAGCCCGTAGAGAAGCTAAGAAGTCTGAAGATTGATCTTAGATATTGGAGGGACATAATGAAAACGTTGTAAAGAATAGTGTGAGATTTTGAGGGGTTTAAGACTGATCCGGAATTTACTGATAGGAGCATTTTGGCAGCCAAGTTACTAAACTAATACATAACGCGATATTTTGTATTTGTCGCATCTTGTTGTACTACCAGAGAACGTGATAGTAATGTAAAAGAGCCAAGGCTAGAAAGTACATTTTGGAACTGTAAATAGTCCTTAACAATGAGTGTTTCACAGTTCTGACAAGAACCTATCAAGGAAGCCAATCACAAAAACCTAATTGCGATCTAGCTTAGCCTCAGCCAGCTATCAACTACTTCTAACGCCTATGATCGACAAGGGCTTGGTGAGGTGTAAGTAGCCAACCCAGCGCACTGGTTTCTGGCAAAAGAACATGGCATTGATGCAATGGAATCAGTTGTTTGACGAGCAAATATATATGCCTTTGGGAGCTGCGGCGCCATCCCGAAAGGCCAAGACAAGGGGCCCCGACCTGCATGCTAGGCAAGGTCTTGGGCTCTTGACTTCTTCATAGTCTTGAGCATTGGCAACGGCACCCGGTAACGCCAGCACTACGGCCGCAGGGCATCATGCCGTTCCTCATGCGTGCGACCCCCTCCATGGACCATGGCGGCATTTCCTCCCTCGAGGCAAGGTACCCCAGCTGATGTTTGTGCCGTTGGCGGATGCCCCATCTAGCTGTCAGGCATTCAAGGTAAGGAAAGGCAACAAGACTACGAAGTATTGTGGAGTGAGGATTTCGGAATGAAAAACTTTTAGGGAAGTATGGCCTTCTCAAACAGTTAGCCCGCATGTGGTTTATCCTGGTTGCCTCATACTTATCTTGGACTCAACTTGGCCTCTTCCAAGCGGAAGTGAACAAGCCCGCCTGCCGCTGCAGTTCTTTGATGTTGATATGTCGCAGCTCAAAAGCCTCAATGTGATGCAGGATTTTCTGCAAATTGCAGATATGTACATTGGCGAACGCCGAGGGGGCGGTTCCAGAACCGCGGATCCATTCAAGCCATCCACGCTTTGGGGGGTCTGGAGGGTGGCACCCCGGTCCTCTTCTAGGAAAGATGTTCCGTTTGCGCCGCCTTGCGGGAGCTCTAGCCACCAGACTAACATTAAAAAGTCGTTCTGAACCAGGGCCCAATTCGAACTGGCTGGCGGAAGGCCTTGCCGTGGGAGGCGTGTCACCTGTGTTGGGTGTGCCGGAACCCCGGACAGAACATGAGTAGAGGCTGGGTGCCATGCAGTAGCCAGTCCCCAGATTTTGATCTGGGGTACAGAACATAGCAACGCACTACATTGTGACATCTTTCGCGTATGAAGGAGTCAGCGCTACTTCGACTTGCATCTCGGCGGCTTTGATTGTGATGAGTTAGATGCAGTGCAGCACGAAGGCCCGAAATGAAGGCCCAAAGGCTGAGGCTCTATTCTCTCTTTCTCTATCCGCCGGCTGCTGTGACTTCCCATGATTTTTGACCCTAGCCCAGTCATAAGCGCTGTAACGCGTTGCGGCATCTCACCACCTCCAAAGGCGCCGAGATGCGTCGGCTTGTCGGTGCGGATCTTGCAGCGGCAACTTTCAATCCCATCGTCTGCCTGGCACGAATCATTAATGGACTTCTGGATCTCAAGCGGCTGGTGTTGACAAGGGTAGAGCGTCTGGCGTGAGGCGCGAACTTGCAATGCAGCCAGCACTCCAAGACGTCGAAACTTGGCCGAGGTAATCATTGACAATCACCTGAGTTGATGATCAATACCTAGTATCTACCTGTCTCATCCTCCTCTACATAAGGTACGATCTACTCAGGAGGTTACCGTCTGTGGGGCTCCCACTTGTGTTGCAGGCAACATGAAGATATCATGAGGTGGAAATTTAGCCATGCCTTCGACGCTGCATTGGCTTTCCGATGCAGCTTTTACTCGCTGTGCCACCCTGGTTTTACCATTGAGACTTGGGATAGATTGAACAGCGAAGCGTCTGCGCCGTCCCCATCATCGCGTATCATCGTAATGGGTCGTGTTAGCCTTGATGCCCCTACAGTCCCCTCAGCCAGATGAATAGGAGAGAGGAACTGCAGCGGCCACTAGGTTTCCCCGAATCGCGAAAACTTTCACATTATCGTTATGTGGAACGCGTTCGAGGCCGCCCTCTGTGGTCGACCCGGCCGATCGGACGATGGCTCTCGAGTATTCACTAGCGGCGCAGTATGGACAGCGGTTTCGGATCCATGAACCTTGAGGAAGGCAACGGCTGAGATTTTCACACCGTACCTTTTGACGAGTCCCAATAAACGCGAGCCTGTTGGACGACCGTAGCGTGGCGTTGGATCACGGCCCGCTTGAAGCATCAAGGAACCCAGTTTGAGAGATATGCAGCACAGTTGTGGCTGAAATGCAAGACCCGTCGTCGAATGGATCCAACCTGATCCCGAGGTCCAGGTCGATAGCTGGCCATACACGATGAGTACACACGGGGAGTAGCGAACACAATGGACTGACTGGCAGACCAGGATGGGAGGCAAACGAGATCCGCAACGATGGGTCGCGTGTGCCCATGTGCGTCGCTCGTCGCCGTGGGTGTCATGATTTCACCACTCAATGTGGATCATCAAGAAAATGTCGAAAAAGGCTCTCATACGCTGGAAATCAAGAGCAGGAATGGCATCCCATTGCCGGCGGCTTCCAGCCGCATGGACCCATCAAAGGACCCGACGCTGCATGGTTGTCCTTTGAGGGCGTGAGTACGGAGCCCAGCTTGTGCATGTCCGTCCGTTACCTGTGGTCGTCTGGAGAACGTGATACTCCAATTTCTCCATCCCGAGCCAACGGCGCGACATCAAAAGTCCAATATGAGAATAGAACTACTGTGTACTCCACGATGACAGGGGTGGGTGGGCCGGCGATCGCAGGGACTGGGTGCTTTAGCTCCGAGGATGCGAGTCTAGAGGCGTTTCCCGGACTGGGCTGCCAAATTGAGTCAAATTTTAGCGCGGAGGAAGGCGGCCCGTCTACCAGATAGGAATAGCGTCCTGTCGCGAGAATGAGGAGAGGGTTGGGGGCGCGCCAGAACATGAAGATGGGCTTTGTCAAGTCAATCATGACCCTTCCGGCCGTTTCCTCTTTTCCAGGAATGCCGAGCTTTGGAAAGTCACTAACAAGGGAATACATGTGTCCGCAAAGTATACCTTGGTAAGATTGGTTCTATAACCAAGATCATGGCTCCATATGATAAATATACTAGCGAGAGCAGTGGAAACTGGACACTTCATTATTGAGAAATACTTCCGCCATTTTACGAAATGCCTGCACAAGATGAGTATCGGGTCTTAGTAAGATACATTCATGGAGGGAACGCGGAAACCCGCGACAGGGGTGTGTGAGCAAAGCCCAGATCAGTCCCCGGAGGATGCAGTCCTCAGTGACTTGAATGATTTCAAGCATGCAGAGACAGGAAATGAAAGTCAGCAGGTGTTGCTCTCAGGCCACATGGAAAGACGGCCCGGCTGGAGTCGACCGTGAATCCTCTCATTCTGAGCTATTGTGACCCAGTTGAGTTTGGCGCCCCTTTCTCCAGATCTGCCCTCCAGTTTTTCTTCCCCATCTCAACCCTCCCCAGCCAACCCAAACGCCACAGAACGCGTTAGAGAGCGACAGGCTCGTGTGTCTTCGGCTGCGTGGTCTCAGAGCCCCGGGCGGGCGCTCCATTGACTACTGCTGGTGGGCAACCGAGGAACCTGAAATGGCTGACGATGATTCGATTTTTGAAAGAAGCTATTGCCAACAACAACCAAAAATATCTCCTAATAGACATCTGGGCCTGAATAATTCACCTTGTGCTCGACTCAACAGACCAGCCCGGTCGACTCGAGGCAAGACGGCCAGCATCTCCACAAGCCCACACACTCTCCCCAGATTCAGCAAAACCTTCTTTGGCAATTTCTCCAGCGCAGCTCCATCGAGCCGGTACCAACGCAGCATAGCATCCGCAAGCATCCTGGCAGGGGTGCGCAGCCCGTCGACCCGCTGATCCGGAGGACAATGGATGCTTCTCCCTCTTCGCCTGACGACGTCGGCGACCATACTCGAAACCCAACGCACACGTCGTTAAAAACAGACACTAGCCAAGCTGGCCCATTTCGTCTGCCGGCCCGTATCGGCTCGTCGACTCAGTCCTGAGGTGGGCTTCTAGGTTGGCCTGCCTTCATTCCATCGTCCAGGCCCAGGGTTGGAGAGGAATTTGGGGTTTTCCTCCGCGCTAAGGCAGACGGCCAGGCCAGAGCCACAAGCCGCCCCCATGGTTTTCTTGACGAACTGCCTGGACACCTCCCATCTCATTCACATTTATTGCGATGCAGCCATCACGGGATCAAGAAAACGAGGAGCTGGTACCTGCCAAGGAGTGACACCCCCGAGACAGCCACACTCAAGGTGTGAGAGTGAGTCTGAAGACCATGGCCTAAAAGCTGGAGGCTGGATCTGGCTTCTCCGTCTACACAACGACTGGTTACATGTACTTTGCCCAAATATCGGATGCTAGTGGGTTGGTCCATCGGCCAAGTGGCAACCCAGCATCTGCAGGTATTCCTCTGCGCATTCTCAAAGAACAAGGGCCAGTAGGGGGGTGTGTGGACGAGGGTGGTGCAACCAACGATCTGCCCAGGCGGTACAAGCAAAACCCAAGGATGATTCGCCCTAGTGCAGCCGCCTTTTCGGTCCCATGTGGAAATGGGCCGTCCTTCCACCCCATACAAGGGTAGTAGCCTCGAAACGGCCGAGCTAAAGATGGGCAATTGAGGGTTGGAGTTCGTTCCTACCGTGCAAGCACTGCTTCCTCCACATCGGAATACCACTCCCCATCCCAGTCCCAGGCGATTCCAAGACCGAAAATCATAAAACCTCGGCGTGTCCCCGCGATCCCTGGCCTGTTTTTGTCTCGAGCTCTCCATCCTCAACCTTCCCTCATCCACTTTCTGCCTCCAAGATCCATTACACGCAGCTTGGTCTGTGGTGATCGGCCATCTTAGCTTACTCCCTCTCCGCACCGCCAACAACAAAGGGAACCTGCATCTCCGGCCGCTGTGCCGCACAAATTCATCATGTCCGAGAAGATTGATACCGTGGACGCTGTCCACGTCCACGACCATGATTCCGACAAGGCAAGTCACGATAGCCTCGCTCATGGGACCTTGCGTGATCCTTAGCAAGGAGTAATGGCTAACTTATCTTGACAACACAGAAAGAGGTCCAGACCAAGGTCGTCAAGGGCAGTGAGGCTTTCAACGAGGCAATGATCAAGGAGCGCCCCAATGCTTGGAGCAAAGCCCAGCTCATGATCTACGCCTTCTCTCTCATTGGTTTCTTCTGTTCGACTATGAACGGTTACGACGGTTCCCTAATCAATAACTTGCTCCAGAACCCTTCTTTCAAGGAGCGTTATGGTGCTAAGAACGACGGTATCTGGGCTGGAATCATCTCTTCCATGTACCAGATTGGTGGTGTTGTGGCCCTTCCCTTCGTTGGTCCCGCCCTCGACACCTGGGGTCGCAGAATCGGCATGTTCATCGGTGCAGCCATCATTATTATCGGTACCTGCATTCAAGCAACTGCCAATGGAACTGGCCAGTTTATGGGTGGTCGTTTCCTGCTTGGTTTCGGTGTCTCCATCGCCGCCTCTGCCGGACCCATGTACGTCGTCGAGATCAACCACCCGGTAAGTGAGAAAGTCAAATCACCAAAACAAGACGAAGGCTTCTTTATTAACGATGAATCCAGGCTTTTAGGGGAACTGTAGGTGCCATGTACAACACTCTGTGGTTTTCTGGAGCTATTATCGCTTCTGGTGCAGCTCGCGGAGCTCTAGACATCAAGGGCGATGCTTCATGGCGCCTTATCACTTGGCTCCAAGCTCTCTTCTCCGGACTCATTGTCATCTTCTGCCTGTTTATGCCTGAGTCTCCTCGATGGCTCTTTGTCAACAATAAAAAAGAACAGGCGGCACAGGTCCTCGCAAAGTACCATGGAAACGGAAACCCCGAGTCCCCTTGGGTCAAACTCCAGCTTCACGAGTACGAGGAGCTCCTCAACATGGACGGCGCCGACAAGCGCTGGTGGGACTACAGGGCGCTGTTCCGCAACCGCGCCTCCGTATACCGTCTCTCCTGCAACGTTGGTATCTCAATCTTTGGGCAGTGGGCTGGTAATGCTGTTCTGTCATACTTCCTTGGATCTGTCCTCGACACCGCTGGCTACACCCACCCCATTCAACAAGCCAACATTACTCTCATCAACTCGTGCCAGCAGTTCCTGTGCGCTATCTGCGGTGCTTTGCTTGTCGACAAAGTTGGTCGCCGTCCCTTGTTGCTCTTTTCCTTCACCGCCTGCACAGTCGTTTGGCTCGGCATGACGGTTGCCTCGGGCATTCTTTCAAAGTCCAAGATTGGTGAGACCGACGGCGGTGCTCCCATCTTTAACAACCCAGCTGCATCCCAGGCTTGCTTGGCCATGATCTTCATCTTCGGCTCTGTCTACTCAGTCGGTATCACACCTCTCCAGGCCCTCTACCCCGTCGAGGTCCTCTCCTTTGAGATGCGTGCCAAGGGTATGGCGTTCTCCAACTTGGCTGTCAACGCCGCCGGACTCCTAAACCAGTTCGCCTGGCCCGTCTCCATGGAGAAGATTGCCTGGAAGACCTACATCATCTTCACGATTTGGGACGCAATCCAGACCACAATCATCTACTTCTACATTCCCGAGACCAAGGGCCGCACTGTACGTATCAGGCTCAGACCTGGAAATCGGTTCAAAGCATGTGCTAACTTGTTAAAAACAGCTCGAGGAACTCGACCACATCTTCGCTGCCGACAAGCCTGTCAAGGCTTCCCTCCAGAAGAAGGAGGTTGCTGTCGACCGCTACGGCGATGTTGTCAATGTCCAGGACGTCTAAGGGATTCCGCCATCTCATGATGGCGATTATATCACCCGAGCGAGCGAGCGATTTGTGTCACTGTATTTTGTTGGGAGAGTAAAGATTTAATGTTACGAGAACACGGAAGCAACGAAGTCGTGTTGCCTACTGTTGCATGGTTGGCAGTATACGATGTTCTAGAGTCGTTAAGGCGGCTGTTGGATACTATTGGTAGCCTATCAGATCTTTTATACCTACTATACCACCTGTTTCATACTGCTAAACTTGGTTCTCTGATCTTTTTGATAATGAATGTAGTGTTGGGATTATTTGTTCCCCGTTTCGTGTTTTCATTGTAACGTCCCGCTCATCGCCCTCGTCGTTCTTGCTATTCCGCACAAACAATTGTTTCATCGTCTATCTCGAGCTACCCTTGAGTGAAGCAGGGCCTTGATATGTATCACGAAGCGAGGTATCGAGCGGAAGGCATATAAATTAGTAAGTGGCTTGACTAAGCAAAGAGAAGGCTCTTAATTACACGGGACCGTGGATTAAAACGCCGTATGGAGCAAGCCCACGAAGCGGTCGTTCCGTGGTAAGCGGTGTCCGGTGGCGGTGTACTGGGCGGCGCCACATGTGGCGCTGCGACAATATGTTATCTCGTGCCACTGTCCGTCCTACGGTTACGTGGCCCCTGTCTAACTCAAATAAAAAGACGTGGAGCAGAGTAGCTTAAGGTAGTGAGGATAGTAAGGATGGCAGAGTGTTTGTGATGAATAGTGAGGGTGGTCTCAGCCCACAGTTTCTGAATACAAGTGCCAGGACTTGGAACATGAAGAAAGTTGTACATCGCGGAGAACGTAAAAGGAGTGCACGCACGTCGGCAAGTTGCACGCTTACATCCATAGATTGGCGTTGGAATGTGTTGAATGGCTCTCTTCTTGTTTCAAACGATCGAGATTGGGATGACCATAAGATAAAAGGGTTAGTAGTACTCAAGTATCTGGATTCAAGCCTTTTAAGATAACCTGAGAATGAACAATTGCGAAAAGCGGGATTGCGCCACATTTACTGCCTGAGGACTCGGCCTGAAGCTGTAAAAAAAACTGACTATCCTCCTAGGGCTTTCCAGATACTCAAGGTACTTCAGGGGAACCTTTAGGTCTCGGGCGCGTTACGTGCTTTCCGAAGTTTGGACTGGGAACGCTGGCATCTCCACATTGCGCCGGGCAAGCCGGAAATCGCAGGAATACGGGACCCACCAAGAGCGGCGGGGCCGTACCGAGCACCTCCGGGTGGGGTATAAGCGGATCATCAGTTCAGCCGATATTTGCACCCTCTGGTCTCATTGGATGAGACTGTGGCCCCATTCATGATACCCCTGTATGTCATCGCACTTGCTGATTGGCTTGCAGCCTGCCTCCCGCGCAGCCTTGGGAAATCTGGAGCCAGAGCTCCCACGCGCAGCCTTCGCACCTTTTTCCCAATCCTTCCCTCCCGCAATCCACCACCCACCACCCACCTCGACCGGTTTTGCCTGGTCCCCATATACAGACATAGCCGACGACATCACTATCGCGAACAGATCGCCGACCGACGCCATGTCACAACTCGGTTCGGTGGCCTTGGCCAATGGCTCCGCGACGCCGAAGAAAGTCGCCTACTTCTACGATTCCGACATTGGTAATTATGCTTATGTTACCGGTCACCCCATGAAGCCCCATCGCATACGTCTCGCGCACAGCTTGATCATGCACTACGATCTCTTCAAGAATATGGAGATCTATGTATGTGATGTTTCTTTCTCATCGCCGCGACCCGATGGCTACTAACACAATGTCCTCAGCGAGCGAAACCTGCGACGAGGGGAGAGATGACCCAGTTCCACACAGACGAGTACATCGACTTCCTCCAAAAAGTCACTCCCGACAACATGGACGCCTACCAGAAGGAACAGGGAAAGTACAACGTCGGAGACGACTGTCCCGTCTTTGATGGTCTTTTCGAGTTCTGCGGCATCAGTGCTGGTGGTAGCATGGAGGGTGCCGCACGTCTTAATCGCCAAAAGTGCGACATCGCTGTCAACTGGGCCGGTGGTCTTCATCACGCCAAAAAGAGTGAAGCCAGTGGCTTCTGCTACGTCAACGGTACTGAAGACTTCATCAAGTGACAGCTCCTGTATCGCCTGCTAATCATTTTTAGACATCGTCCTCGGCATCCTCGAGTTATTGCGTTTCAAGAAGCGCGTGCTCTACATCGATATCGACGTCCACCATGGCGATGGCGTCGAAGAAGCCTTCTATACAACCGATCGAGTCATGACCGTTTCCTTCCATAAATATGGCGAGTACTTCCCCGGTACTGGCGAACTTCGCGACATTGGTATCGGCACCGGCAAGCACTACGCCGTCAATTTCCCTCTCCGTGATGGTATCGACGACACCTCATACAAGTCGATTTTTGAGCCAGTCATCGAGCACGTCATGAAGTTTTACCAACCTGAGGCCGTTGTATTGCAGTGTGGCGGTGACAGTTTGTCTGGTGATCGCTTGGGCTGCTTCAACCTCAGTATGGAAGGTCACGCCAACTGTGTTGGGTATGTCAAGAGTTTCGGTTTGCCGACCCTGGTTCTGGGCGGTGGCGGATACACTATGCGCAACGTCGCTCGCACATGGGCATTCGAGACTGGTGTTCTCGTGGGCAAGCATCTTCCCAAGACTCTTCCCTACAACGAATACTACGAAGTAGGTCCTTTGTTCCCCTTGTCACTGACAAAATTGATTGACTGACACCGTTTCAGTACTATGCCCCCGATTTCGAACTCAACGTCCGTCCCTCGAACATGGAGAACTCGAACAGCTTCGAATACCTGGAGAAGATCAAGGCCGCTGTCATCGACAACCTCAGACATACCCAACCCGCCCCCTCTGTCCAGATGCAAGATGTACCTCGTCAACCCTTTGGTGGCATGACGGACGAGGAAGAAGCCGAGCTCAACGATATGGACGAAGACGAACACGCAGACGAACGAATGACTCAACGTCGCTGGGACCAGCGCACCCGCAACGAGGCCGAGTTCGAGGACAGCGACGACGAAGATATGGATCAGGCAAACGGCATGACGCGCCCTCGGAATGCTAAGAAACGTACCTTTGGCGATTACCGACAGGCGGAAGGTGAAGTCGACAGCGGTGCACCCTCACCCGTGAATGGTGCTCCTGAGGGTGAAGAAGCCCCCAACGCGGAGCCGCTTGTGGACGCCGATATCACTCTCGAGAACCCCGCCGAACCCGAAGAAACGTCTGACAAGTCAGAGAAGTCAGTTCCAGAAAAGGAGACCGCTCCGGAGGCCTCGAAGGAGGACGGCGTCGATGAAGATGGCGATGTTGGAATGGAAGACGGAGCGGATGTTGAGGAAGGCACGACCACAATCAAGAAGGAAGAAGTTGAGGCAGAACCCGTCCAGGTAGCTGAGAAAGAAGAAAAGGCGGAGAAGCCTACTTCACGCAAGCCTTCCGCCGAACCTACAGCTGAGCCGCCTGTTGCAGAAACGACAGAGACAACCGAAGCCACCGAGGCTACCAACGAAACTACCAAGGCGACTGAAACGGCGCCTAGCAAGGAAGCAGAGGCGGCCGAGCCTAATAAATCCACGTCTGAGGTCGCGGTCGATGAACCAGTCGCTGAAACCAAAGAGACGACCCCTGAAAAGGGAAAGGACACTGCTGAAAAGCCCGAGGTCAAGGCTGTTGAGGAGGGGGATAAGATGGATGTTGACGAGAAATCGACCGAGGAGGAAGCCAAGAAGGAATAGTGGTCTCCGAGGCCCTTTCATCCCTTTTTTTCGCGTTGGCATACGCAGTGATGCAGCAAGCTACCTATGATGAAACGTTGGGTTTTAGCCAGCACGCTTGTGGTAGCGGTGCGAGAGTATCGGGCGTTTAAGGACAGGTGGCTTTGGGGGACTTTCTTAGCATGGAACTCTGGGTTGTTGTTTGTTTCTGGTTTGAATGATACTCCCATACGCTCCTTGCGCAGTATTTTACCGGACAGAGGAAATTGCCGGCTGTATTATAGATAGTCAAGGCGTAGTACTAACTTGCGGACGTAGCGAATTTTGTTACTCTGAGTATCATTTGGTGCGTGATTTTTAAATAAGTGGTTTCTGCAATGGCCTTTCAGTGCCTGCCTTTGTGTTCAGAGTTATGATGGACTTCGCTGGTGTGAAGATCTGGCCAGCAATTAAGGACCGTCGCCATCGCGTCTCCCTAGTCTCCCACTCGACAGAGCACCAATCTCGCATTCTGTCGAACAAAGGATCGAGGCCTTGCACATTGATTCAGTCGTCAACAACATCTTAGTTTTTCAAGTGCTTCCTAGCCTTCTGCCCTCATATCTACAGTGTCTTCATGCCTCATCCTGCCCCAGGGGCTATGTATTTTTTCCGTGGGGCGTCCGCCATTACAAAGTTTTTGGTCATAAACTTTATGCAGGTCCGCCTGGGGTCTATCCAAAGATGCCAAACTTTCGCTAACGTGGTCTCGTGAGAAATCTCCGTCACGTCCGCTAGCCAGCTTAGCTAACTGATCGTCCAAAACTGTAAAAAGTCGTTGTCGTTACTCATCAATCATCATGGCTAGGCCTGTCAGCATCACGCTTTATCCCGACCCAAATTGCTTCGTGCTGCCACTGGAGACAGCCCAGAAAACTGTGGCTTCCCTTACGTATCCCACACAACGGCGCCGAAATATCCTCCGTCCCCTCGGCTCGCTCCTCTGTCGGTATGTCGCCGAGGCGGAGGCTGCAGCGGCGTGGGCAGTTCCGCCTCCGGCGGGTCGACGGACAAGAACCGCACGCCCTCCTCGGTGTCGACCCTCGTCAGCGGTACAGTCTCCCTGTGCGGCGAGTTCTCGTAAGGCGGGGAATCTTGAGACGGCGTTCTGTGCACCGCGGGCGGGGGCAGGATCCCTGGAACGTCACTCAGATCTATCCGCGGATGCGGGGCTCCACCACCGCCGGTCTCCTCGTTATAATTGATCTGCCCGTGGCCGCTGGTCGAACGTTCGTACGCATCGGCTCTCGATCGCCTCGTCTTGCTCTTCACTGCGCCATCACCGTCGGACTGCGTGCAGAGCTCGGTGTCGGCGTTCTCTTCGATATTGGCCCGAAGGTAAGAGGGCCATCGCACCCTTAAGTTCTGTCCACTGAGCAGCGGACGAAGGGTCGGGACGCAGAGGCAGATTATGGCACAGCTTAGCTCTGTTATTGACCAGATTCCGGCGATGACGGTATGATATGTGATGTCATTGGAGGTCGAGGAGCTTTTGAGGGTCGTGAGGCGAATGACTGATATCGCGCAGGTGCTGCCCACACGTCTCGTCAGCGAGAGCCTTGGGAATACGTCAGGTTGTAAGGAGAACTAACAAAAACCCAAGGCCAAATGTAATCATCAGCACTATCTTTTGCCTCGTGGGCAGGGGTATCGTCCGCAGCAGCGGCAATGGCATGACGTAGATGACGATGTCGGTGACGAGGTTTATCGAGGAACCAATCATCCACCAGTCAAGCAGCCTTATGCATCGCCCTGGTACTGTGTGGTCCCAGAGACTCTTGAGAGGGATACAAGCGAGGCAAAGGGATATCACCTGCGATATACCAAAGGCAATAATAAAAACCAAAAAGATGTTACATAACTTTTGGAAAGCCGGTAATGGAAACACACGCCGGTACTGTAGGAGAAAGGTTGATTTGATGAGAGCATAGGCCTGTGAAGGTTATCAGCTCGAGGTCTCGTCGCAATGCTCCGGGTAGAGGTACGGCTTGGTAGATGGCCACGGCCGTGATTGAGATCTGGTTTTCTGATGAGTTTCGGCCTCTTGATAAGTCAATTGGACAGCAATGAACCTACTTCTTGGGATTTGAGAAACTTGTCCCTAGGCAGCGTGGCTTGGTGCAGTCCATCCCCAAAATGAGTGTCTGCGTCGCGGAGTTGATCAGTAAACGACCTCTCATCCCAAGCTGCCTCAGAGGAGACCTACTAATGAGCATTAAAAGCCCAACGACAGATACAAGGACCTTTGAAAGAATAGAGAAGAGTCAGTGATGGACTTTGTGGCTCCTTCGTGTTTCTGGACGTACATGAGATGTCACCAGAGCCGAGTCATCCCAGCCCCATTTCCTCAGTAGGCGAGCGCGAACGTGTACTCTCAGGGCCGTGACGAGCGTTGCGAGGAACAAAGCCGTGACTGTTACGCCGATTACGAGTGGCTGCCGCGTTTCGCTTGGGTCCACTGGAGGGACATCTGGCGTCGCTACCTGTCCGTCGTCTGTTGATGTTGAATTCATAGTCCAATTTCTTACTTTTGCCCCTCCTCTGAGCGAGGCTCGGTCGGCAGGATGGGGACCGAAGCGGTGGCAGAGATGTGGTCGACAGGTACTTGACTAATTATGTCGTGCCGACGGAATGCGATTTTGAGTATCGCGAACAAAAGCGATCTCAACTCATGTCTTCCGTGTATAGTGCCGACTGCTTGAGACCAAGAGGATTCGATCCGGTTGCACTATGCCACTCTAGTCCGGTAGGAGCACTGCGATATGGCAGAAAGAAATCGAGAGAGTTGCTGGTGTCATCCTACCCGGGAACAGGGCATATCAATTGTCAGTCACACATCACACGTGGAGCGCTCATAATTAAGTTGGAGCTAGGAACAGAGTTGTCGCGCGGGCCAAAATTACGGAGGGACGAGCAGACTTGAGATGGGCGTCTATTTTGAGTTCGACGTGACTCGCTATTAGTTAATCTCCCGAAGCTTTGCAATTTGTGAAGCGTAAATGACCGGTGTCGTGCTGTGCTGAGGTCCTTTGTTCGTGGTATGTCCTCGATTGTCAGGAACCTCTTCGCTCAGGATTCGGATCGCCATCTCGGTAGGTCATATCGGCATACAATACTTCAAAGGTTATTATCCTGACTTGGCGATGGGATCACCATCCTTTTCCCAATCCGGTTGGTTCTTCTTTGCAGATTCGGTGCAGGAGATCCGAACACTGAGGCGCGACGTTCGGGACCGTTGCGCCTATCATTGGGCCTCAACTGAGAGTACAGTTTTTTAGACGTTTCGTTCCATGCAGCTCGCAAGACTTTTTTAAACTCCTGTCTCCGTATGAATCAAGCTCGTTTTTCCGAATACGTCTAGCGTCGTCCGTTGATTTCTTCAGCCGAATTGGTTGTTTTGTTTGAAGTCACGGAACTCAAATGCCCCGCGAATGGTTCGCTCGGTTTCCGGGCGTCCTTGTCCGTTCTCGTCCCATGGAACAAATCGAGAATTGAGTGACCATATTGAGGTGCATTGCGCGAATATTGTGAATCTGCGGCTAACATGCACGTCCTTTCCAGGCCACCGAGTCATGATACTTGCCGAATCGCTTCTCAATTGAGTCAGCGACCTATGAAATCTACGTTGGAGAGAGAACGTGTTGATCTGTAGTAGATGTTACATTCACCTCAGCGTCAAAGACGTTGAGTGATGGTGTGTGTATTTCACAAGGATGCCGGCCGAGACGTAATATACCAATCCTTGACGTGGAGCAGCGGCAGATTGCGTAGTTTGAGTGGATGCTACGGGGCATCGGCATCTTTGCCAGGGTTTTTGCTGACGTCGATTCGTCGTTTACACGAAGACCATAGTAGGGAGATCTCGTCGTTTAAGAACGGGTTCGCTGAAGCGCAGTGTATCCTACCCATGTGTATTGTGTATTAGGCATTACACATGGAAATCCGTCCTTGCGATGCCAATGAAATGAATGCGGATTGATGAGGGCATCGTGGCGCACCGAACGCAGTGGAGGGGAAATCCAAGTGTGGCTGACGGTTTAGTTGATCTAGCCTAATTCAGCGACGCATGTGGCTTGACTCCTCCCACCTTTGCATGCCATGCTGCCCCAAGTCATCGAATGGTTAATATCCATGCTCGGAGCTCGACCAAAGAAACCAGGCAAATATTCACAAATATATTTGTGATGGTGAAGTTTCCTTACTAAGAGAAACAATTACGAGTTACTCTAGAACCATATCGTGTCGAGAAAACTCCTTCTGTCACGGCTACGACTCCTCGATAAAGCCGAGCACGTGACTGTTTGTCAGCCAGAAATAGTACGTACCGGACCAGGCTAGCTCCGCCGCCGGGACCTTTTTCGCCAGGCTACTCAGAGCTGTCGTCAACACCACTCAACTCCACGACCCAGCTGCTTCCATCCGCCTCCATCACTCCCACCCGCGCCCTTCCAAACCTCCCCGAACAACTCTCTCCGCCACAGAATTTCGAAGCCTGCTGTATCACCGTACTCCTCAATCCTCACCACCGATCACATCATCACAATGGAGCGCTTCAGGAACATGCTCCAGTCCCAGGGCCTCGGTGGCCTGGGTAGCCAGCCCGGAACGGTAAGAGCATCCCACCTTGTTGAGCTGCCTTGACAGCTCCGATTGACGACACTCTGGCGATACTTCACTAACGCGGTACTCTAGGACAACACACAGCTCATCGACAACTCCGAGACCGTCTATATCTCCTCCCTTGCCCTCCTCAAGATGCTGCGACACGGCCGTGCTGGTGTTCCCATGGAAGTCATGGGTCTGATGCTGGGAGAGTTCGTCGACGACTTCACGGTACGCGTAGTGGACGTTTTTGCCATGCCACAAAGTGGTACTGGTGTCAGTGTAGAGGCCGTCGACCCCGTCTTCCAGATGAAGATGATGGACATGTTGAGACAGACCGGAAGGTGAGTTCGGACCCCGCGATCCCTCCCCTAGTCTTATCGCAATCGCAGGAACAGGCACTGACAAACACTTTACGAACAGACCTGAGGCTGTCGTAGGATGGTACCACTCGCATCCTGGCTTTGGATGCTGGCTGTCGTCCGTCGATATCAACACCCAGCAGTCCTTCGAGCAGCTGACCCCGCGCGCCGTCGCCGTCGTCGTTGACCCCATTCAGTCCGTCAAGGGCAAGGTCGTGATCGATGCCTTCCGCCTGATCAACCCTCAGTCCCTTATGCTTGGCCAGGAGCCCCGGCAAAGCACGAGTAACTTGGGCCACTTGAACAAACCCTCAATTCAGGCCCTCATTCACGGCCTGAACCGACACTACTACTCCATCGGCATCAACTACCGAAAGACGGCGCTCGAAGAGAACATGCTCATGAACCTGCACAAGCACGTCTGGACCGAGGCGTTGGAGATGAACGACTTTAGACACGAGGGCGATTGTAACAAGGAGCGCTTGGAACGCCTCGTTAGCCTAGCAGAAGGCTACGAGAAGCGCGTCAAGGAAGAGACCGAGTTGACGAAGGACCAGCTCAAGACCCGCTATGTTGGCAAGCTCGACCCCAAGAAGCACTTGGAGGATGTCGGCCAGCAGCTGATCGAGGACAACATTGTGTCCGTTTCGAGACAGATGATCGACAAGGAGGCGACGATGCCCAAGAAAGACGGACCGGCGGGTGGCAAGGATCAAGCAAACGGCGACTCGATGGATGTGGAAGAGGAGTTGTGAGGGGACAGGGGCCATGATTCAGGGACGGTCTCAGGCGGGATATAAGGACTTTGCCAGCACTGTACGATTAGGCGTTTAGGTGGACGGGAACGCAACATCTAGAGGACCCGCCAGGCATAAGACGACTATGAACTCAACGTTATGGACCCATGATATGAAGGAAGCTCTGGCCGCACGAATTTCCTGACGTCGACTTCTTTCAATGTCCTGTGTTAGGCGGAATTGGTGATTGTCCGTCTAAGTTGCACCAAGGACCGTGGCAGAGGCGCCTTTGTTTCCTCGTAACCCATGACAGGGTTTTGCAGCATGGCAAGCTCAAAGGTAAAGGGAATACAAAGTTGCATTGTTTTCTTACAGTCCCCCCAGAACGTCCGAGAAACATAGATCAAAGTCTCAAGCCCATTGTCCGCAACATTTACCAATATGTTCGCAACCTTGTAACCATTCGAGGCCCTTCCCATGCAGCTACTTAATGGCAAGGCTCAATCTCTTCCCAAGTGACAGCCGGTGGCAAGCCAAGAGGGTTCAATATCAAGCACAGTCTATCCATTTCCTAACTTCCTGCCGACTTCGTCTCTGGACATGCTTATGCAGATTAATGTTTCACGGTATGGGGTCTCGTCAAACTAAGAAGAGTCTGAAGCTGAGATCCATCTTCCATTTCCCTACATTGTCCCCTTTCCGGTTCCCAAGATCCCGCAACAGGCGGACAAGTTCTACGGCTGGCCTATTCAATTTCCCGCTCCAGAGTCCGCTCGACTTCGAGGAAGAATCCGCCGGTCGGAGCAACGGTCGATTCAGCACCATCGAAGCCCTAAGACGATTTTTCGGCCGCATTGGCCATCACTTCGAAGATATGGCCTCTCCTTCCTCGCGGACGTCGGACCTGAACGGGAATCAACCGATGTTGCACACTACATCGTGTGAACCGAGTACCTATATAGCCCGTGCAGAAGCCGTATCGCCATCAGACTCGGACCAACAGTCCCCCAGCTCGTCCGTTGCCAGACCCGACATGAGCTCAGCATCAACCTGCCAAGTCCTCCACCGCATCGGGCAAACCTTCTCCCACGTCCAGTACGCCGTCTGCGGCGACGCAGCCATGGTAGCATACGGCCATCCCGCCCGACCAGCGTCCCACATCAGCATCATCTGCCCGGTTTACGCCCAAGAGGTCATGAAGTCATGGGCCGCTGCCACGAGCGGTATGCTAAACTATGCGGGCGAGCCGGACACCCTTGGTGTCGCCGACGAGGATGGGCGAGTGTGGCCGGTGAAGATGAGGACGATGGCCTTTGAGCGTAGCTTTGAGACGCTGCCGACTGTGAGTTTTCGTCTTGGGAGCGATTCCTCTCTTACGACGGTCTTGACGATGCCGGCTCTCGTGAACGAGATTGCGCTTTCTTATGTTATTGACAGACATACAGAGGAAGAAGGGTTTTTGGACGATCTAGCTGCGGACCTGGCTTGGCTCCTGCGGGAGATGATCCAGGACAGCAGTCCGGAGCAAAAGCTGAATGCGGAGGACGCCCCAGCTATCGGCAAACCGATTTTCTGGTTTGACTTTACGGACACGTATCCCGAATTGGCTGGACTCTTCTACGATGCTGGATATCGGCCTGAAGGGTCCCAGGGAGATGCTAGTCAGGTAAGTGAGGCGGCACCAGCTGGTTCGCAGCCTCTTCCCTCGCGCGAGGGCATATTGAGAGGCAGAAGGCGATCTGGTGGCGGCTCCGACGCCGAGCTGCGGCGCCAAGTGCGGGATGGTCCGAATTTGACCAGAGCGGAGCTCAGAAGAGTGATACGGGATCATCATGGGTCGTCCAGGCGCAGGTCGTCGAGTCGTGGTTCATCGGAGGACCAAGCACGAAAGCCCGGTTCATTTCGTCATGGGACGCGGAAGAAGCGCCAGAGAAAAGAAACCCCCTCGTCTGTGGTGTCTTTTGGCGAAAAGATTTCTAATTTCTTGTTTGGACGCCCGGATGCCTCCAGGAGAAAGGGCTCGGACAGGTGATTGCAATTATCAAATTTAAAGTGACGAGTTTAGATACCCCCTGTTCTTCACCCAGCGTTTTACCCTTCTCCAGGTAGTTGTCTCAATTCTTTATTATAGTTTTCCAGCAAGTTGTACTATTCACAAGCTTAATTTGCATTTGTTCAAGTTGTCATGGACTGGCCAACATCACCGTTTGGTAGCTGTGAAAGGATGCTTTCAAACTCCTATCAATTTTTCACCATTTTGCACCATGGGCTTTCACAATGAAAAACCCAGATATTTTGGTCTAAATCCCGTGGTTCCTTCCCACTTGAACGTCAGGTTTCCTTGACTGTGAAGACCGCTCAGACTCTTTGTGTCACACTCGCTTGTAAAACAGATGAAACTCGTATTATGTTCCCATCCCAGTCCGCCCTGCCGGAAAAGCTGAACCGCTCAGAAGCCAGTGCCTCTTCAATTCACAAACCACCTCTCTCCGGCACTCATTACATTTGCTGGCACTAGTACTGGTCCTGGTTATAGTATTGCTGGCTCTGCTGGTGTTATTGAGGGTACTGCTGCTGGTACTGCGTAGCATAGCGTTGGCTGTAAGGTGGCGCGTCGTACTGACTGCTCTGCGGGCTGTTGTCAAAATGCTTGGGGGAGACGGCGGGACGAAGAGCAGGGGAAATCTGCGGCTTGATCCGCTGCTGAATCTCGATCCTCTCAGTCAACTCACCGGCCTCGTTGTCACTGCCGAGAGCGGTCTGCTTCATGGATCCACGGCGGACGCCGTCGGCTTTGAAGTCGCGAAAGTCGAACCAGGCTATGATGGTGGCGTACTCGGCGACGATGCTAAAGAGGATACTCATGACGACGACGACCCAGCCGATGACGCAGCTGACGCCCACGCAGGTCTGTTGTGTGATGCCCTGGATGCTCATGTAGGCTACCACGGCCCAGAAGACAACTTCCATGCCGTTAAGAAACCTGTTGGCTTTCAGGCTAGCCCATCGCTCGAGGGAGGAGACGTTCTCGGTGAGGAATTGTTAGGCGATGATGATGAGGGACTTTGCAGTCTGGGTTGGGAGAAGTTTGTTAGCTGATTGCTTGGCTTGAGTTTGTGAGGTAATGAGGCTCAAGACTTACCATACCGAGAGCCACGATATCGTAAGTTACTATTATACCGCAGAGTGTTTCGAGTGGAGAGCATTACGGAGGATCTTAAGACTCAGTGACAGACTTGTCCGAATTCGATATTGGTACAGCAACTTTCCTGGCAGTGTGGTCATCATCATGCTACCCCATGTCACGATATGCACTGTTTCGAGAAGTCTCGCTGTCTCAGAGTCGTTGCAGTGGCTACTTGATGCGACCAGCACGACGAAATGATCATCAGGCGAGACTTAGGCGACACTTGAGTGTGCTGATTAGAGATGTGGGAGGCTACCCCTCAACGCCCCTCCCTCTACTTACTATTTATAATCTAGCCCGAAGCCGTATCTTTGATGCGTTGAATTGAGATATTGAACCTATCGCAGCCAACGAAAGGGACTGAGAAGATTTTATTTGATAAGCCATGTTGGGAGACGCACACAGTAACGATTTCAGTCATGTTTGATTATAAAGCCAAGACCGCGTGCTTAGTGTCAAAGTGCCTACCCTGAGGAAGTTTATTAATCCCAAAAGACGTTCATCTAGACTTTTTGTAAAATTGAGTTCCTACATGGATCCGTGTAAAATGTGAATACAAAACGTGTATTATGATTGCCCTTGAAGAATGCTTCGACCGTCCTTTTCTCGGATACCGCCTTCCTCAGTGTGAGCCTTACGTTGCAAGCCTGTCGTACTCGACGTGGCAGGAACACCATCGCCTGAATCTCTGAGCTTATGTTGGAGTTGTTGAAGTAGTATGTTCAAGTGTCCTGACGTTTCCTCTGACCTATACCAATCATCCTCGGAGTCCGAATTCGGCGACATAAAGTAGTCTTTCCTGTTGATTATTACAACGATAATTACCCTTGAGAGTTGCTCGGCGCTTCTGCCAAGCAGCAAGCTGTTTTGGAAAAACGGCGCAAAATCTTCTACTAGAGTCTCTGCAATACGGCGCGCAATATTGACTTCCCCAACCACATATTCTGTATCGCTCCGATGGATCGTCAGGGGCGGGAGCTGCCAGAAGTTGTAATTGCATGGTAGCTGCAAGGTTTCGAGAAGGAAGGATTCGGAGAGGAGCTCGCCGACTCTGGTCGTGGTTATCCGGTATGGGTCGCCGCGGGGAGCGGTTGGATCCGAGGTGTAGAAATTGGATGTGTGCCCTACCATCCACATCGGTCGACGAATGCGCAGGTCAGCACTGCAGTCCCGCTCGATCGTAAGAGTTCTCAGAACTGCTCGGTTGGCAGAACCTATGACCTCGAGCCACAAAACGAGTGTCTTAAGGTCATGCAATCCAAAGGTATTGTGGTTAAAAAACATTCCTGACGTCTCGTGGCGAATCTTCTTGCAAGTCCGAAGAAGCTCTGCGACAGGACGTTTGTCTGGATTCACACCCACACCATTTTGATGGCGAGCGATGGTGAGCTGTTTCCTGCAGGCACAAGTATCCTTGTGAGGGGGCTTGGCAACTCTAACAACGTCTTGACAAACAACGGCGGTTTCGTAGATTTTGGAACGAAGCTCAGGGGGCAAGTCTCTGCACAGCAGTGTCAGGGGTCGGAGTCTTACACCCAAACCATTCGAGAGACGTACAGGAAGCGGAACGGCTGTGAATAGCGTGCAAAGTTCTGGTCATGAATGATGAGGGTCAGCTTGCAGACCAACTGTTTTCCCCAATCTTCATTTCCCTCCTCTGGCTTCCGTCTGTTGTTTCAAATTTGGGAGGGCCCATACCTGATCCGAACTAGTGAATGAGACGTCATGAACGGCCGACTCCTCAGAACTAGTTTTTTGGAAATCTTTTCCTTGACGAATTCTTGACTTCATCTTGCAAGAAACTTTGTGGTCCATTGGGATGGATGACATTTATATGCCTACCAAGGTATCAATGGATGTCCTGCAGTTGCCCAAAAGCAATCGTCGTTTTCCAATTCTTCCTTACCTCATGCTTGGATGTTTGTAGGATATTGATTCTGGTCTTCAGCGGCGCAGACGTGGAGATGAGTTCAAAAGCCCAGTTTTGGTAATAGGAAGAAAAGGGTTTGCAAAGTTTTATGCACCTCTGTGAGTGCGTGGCGGTCATCACTCACACACTCATTCAACGATACGGATCGTATGGCACCCAATCAATTACAGCCCGTTCTCAATTACTTGGCCATCAAGCTCATTTATCAAGGTATAAAGAATTACGAGAGTAAACTCAAAATACCACTTCATCATTTCTATCCCAAAGAAAAATCCATAGATGTTGGATACCCGGACAGTTTCCCTCCGCTACAGGGAAAGAAACTATGCAGATCTCGAGGAGACGTAGAGATAACCAGACTTTTCAAGCTTCCTTCGGCAACGCCGGAGGTTCATCTTCCCAGTTCTCTTGAGCAGCAGTTCCTTTTGCTCAGAAAATGCAGCATGTGCCTCGCATAGTTTCTCAAATTTCGGCTTATGGTATCGTCAGAAGACAAAACAACTATCCGAGAATGGATATATGCCACTGCCGACAAATCTGTTCATGAAGCACCAAAAAAGAACAGATTGTCCGAGAATTTTGGCTGCGGAAGAGCGGACTGCAAAAATGAGGATAGAAAAAGTCGAACATCCATTTAGCCATGTGACGTGACCCAGTGACTAGCCGGCTGGCCCGTCCATGTCCGTAGAGCTTAAGACAATCGTTCACGTTTGTTACTCTAAAAAAGTCTTTCATCCACAATCCAATTCGCTGGAGGCTCGGAGAGTTTTGGAGCATCGCGGCGATCTTTGGGGAAACAAATTTTGCTCGATCAGCATGCGAAGGAAAGGACTTCAATCGGTAATATATGCTTGGCATTAGAGAGCCTCATTGTTACAGAAAAGCTCTTGGAAATCTGTTACCGTTAGTATCCCAAGCTCCATTTGCCTGCATGCCGCCCCAATTCTCTCAAAAAGGAATTAAAGAAAGAAATCCCAAGCAAAGACCAAGATGCAAGTTGCGAAATGTATTTCAAATCTTTGCTCTTATGAAAGGTGGGGGGTTCCAACAGACGACCCATGATAACTCTAGCTAAGAGTAGCACCGCGTCCTCCCCTCGCCGTAGCCGCTGTCTCAGCTAAGACCAAGCCAATTGGATCGTTAAGCTCGATCACTGACTGCCTGGAATCAATCTTCTTCATGATTGACCATTCAGTCGAAAATAGAGATTTCTTTCCAAAAGCAGTCTCAAATGCTCAAGAACCTCCCTTTCGGCGTCTCCAGCCTCTTTGGCATTGAGCTGGCGCGGATCTGACGCATGCCGATAACCCCACCAGTTGTTCCGGCTTACTTGTAAGACACGGGATAGCTTTTCCGGTGTTTGACCCCGCGTTAGGTTCTTTGAGTACACCGGCCGAAAGTCATGGTACAGTGCCTCTGCAACCCGACGAGCAAGATCGATCCAGCCCGAGACAGGTCCAGGTCGTTTGAGAGTAGCGCTCAGAGCCGGAGCGCCCATCATGTGGTTGTAGAGAAACACCATCCGCAGAGCTTGAAGATTTTCGGCACCCGCCAACATCTTGGCAACCTTACGACAGACCTCCCGATAACGGTTCTGTTGAGCCCTGGTTTTACTCGACGGTCGTGGCGCCCAAATCTGAGGCTCGGTTCCCAGCCCAATGTTCCGCAGGCAGGCAATGTTGCCACCCAAGTCTTTCAGCCAGACGGCGAGTGTCTCCATGTCTTGCACCTCGAAATTGTTGGCGTAGAGCATTGCACGCGCTTCGGCATGGACTCGCCTGCGACATCGGAGGAAGGCGACCGGCAAAGATTCAGCTTCATTGCGTGATTCCCAACGCGAGTGAGAATGTCGCACGTTCTCGCGCTTCCAGCGGAATTTCGAACGGCCGAGTCTGTGGCTGTAAACCGGCTTGCCGACGATCTTGATGGCTGAACGAGTAAAAGCGAACCCGTAAATTGCGTTTCGAATTTCTGGTGGAAGCTTGCTTTTGTTCATCGCTTAGTCAATTTGTGTGCGAACTTCTGCTTGGATGATATGTCAACTCACAGCAACGGGGATTCTTCCTCAGGCTCAGGTTCTTCCGTTCTTTGTCTCTGTCGCCGCTGTCAGGTTCCACCGGTACAGCAGGCTTTCGATGAATGGATGCCGAGCTTTACCTTTGAGGAGGGCAGTGGAGGGGCATCAGGAGGGGAATCGGAAATGGAATCGGAACGATCTCGTTTATTGGGCCGACTCTGAGAGTTTTCAATGGACTCATCGGCTACCGTCAACTCTGAGGGGACATTAGTCGTGCTAGGATGTGATTAGCTCGTCATTAGAGATAGTCTCAGAGATGGCCTACTTGAGAGGCATGACAACGGATGCTAGGGCGAAACCTGCTGGATGCTGTGCTACCGCTGCCTTGAATGGTTTGTTTGAAGGTATGGTTGTTGTCGTTGCCTCCTGAGGGAGCAGCGTCGTCAAGTTGAGAGGCAAATACTCCAAGCCGGATGACGATGGACAGTGAGATGAGACAGAGAGATTACAACTTTGAACGTGAAACGGTGTCTAAAGACACTTTTTCTATTGGGTTGTGGACTGGTCTGCAATGACCTCAATTCTAGGTAATTGCGAGGCATTTCTACCATGTCCTAGATTTGATGAACGTTTCCATTCGAATCTTTAATTCCACGACCACTCGTGGCCATTGTACAGACCGTTTCAAGGATCCTTTGAACATCTCACCCAAGAAACTAAGTCTTAGACCCTTCGTCAAATGTCTTTGTGACGTTGAAAAGACAGTCGTAAGAGCAATTGACTGATACAGTCATTAAGCAATAAGATGCTAGGAAACGCCTTGGCCGATCAATAACCTACAAGAAAAGAGGAGCCGCAGCACAAAGTCGGTGCATTTGTCACTGAGTGAGTTGCGGGCTACTTTGCATTTGATGGGAAGTGGTACATGGCACACACACATTGAACTCAAGTACGATGATGACTTGTGTTTAATACAAGAAACTATATAGCATAGCGAGAAGCCGTTTACTTTTAGTTAATTAGCCCCTGATCTAAAGCTAAATATCTGAATAATTATTTTTGGACAATGCTGTCATGACAGGTTAACAGGTAAGAAGAATGATCACAACTCTTAGTCAATCGCCCCCTCCATTCGATGGAGATTATAGGCCTTGCTTTTCAGGCTCAAATTACACCTCAGACCCGTTGATGGCGGCAAGAAGTTGACATTTTCATGTTACTGTACACAGGTGTTCCCCGTGAGGAGAAGCAATACTTCGTTGAAGTACTAAAATCTTACAAACTGGGGGGAGAGTCTCAGTGAATACCCCAGAGTAACGACAATGATATTGCTATTTGCATGCCTAATCTAGTTTGAGAATGTGCAGCTGGACCCTATCATCCGGAACAATGCATTCAAGCTACCCAACAAGATGAGCTTCTACCTCTCAGGTGTCCAACAACGGGCTGTTTGTAACATCGCATTTTGGATCAAAGACTCCTTGTCGGGGTTCTGTTGAGGAGTTCAATAAAGTCTTTGGGGTTAAATCCTAACCCCGCAAGAGTCAATGCCCAGGTTATTCTCTCGACACAGATTCTTCAATTGCAGGAGTTGAGCATTCAAGGCTTTGATAAGCCATATCTGACTCGAAGAGATTCGATGTCCGCTCTTCTTAAATCCTAAACAAAATTGGTTCACGCTCTTTGACTGTCGCAGATCGTCTGATTAAAGAGTACAAATATGCAGCGAATGATTCGAGTTGGCATTTCCCTGGGCAGACCATCTGTCACACTGACGAGTCTGTTGACACCTCTTGCATTTCGAAGCCTACACCCCTAGATTGGAGAAACCCAGCTGATCTTCTGTGTCACTGCCCGAGTACTCTTTAAAACTTCGCGGATGTGACTGGGGCGGTCTGACTGACCTGGCTCTTTACAGCGGGCGCTTCCATCCTCAAGGCGCCCGCAACAGGCCCACCCACTTCAATACTGCAGGGAATGATTCGCGGTACTCAATGCAATCAAGTGCCTTTCTATCTTGTCATGGTGTCGTAGGGGATATATGGCTTCAATTGCTCCCTGCAATTAACGGCGTCGTTTTTGCGACACATGGCCTAGCTCTGGACCGAGCTTCGACCTTTCTGTATTTCTAAGCAGGTCCTTTCGTGTCCTCTTTGACCTAAATATTTGGTCCTTCGTTTACGTTGCGGTCATCTTCTCCCTCCTCACATGTACGTGTACTTGTAGGGATTACACCGACAGTGCTGTCAGCCGGCGATCTTTGGAACGGGTCAGCGAGTCAGTCAGTCCTTGAGAACTTCTGGCAGCTCTCACCTCACAATTGAGCCTCTCAGAGCACGACACTGCTGCTTGATTTGCACGCGTCCCCACATGGATATGCGTGTGATCAGGTCCCCAGGGCCATGCGCGCAGCTACCATTCACTTGGCTGGAGAGACAGGAATGGCACATATCCTTCAAAGGCTGAGATCTTGGCGATTTCCATGTACTCGAAGGAGAAGATGCCTCGTAAGCTGTCAAAGTTACAGGTTCACACACCCCATGTAATCAAGCAATAGTCTCCGGGTCATATCCGTCAGGCCCCGGTCTCTGCCCTCGGCGCAATGCCGATGATATCCTCCTCCGCCTTGAGCTTCTTACAAATTGACTCCCTTGAAAACTCCACCTCAGGTTCCGCGGTATTGCCCTCATCAGACTTCCCCAGTGTCAAAGGGCTGTGTTCCAATACGACCACGTGTTGCCCCCATTTTGACAACCTTCCACGTTGCCGACGCGCTGGCAGCAGCTCCATCTGAAGCTATCCGGAATGTCAGTACCAGCTTCGTCGCTGTCCATGCCATAGAACTTGTCAGGTTTATCTATTTGGTCCCAAATTTCGAGGCTTCCGTCTAATTCAGATAATTTCACGAGACGCGCGTCTGAACATTGTATGTGCTCTTATTCTTCCTCGCCAAGCTGGGTATCGCGAAGCTTTACGAAACACACTCTGTTAAAATACTGCAAGGAGTAGTAGCATGCATTAGGACCGTTTTCGTCGACATCAAACTTCTCGTCGCAGTTGGCGCAGACAACCCGTCCTTGGCATCTTCTGCAACAGGTCAACGGCTCACCGGCGGATCCGCTCGTACACCCTGCAGGGCGCGAATAAGACCGACCTTTCGAGCATCGGTACCCGGAACGGTCTACAACAGGACTGACATTTCCCAATTCGGAGCGGCGGTCTGCTTTTGCTCGCTACCATACACATTCAACCATTGTTTTCTGCCTCGCGGCAGCGTGTCGATAGTCTGTTGTTGTATTCGGGCCGGAAAATGTTTTGCAAAATTGGACGTCGACGCGGGCGAGTTCGTGTTTAGTCTGTTGACAGAGTACTTTGTACCCTGTTCCCTCTTCTCCAAAAGTCGAATGGCTAGCATCGTTACCTGTAGGTAAGGCAATTTACCCGTGTAAGCGTGGAACAAGTAAACAAATGTGAGATGTGAAAAGTACATGTAAGTACTTGGTTTCACCAAATTCCAAGCAATTTGCTCGAGATTGCAGACAGTCTCGCAGGCTTCTATTTCGCAGACATTCGAGATGCTTCCAGTCCACTCAATTAACTAGACTCTCTAGACCGCGCCCACACCGAGTCCCACAGCAACTCCCCCAACCCGGAACGACGGGGATAGAAACCAGTTTCCGAAAGGGTGCACTGGGGAAAGACTTTTTTCCTTTTGGGACTCATGTTTTCTGTTTATTAGCATTGAACTGGGGGGCGGTTCACGCAACTCCCAGTCTCTCCCACAGACACCGTTTCTTCTTCCCGTCTCCCCCCTCCCCGGCCTCCCGTAGATCAGGGTTTGCCGGGGAATCTCGGATGGTAAGGGTCATCCCTGCTCGCCAGGTGGCATCATTGGATTCCTCGCACGCACAGCCCTGCTGTGGCACCGCAAGCTTACGGCTCTCCAGGTCTCCAGAGTTCAGGGCTCCCGGGGGGAGACAAGTCAGCGGCTGGCTGGCTGACGAAAGCTAAGCAGGTAGGTAGGCGGCTTGAGTAGGGCCACACACACTTCGTCCGGGTTTAGGGACTTTTCTGTGCTGTGCGACGACCGGATGCGAGCCTACTGGTTCGTTCGCTCTGGGTCGTTGCTCGCACACTTGCTGGCGAGCTTCAGTTCCCTGGAGCGGGATTGCTAGGCCGCTTCTGGTGTCCCTTGCAGATGGAGCGCTTGCTGCAGATGATATCGGACCGCCTACGCAGGCCTCTCCCGGTTCGTCTCACCACCCGCGGACCATGCGAATTCCGCCACCGCCAGTCCCATGAGGCGATTTGCCCATCTCGATCCTGGAGTGCCGCCTTAGCGGATGCGATTTCTCACCTCATCAATGAGCAGTAGATTTATGAGTTGGAACTTTGCAAAAAAGGGAACGAGGAGAAAATCGCTGGCAATTCGGGCTCGCCCCGTTCGGCTTTCTAATCGACGTCTTTCTGCGCTTGGGGGAGTCATCTTCACCCTTTTACCGCCCCCTCTTTCTCTCCCCCCATTCTTCCACCACTAAAATACATCAGTTTACTTTGCCTCCATTATTCATGATGCCTTGGACGTGCGTATAGCTCCTCATGCTGGGCAGCAACATGCTAGCCTGGCCAATAAGTCAGGCCCAAGTGGCCGAATTGGAAAGGCTGCCCCAAGTAAAATAGGCCCAACCCAATCCTTCCCCCCCCCCAAAAAAAAAAAAAACTTCATGTTGTTGCGTGCTCTTCCCTCCAGCTCTTTTTTTTTTTTTCTCAAACTTTCCACATCCTATGCCTCCCCCCCAAACTCCCCCCCTCCCCCCCCCCCCAACTTTCCCCCCCCCCCCCCCCCCCCCCCCAAAAAAAAAAAAACTTCATGTTGTTGCGTGCTCTTCCATCAAGGTCTTGTTGTTGTTGTATCAAACTTGCCAAATGCTATGCCTCGCCCAGAAAATGCTTGCTTCGCTCCGCTCCAAATTTTGACTTGCCCGCTTTGACTCTCTCTGGTTCCATAGCCCTGCCAGCGCCTCGAATCCATCAATCTCGCGTGGCCTTGTCGACCGTTGACCGACCACATCGGCCGCGGGAGGCCGGGAGCCATCCGATTGACCGAAACCCTGATAATTTCCTTGACCGGTCTACCAAAACCAGTCTCGTCCGAAGGACCGAAGGAGGGGAACCATGGAAGCGAGATCTCTTTCTGACATGCCCTGAAATGAAACATAATCCCAAAAAAAAGAAAAAACCTTTTTTGAACTTCACTGCTGCTGGTGTTGGTGATTGTGATGATGATGATGATGGTGGTGCGTTGTCGTGGTCGTCGTTGCTGTTCTGACCGTCATCGTTGCTGTGGCTGTCGGCTTGCAGTCTTCCGACGGTGACCTCGAGATTGTGTAGTGCTGCTGGTGCGGCGGCGGTTGCAGCTCCTCCGAAGAAGCGTCGTCGAGCTCCAGAGGATCGTCCTCGAGGTCCGACAGCTCGTTGCCGCGGCCCTTTTTGCTCCTGTCCGGGTTGGCCTCGTGCTGGCCGCGCACGCAGCCCGGCCTGTCGCCCAGCCTCTGGCAGCAGCACCACCGAAATGCCGCGGGATACTCTGCCCGGTTCGAATCTGTGTCCAGCTCGTCCGACGGTACATCGTCCCACATCGTAGGCGGTATTTGCGTCTCATCCCACAGCTCCAGCTGGCCTAAACGGGGGGTAGGTGCACGAGTCAGTATGTCCCGTCCAACGACAACATTTAGAACCCCTTCTGAAAGCTTCTACAGCGTTTTGTTCCCGCTGAAAAGATGGAAAGATAGGAATGAGTCCACCACACAGTGGGAGAGAGAGGGCCAGACGAGCTCTAAAGTCTGCTGTGCTGCTGCCGCTGCTCCCGCTGCTGGTTCCGCACGCTCTGCTTACCTGAGTGGTACCAACATGACCCAAAGATGTTCTCGTCGGCCGTGAAGATGCCGTCGCACTGAACGCAGATCTTGGGCTCGCCGGTTGCCTTCCTCTTCTTTGGATTTGACGGACTTGAGATGGAACTGGGGCTCTTGACGGGATCCTCCTCCCCGCGGACGTCGGCCTCGAAGCGCAGCAACCGTTCGAGCTGCCTCAAAGCCTGAGCCCGAACCCGTCGGTCATCGCACAGCGCCACGAGGATGGCGCGGGCGACGGGCGCTGGCGCTTGGGCGAGGCCGTCGAGATCCGGGGCGGTGGCAGCGAAGAACGACGACGACGGCGATTCAACGGGAGACGATGCGAAAGCCATTGCCGGGGTGACGGACGGACGGACGGACGGACTTGACGGTACGGGCACGGAGGACGCCGTTTGGAGTTTGGGTATAGGGAAAAAAAAAAAAAAGGGTTTGAGGCTCTCTCGGCCTCGGAAGGGGGGGGTATTTCTGGGTTCTGGGTTCTGTTGCCGGAAGCCCTTCCCCGGATGTGTCAGCTCACGGATGCATTAGCAAGAAAATGTGTCTTCAGGGGTGTGTAGGTTGATTGGAGGTCGGCTGCGTCCGCGGAGGGAAGGGGGAATGAATGTGATGGAACGGGGATGCGGGTGCGGAGGCCGGGCCTGCAGACAAGACAGGTTATTGGCGGCAAGGCAAGGTAGAAGTGTACGTGGACGAGTTGCCCAGTCGATCCGTCGTACTACCGAGCAGCAAAGGCAGCAAAGTGAGAGGACGGCGAGAGGGAGGGAGAGAGAGTGTGTGTATGAGAGAACTCAGAGAATAGGTACGGACAGGGAAGAGTGGGAATGAGAAGTGAGAGATGCGGCCCTTCTGCCGGCCGGCCGGTCCTGTCGGACCAACTATACTTTAGCTTGTTGGGATCTACTCTACTGGAAAGTGCTGGATGGGATGGCTGGCCGAGGGGGAGGTAATGAGATGGAGGGGAGGGGCCCGGCCGGGGATAGAATCACATAGCTCCAGCATCCCATGGTGGCAGCATGTGCATTGCCGGGACACGGAGACGGAGGACCCTCTCTTGGTGTGGGTGAGCGAGCAGTCATGACCTCAGAGACGACGAGAGAAAGCCGCCAGCGGCGACTTGCGGGGTCAGAGGTGCGTCAAAAAGGCCTTGGGGGGGGCGTCGTCGACATCCAGGGCTGTTCCGCTGCAAGATGCCCGTTTGAGCGATGAGGAAGGGATCCAGGGGCCGGCTTGTGACCATTCACCAACTTCTGTCATATTTTCGAGGCGATACTTGAGGCCTAGCCGTTCCTTGGATCACAACGTATGTGATGGCCGGACCATGCCATGCCATACTTTCGTACTTTTTACCCATACGGCCCATGCCATATAGTCCATACCACGACCGGCCAGACCAGATGCCAACTCGACCTAAACAGACGAAAGCAGAACCGGAACCAGGGGGGGGAGGCATATGATCTGGTGCTATGTATGCAGTGCCATGTCTCGCAAATTGGCTTGACTCTGAGTGCGAGTGGTGGTGACTTTGCCAGCAAATCACGGCTCTCGGAGTGCCACGACAACCCTTCGACCTTTCCCAGGCTTGCCAGGGCCCAGCCGAGCCTGTGAGGATAAATCATCAGGATGGGGAAATTTGACCGTGCGGCCTTTCTAGGTCCTCTGGTATTTTCCCGTCTCTGTGCTGCTGCCAATCCCGAACTAGGAACCAGAGGAGATCAGTGGATGCACGATGTGCATGGCGTCATGTACGACTGTGTAGATGCAGGCACCGATGTCTGCCGCGGCGTCGGTGTCGCAAAGGAACTGGGGGAGTGGGAAACTCAGGGAACAAGACAAGATTACTATTAGGGCTCCCCGGTTTGGATGGGGTGAAGCGTGAATTCTGGGTGCGGCAAGCGCGCGTAGCGACAGAAAATCCAAACTTGGCCTCGGCTTTTTTTTTGCCAGGGATCAAGAATGGACTTGGACTGGATGATTGATTCATGTGTCGGGGGCCGGGGGGTGAGCGAGCTTGGTGGGCACACACACACTCTCTCTCTCTCTCTCTCTCTGGTTCTCTCTTTCTCTCTCCCCTCTGAGGTATTACACACGGACGCAACTAAGAGACTTCGTACTCATATTACACTAGTCGGGCAATAATGCCAACGGCCGTCGATGACACTAACATCGGATCGTCTTGGAGCACCAGGCCAGCAAACGAACCGCGCCGGCGCCAACACCAAACGGTCCGACGCCATTCCCAGTTGCGTCAAAAGGCCCGGCCGGTTGGGGCGGGTTTTCTACCCCGAGATCTGGTACTGTATCCGTATGCGACCACAAAGCACAAAGTTGATTAAAGAGCGCGCAGGGGCAGCGCCGCCGCCGCTGCCCACTTGCGGGCCGATCCTGTCTTGGCTTTTGGCCTTTAAAATCAGCATTGGTCCCTTTGCTTTTTCTTTTTTTGTTTTGTTTACTTAGCCTCTTTAGAACGGGTTTGGACGGAGCGCGATTCGTTGAGGAGCGAGGCGAGGTCTTCCCTGAACCCTCCTCTCCCCCGAAGCAAATTCGTCAAAGAAGCAATAATGGACCAGCCACACCGAGTTGGCCGACGACACTCGGTGAGGTAGCCGACCCTTAACCTCAATTTCGCCCAAACGCCTTGTGCATCCACTGGTTGTTTTTGGCCCCCTCCCAAACTGTCTCAATTTAGATGCGGGAAGGGCAAACCCCCATCGTCTGGAGTCGTCGTCGGTTAGGCGGGAACATGACAGGGAGCCGGCACATCGGACATGGAGACGAGAGCAGTAGCAGGAAATTGGACGACTTGGCTGATAGGTGTCGCGGGATGTCTTCAATTCAGCTGGGTTGGAAATCCGTGTCGACGCTTTTGCAGCTTGCCTGTTCGTCGTGGGCTATGGATGCCGGCTTATTCGGAATGTCAGAATAGGCGACGGGCGTTCTACGGGTGATCTGGAGTCTAGACCTTGTTCCAGTCTCGCGGAGGAATGCCCAGAAAGGAATCATCTGTTGAAGATGACGCCGCAGGAAAGGTTGTAGTGGTATTCAGGCTGGATATCAATGTCACCACAAAAGAGGCGGAAGAATGTGTTGGAGGGGGAATAACAAAAAGGTAAGCTGACATGGACGTGCCGGTAGTTGACTTTGGCTCCAGGGCACGGACTCGGAGGATTTCTCACATTCATCCCTCACTTTCCCCATTCCAAGATTCCCATGGCACTTGTCTTCCCTTCCCGGTGCTCGCTCGGCAAGTTGAAGAGGAGTTGCTGAGGTAAGTCGAGGTTGGCTAAGTGGCTCATTCTTCCCTGCTGGGTTCGTCCGACTTGTGTCCCAGTAAACTAAACAACATCTATCTCGTGCTTTCGTCTACCCAACGGCCGGTCTCTACAACGGCTTCCTTTACCTACGTTCTATCGAAACCTGTGAACACTGCATGCATCGTCAACAACACACATCACATATTTCCCTTCGCCCTGCGTGGTCAGTTCTCAGAAAACACCTCCAGAAGCCGCCAACGAGACTGTTTCCCTCCCGCCCTGCTGCCACTGACGTTGGACGTTCACTTCTGCACCGGGCCCCCGATGTCTTGGTTCGAAAGCAGGCCGGCCGTGTCTCGGACCCATCCCCCCCTCCCCAAAATAAAAGGGAGACTGAAAACCTCCACTGCAAGTCTGGTCTGTCGGCGCGGCACTGCAAATGCACACTCCCACACCCCAAAAAGTCTAAGAGTGCGTGGGATTCACGTCAGCTCCGCTGCCTACACATGTCTCACCAATCTTTCCCATCCAAGCGGTTCACCGTCCCGTCCAGCCGTTTTCTAATTCGTCTGTCATTCGACTCGGCCTGTTGTCTTGTCTTGCTAACCGCATCCTTCACCGCCTCACTATCGCACACGGAATGGGCCGCTTATTCATGACGATAATGGAGCGTTTCCTACCGGCAGCTAACGCGCGTGCGAACTTTACTGGGAGGTTAGGCCACGTCTAACTGGATTGACTTTCCAGTATGGCATGATGCTCGTCTCTCGTGTTCGGTACTTCGAATCACATTCAATGGCAGGGGATATCGTCGCCGGTTGCAGAATGGTGAAGCTTCAAATCTCATGCCAAGCCAAAACGTCACCCCGCGGTGAATAGCAGGATGAGTAAAATCGTATCCTCAAAAAAAAAGTCTCACACATCTGTCGCCGAGAAGGCCTCCGTCAAAAGCACCGGCGCACCCAAAAGCCACAACATCACCCCCAAAGTTGAAGATCCTCCGAATACCTGGAATCAAAATGTCTCAAGCCACAACGTCCAGTCAGGGGTTCCTGGCAGAATGAGAGTAATGACCCAGTCCGTATTGGTTTTAGGCTTTCCAGCTAACCGAATATCGCACGTCATACCGGCCAAAGACACCGCCCCCCCCCCCAGTGCGACCCCTCGAAGAACAACTCCACAGGTTCGTCTCCCTCAGCTCGGGTCGTCACCGTGCCGAAGGGAGCTCCGAAGGGAGACCATTCCACCTCTCGTAGCATGTCGAACCAGGGCTTCTCCCTAGACCTGATTTCTCAAGAGTCTCAATTATCCGACAACCGGACCAAGCACCAGGCACAATTACGAAACCCCAATTCTTTGCCCTGACTGACAATGGCACCAAGTACCGCGCGCCTCACAATCTTCGTCTTTGGCCTCTCATCCTTTGCGGCGGGAGTCAATTCCCTCCTGCGTCCTCACGCATCACTCGCATTACTAAGCCTGCCCGCCACTGCTCTGCCCGCAGCCAACGGCAACGCTCTGGCTGCCATCGCAATGGGCATCTACTACACCTTGGCAGCAGCCCAAGACAACAGCGCCTTCTTTCTCGCCACCATACCAATGCGTTTGACGTCTGCTGTCGTGTTTTGGCGACAAGACTGGGGTATCGTTGCGGGCTGGGAGGGTGGAAGCGCGGCCTTGACGCTGCTCGCCTTGGCTTGGGATGCTCGGCAACGGAACCACGAGTCACGAGGCTCAAAAGTCGCTTGACATCACCTGGAACTTGCTGGGAGATCTTGTATGGGTCCCGGTCTCTGTTCTAGATCTGAATTGATGCGCATTTTGACTGAGATGATGTCTTTCGATGTGACATGTAATCTCAGCTCCAATCACGGCCAGTCGGTGAAAGTCAGCCCGGCCGGTGCAGCATGGCCTCATAGGAGGAAGGATGATCACTCGAAGCCAATGGCGGATCAAGTAGGAAAGACATGAGGCGAGCCGGTCTTACATCCTTACCCGGTCCTTCCGTCAAGGCTTCGCGAGGGCGACGACAAGATTTGAAATAGAAAAGACTACATATCATTGTTGACACTCGCTTCAATCTTCACGCGGCGGCGCAACGTGAATCTGCCAATACTTTGTCGTCTCCTTGGGTACCCTTGCCCTCTGTTCATCCGTCATAGTGTTTTTCCCGTACACCTCATGCGTTACACCCTCCGATAAGACACCGTCCCTCTTGTCATTTTTCAAAAAGTTCATAAACTCCATGGAAACCCTAACATACTCTTCCACCCCCTGACGGACATCAATCGTAGCACCCGTGGCCCAGCTTAGTAACAAAGGCTCAATGAGCGGCGCATCGGTAATGCTGGGATGGCCTGTCTTCAGGCTGGTCAGGAACCAACTCGAGCCCACGCGCTTGAGTACGTCCCTCGCGATGTCCCTGACCGTGTCAAAGTGCGGCCGGCCAAAGAACGGCGTGCTCTGCTTGGACCAGGACTCCGAGTGGATGATGAGGAGGGGCACATCAATGTCGGTGTTGAGTCGACCGCTGCCTTTTCCCGGGTCGAGAACGATACCTCCCACGGCCGGGTTCTCTTTTGACGTAGCTCTCTTTAGGGCCCGAAGAACGCCCGTTGCGCCAAAGGAGTGTCCCGTGATGATGGTTTGAGAGAAGTCGAGCCTGTTCCTCCATTCCGCCAGGCCGCGACCTTCTTTACGGGCATTGTCTTTAAAAACAGTCGTTCCTTTGCCTGCGTGCAACGACTGCAATACCGCAATGGCCTCTTCAATCTCGGCCTGTCGGAAGTCCAGCTGCTTGGACTTGAAATCGTCAGATTTCATCTCCTTACCGCCCTTGATTTCGTTCTTGTTCAGGTACATGATGTTGTGCTTCTTGCCGTCTTTGGCTGTGACTACCGAGCCAGGACCACTCCTATCGCGATGTTCGATAGCGGCGACAACGACTCCGCGGCTCGCGAGTTGGCCGCAGTAGTCCGTGTAACCCGTCCGGGAACTGGCTAGGCCGTGAGACAACACCATGACGGGGAGCTTCTCCTCTCCCTTCCTACTTGTCGGAGGAAGAAGTGGCACATCAACCTGGGCGGGAATCCTGATGCTCCCAACCAAAGCCCACAGTGCAAAAGTGAAGATGGGTCGCGAAATAAAGTTGTTGAAGTGAGCAGCCTTGGCGTACCCCTCCGCCGTGAGGCTTATGGGCTTTGGGATCCAATAGTGACGGCCTGTTGCCCTAACACCCTTCTCGGCTGGATAGTACAGGGTAAAAAGCACTGTCTCGAGAGTGAACGCGGGTTTGCCGTTGCTGATGAAGGCTGAGTCGCTCGTGTTGCGAGGGGTGCGGACGGGTACCTCAATGTCAATTGCGCCAACTCCAAAAGGCCCCGAGTATTTTTGTAACCTTGATGCAAGGAGCGGTGACTGAATGAGGATACAGTAGAGGACATAGAGCCCGATGAGAACACACGACAGGTATCCTATAGTGAGTCGTGGACGAAGTGCTGAAATGATCCTCTGCGACAAGGAGTAGCTCCATGGTTGTGCGGTCTGCATCCATTTGGGTGCGTTTTCCATGATGCTTTCAGGATTTATCCTCGCTCTCGTGGATTGTCTGATGGCGTCGTCGTTGTCGTCCAGTAGCGGAAGCGGAGAGTCCGGATTTTCGAAATCTTGAGATTCGGCTTGAACCTCGAGTTCAACGTCAACGTCTTTGTAAGCAGGGAACTGGCGTGATACCATAATTAGAAGAGACCTTTCATAGATTTGGGCTGGTCGGAATAACCTTACTCAATCCCTAGACTCGAAGTGAAATGGTAAAGTGACGATCTCCCGGGCAGGAATCTGCGGCGGAACCTTCGGCTGCTGTGGCGGCAATACGTCATCATTCTTGCATGTGGTCTTCGGATGCCGCACGCTGGCAGCAGTCACGCGCGGACGTCAAAGTAGACATGTTGCACCGAACTGATTGGTTCAATCATCTGATCATATGAGATTTACTTCCGTTGAATAGCAGAAGGTAACATCTAAACAATCATACTCAGACGCGGTCGACTTGCCTCGCAGGCCTGGAAACCCAATCATTGCTTCTACTCGATAGATTAACTTTCCTTCCAGCAAGCATATGTGACTATTATAGATTGTAATGTCTGGAGTTAGACTAATTCTTAAAAGGAATTACAGGCTCACATTAAAGCGGTCATAGATTAGCAGATGTCGGTTGACGGTGGCATTTCGCAACTATAGTACACCTAAAGAATAATCGAACGAATATAGCTTTAGCAACAGGAATTGTCAAAGGCCCAGCAGTACACGTACCTTTTTTCAGCTACGCGACTCCAATCGCAGCCGTTCTGATGCTTCCCTTTGTCTTTGCTCTTCTCACACATCTTTATTTCATAGACTCTCATGCGGAGCTTCACTGCAGTCTGCCGTGTCCAGAGCCCGACTTTTCACTGTCCGGGCCAAGCATGATGTGACTTTCAATTTACACCTGTAGAAGCTTTATCCTAAGATACCTGCGATACGACCTTCGATGGTTTTATCGCCCTTCCACACTCGTTGGCTGCCTCAATGATCGGTGTCCGGTAGGCAGCCCTTCTTTCAGCAAACCCAACAGAGTGAAAGTAGACGAATCTTGCCAGCTCTAATATTGGGGCTTGCATGATGTTATTCTTTTGCAAACCATTTGGCTTTTTCACTTCTTTCGTCGATGGCCCTGACGCAAATTTCATAGAAACAAGTTGTGAAATGCTCCGAACAGGCCCCGGAGTCTTGGACTACTAGACATTGACCAGGTGTAGAACAGTGCGTTGGATTCAGCCGTCCAAGTCGCTCCTTCTCGAGGCCCAATTCATCCACGACTATTTTAGGGCGAGCGTCCAACTCACCATATCCCACCAACGTTGACGAGAAAATGGTCGATGTGAGAGTTGCAGCGCTTGTGCATTGTCTCGAGCTCTTGGATACGCATATGATGATTGACCAGCAGCCGCCTTGGCCCTTTTGGATATGTTGACAATATCATCCGGGGACAAAGGGATAGACTCCACGTAAATACTTTAATAAGGTTCACCTACTCTGTCGCAGTTGAGGCCTAGTGATAAACGCGATGAAGCTAGACGTGTTTTGCACCAGCCCCCTGGGCACGGCGGATGGTTTCATCGCAGAGCTAATGGTGGAATCAATCACAGAGAAAACGCCATGACCGAAGCCTTCCTTCCCTCTGATTTGTCTCAATCGTTGGATTACCTCCCATGAAAGCCTGCCCGTCAAAGGTCCGGCGGGGCGGAAGATATATCCACTTGCCGCAGGTTGATATAATTGCAAGTCCGTTCATTCTCCCTCTCCCATAGCGATACGGGTTTCACGAAAGTAAAGCCGCGGAAACCCGTGTCAATACGGGACAGCATCATGACTTCTATCCCACAGGACTGTGATGCGTAATGGGCAGGCATCAACTACTTCCTCAAGATGCGGTAAAAGCAATGAGAAGAAAGTGGCCTCATAATGCAGTCGATTTGTTCTCAGAAAACATCGCATTGTCTTCCTGGATCAGGTAATAGCCGAGGAAGTACATCTCATCTTGCCTGATGAATGTACGTTTTCTGGATATAAACGGACAGCAGCATGCAGGTCCTGACATCTTATCGACCACCAAGAAAAGCAAGTCGGCGTCATCTGTTGCTTGAGAAAGTCACCCACTAGAGTATGGTGCCGTTTCCGATTGTGTCTAGAGTTATGCTCCATCTACGTCGGTTGCTATGGTCTGGTCTACAACTCCATCACCAATCTCCATGTCGCGACAGCACCCAAGACAGGCAAGCGTCTAACTAACAGTTCTCCTGGATGTGATAGCTAGCCAAAGAACGGGGCATCAGTTTATTGCTGTGCAAACCACTGCCCAGTCGCTCGGTTAACCAACTATCAAACCAATTCAGCAAGGGTGTCGGCGGTCGTAAGGGGACGCGCTGGGCCCCATTTAGCTCGCCCAATCGATGGAAACACAAGCTCGCGAATATGATAGAATTCATTTAGTCACTTTCAGTGTTGGGAGTTCATCTAGAAGCTGCAGAAGTACTAAGGTCCCGAGGTCATAGCCCTCATGAAGAGGGATGCTGGAGAGTATTTACTCATGTAGCTGGGATGAACGCCATGTACGCTGCCGCGGTGCCGTGTGGAAGGCATATTCTAACCAATCGCATCTGTCTCTACATGATCTTTATGGAGTCTAGCATGGAGGATCTGGAAGCATCCATGTGTCGTTCGTTTTCCTAAAGACCCATCAAATAACTCATGACGTGCATCATAACCGTGCCGGCCAGTCGCATCTCTCATCTTACCTCATTGTCACCACAGCCCCTGTGAAGACCCGCGACTTGGCTACATTAGATTACCGACCGTGCAGCCGATCATCCGCAATTCGTTTTGTGCCTTTTCTACGATTGACGTCTCCCACCGCCGGCTGAATCGAGTCTTCAAATGCGAATCCTGGTCCATGATTGGTGCAGGTGAAACATACCATGCTGAGACCATGTATCCACCACTTAGTGTTGAATCGGCCGAGAACTCGATAGCTTGTTTGGGAATTCGCTTTTGATTCCGTCTTGGGATGGTCTGGCAACCCCAGTCTGGCACCGCCAGACCAACGGCTTTTCTTGGATGGGGAATCCTCGCCAAGTCAACATTCTTTAGCCAATTTGATTCTGCTATTAGTCAAGCTCCTTGCATTTTCTGTCGCAAATGAGCTGAAGAAGGGCCACAGCAGCCTCGGCTGGTTCGATCGCCGCGCTGGAGGGGTAAAAAAGAGGTGATTATATTGACTCAGCTTTCATGTTCGGACTGACGGCTGTCATCGCAACTCATGTATAAGTAGCGCAACGTCCCTCGTCCCATCACGGTGTTCGACAGAATCTTCAAATTAGCTCGACGCCAACGTAGCATCTGCCTGCATACAATCTTTCCGGTCAAATCCTTAACACAGAACGCTATTTCTGTTCAAAATGGTTTATTCGCCAGTCGTCGCTTTAGGTTTTCTTGGCGCTCTGCAGGGCAGGGGCGAGGTTTTTCAACGACAGACGAACGCAACGGGCTGTGCAACGGGCGTGCATATGATTGTGGCCCGGGCCAGCACCGAGCAGCCGGGAACGGGAGTCATCGGCGCCATCGCGAACAGCATCCAATCGCAAGTTCCCGGGTCCGACATCGTGCCGGTTGATTATCCCGCTCTCTTGAATCCCTACCAACCGTCGCAGAAGGCTGGTGTCACAGCCATGACCAAGCTGGTTCAGGACTACGCGAAGGCATGCCCTCAGACGAAGATGGTTCTTATGGGATACTCTCAAGTTAGTGTTCATTGATTGGAAGCGTGGCAATTCAGGAAAGTTGACAGATTTGCATAGGGAGCACATGTCACTGCCGATGTTCTTTGCGGCACAAGCGAGACGGGCTTCGAGACTACGGAGCCTCAGGCAACAGACGTGACGGATAAAAGTATGTCTTGAATAATGCGGATGAGTCTTTGATGGCTATTGACATGAATGTAGTTGCCGCTGTCGTTCTCATGGGCGATCCCAGCCACGTGACTGGACAGCCTTTCAACCAAGGAACCAGCCAGAAAGATGGCGTGAGCAATATCAAGAAGAATTCCCTTCAAGAAAACTCGGTCTTACTAACGATGTCATGCGCAGCTTTTCCCGAGGCAAAAGACCGCCGGCTGCGACGCCGTTTCCAGCAAGATGGCATCCTTCTGCAACAGTGGCGACCCATTCTGCGACAGCGGTATTAATCTCCAGGTCCATCTGAGCTATATCCAGTCGGACGGAAACGCAGCGACAAAGTTCATCATGTCCAAGGTTGGTGGCGAAGCTACTACATGACTGGGAGAACGACAGGTGCGATGCAGTTTGCCAGCCTGCGCTTCCAACTGTACATGACACTGCTATCACAGATTGTTGGTTTCCTGACTCTATGAAAGGCTTTTTACGGTACTTTTATGAGATTGGCACTAGTAAATACCTTGGTTTTGATATATATGGATTAGTCCTAGCATATTTAGCGTACAACAAAATGTCCAGTCTTCACAAAAAACATCGCTACTACTTGAGCAGCCTTCTCGCACTGTCCCTGGCAAAGTTAGAGTTCCATTGTGGCTAGCAGCTGATCACCATCACACAACTAGACGACTAAGACTTGTGAATCCGCGGTTCAGGCTGAAAGAATTTTCAGCTTTCCAGGAAAACCTTGGCTGGGCTTTTCATGGTACTGCTAGAGCTACTTCAAGTTGGAAGGAGTGCCTTGGTAAACCGTTTGGCCAATGAAATATCATGCCTCAGCGAGATAAGGCTACAGAGGCGTCACATCAAGTGCCTCAATCATGGGGGCCTAGTAAATCACCGCCCATATGCAGACTGGCATAGATAAATTGCACTCCAATCACTGCCGCAGTTGTTTCTTCCGTAAAGATGCTGACAAGAATCTTTTGTGAGGAATCATGCTGAAGCGCGAGACACCACCAACAGCTTTCCATGGAATCTAATGCACGAAGTGCCGATACTCCACTCCCATCACACAGCCATCCCTCCTGGGGTAGACTGACCGGGGGGCCATTACACCCTTTCGTCCCAGTGACCGGGCTGGCGTACCAAGAAGAGGAAAATGTTTAGCTTCGAGCATCAGGACCCTGATAGCGGGATGGCCCGACGGGTGCCGTTGCAACGGCCATGCAGGTACCAACGGTCCCCCACCATTTTTACGGTGACCGGGCCCAACTATATTTCCTCTGCTATGTCTTCAACTTCATAGTGCTGCCCTGCAACGTCGCGTTCACCTTGTTGACGATATACATCGATTCCCAGCGTTTTCTCGTCTCAATATGTCTGTACACGCTGCATTGCATAAACGAGTCCAACAGTATCATAGATCTGATAATTTTGATTCAATGCTACATGTAGACTTCCCAAATGCCGGGGTTTGCTCCTTGGATCCATCAGTCTTCCACTTTTCAGTCTCCTGAGCCACCTTTGCTCCCTTAGACCTTCCATGTTGGCCACATGCAACCACTTTGTGCCAGTCTTGATTCAATCGTACCGTAGACATCAAAAGTCAAACCATCCGGGGCCTGTTCGCATCCGCCTTTCCACACCTCATGTGAGTCAATTGACCGGACTTCTGGACGCCATCACTACTGTGGCTGTCTTGGAGCCATGAGGGTGTCCTTACCACCTCCACTTAGAACTCTGTCTAAACCACGCCACGATGTTGCGTTGTGTAATCCATTTAGACTTTGGCGAACTGCTTTTCGAGATACAAAAAGGCATTCATCTTCCCCTGGCTTTCTGCTCTTCTCCTTTTTCCCTCTCAGATCGCTTTGCACGCAGGTAAGTCTTCCAGATTCATTTTTTCATCGGAATCAAGAACCAAGAACAACTTCCCAATACTGTACTCTCTGCTCTCTTCTCATCATGTCTTCTTACGTTCACACTTCTTTCCCCATTGAGATGGAGGTTGACAGTCCCACCACCTCTGATCTCTCTGGTCCTCTTCTCTCCTCTTTCTCTTCTCTCTCCCTCGGTGTTCCTACTCCTCAGGCTTATCCTGTGGAGATGGATGTCGATGATTTCTCTCTTCAGGCTGCTCGACAGGCTTTCGCGGATTACAAGAAGAGCAAGCGCTCCTCTTCTAACCGCAAAAATCCATTTCTTACTCCTCTCTCCTCCTCCTCCTCCTCCTCTTCTTCTTCTTCTCTCTCTCAGGACCGCCCGAAGAATCCCTTTGCTGGTGAGTCCGCTCGCGCTAAGCGCGATGACTCTCGCAAGAATCCCTTCGCTGTTGTGGAATCCTCTCGCGCTAAGCCTGATGGAATTCGCAAGCGTCGGGGTGGTGGTAAGGGTAGAGCTAAGGATCAGCAACAGCCCAAAGGTAACGGACAGCGCGGATCTCGAAAGACTTCTGGTCAGCATCAGTCTTCCAAGCCTGCTCGCAGGCCTAGACAGAAGCGCAATCAGAAGTCCAAGAGAAACGATCAGTCTGTCAATCCCTTTGCGCAAGGTGCTAATCCTGTCCCTCAACCCAAACCCCAAAATCCCTTCTCTAAGGGCGGTACTTACAATCCTTAACTCCGCTTCCGCTCCTCTCTCTTCTTTTCTCTCTCCTTTTCTTCGAGTCTTGTTTCTTCTTGTAATCCAAAAAAGCCAAAAAAAACTTGAAAAGCCTGAAAAAGAGGAAAAAAATCCGTTTCTTTTGTCTTGTTTGTTTTTGCTTCTTACTCTCTTCTCTCTCTCTCTCTCTCTCCTCCTCCTCTCTCTTCTCTTCTCTCCGCAGTTGTTTTTGGTTCTTGTGACTGGTGAAAAAACTGGTCGACCTGTCATCGCTTGCGTGTAGGCGATTTTTATTTTCAATCTCCCCGGCCCCGGCGAGCCACCATCGTGAAATCGTCTTTCTCCCTTCCCCTTCTCTCCCCGGCCCCAGTGAGCCACCATCGTGAAATCACTCTTCTTCCCTCCCTTTTCTCTCCAAGGCCCCAGTGAGCCACCCTCGTGAAATCATTCTTCTTCCCACCCTCTTTTCCATATGGCCCCGGTGAGCCTTAATCACTACTCCTATGGGCAATGAAGTCGGACTCCAAACCTCCCCGTGGTATTGCCTGGGAACTTCCTTTCCTTCATTGGATCGGATGCAAAGTCCTTTGGACTGGAGACGCAAACTTTGATTAGAAAATTCTGGCTGTTGTTTTTGAATATAATTACTTTCAAATCACTCATTCTCTTCTGTGCTTTCCCAATTTATAGTGTGTCATTGTTGCTTTCTTCTTGGGCTATATCAATCCGCTCTGCCATCTGTGACCAGTCCCCTTCTTTGCGTTGCCATTGTACCATCCTTCACTCTGGACACCTCTATATGACTGATGATCTCGGTGCTCGACATGTTCCTACGGACCCCTCTGTTCATCAACGGCTTCTCAATCCATAAGCCCTGCGCTCAATGTGAATGCTGCTTCAGGTTTACCTACTGCGTAGGTCTCCGATGGAAGATGGTCAGGGAAAGGAAGAAAAAAGACTGAAAAGGTAAGCCTGAGTATCAACCAGATATTGATTTTAATTGTGAAACACGTTACTTTTATAGCATAACTTTTGTGTTTTGGTATCAAATCGAGTTTCAAGGTCATGATATTCATTCACCACTTCCACTATTCAGTAGAGCATTACCATTTCATCTGTGTTATGAAACTGTATGTAAACTTAAAATAAATGTAAAAGGGGAAGGGATAGGCAGACCCTTGTTGTAGATTTGAAAGAGAAGAGTGCTTCGCGGAGCTGAGAGAGACAGAGAGCGATAAGGTCGAATGAGTATTTCTTCGAGGACTTGAAAAAGGCCAAGATGCTACTAGTTGAGGTTTGATCGGAGAGGGTGGCGCTGGTATTTGCGTTGTCTTCCAATCAGGGGCAGACCGAATTAAGCTAGTGCCCGATTTGAATAGAGCGTCTAGAGACACCAGACCTGGCGTGGATAATATTCCAAATCAAATTATCCGAGTATCTTTACTACTACATAAAAGCAAGGCGAAATACTTTTGGCATGGTCCCGCAACTGTCGCCAATGTCTGCCTATGCCTCCCTTGCGCAACTTTATTGCTCAGAGCTAACGAAACGCTCTGGTACGATGTTACCGCGTGGGTGGACTGTCGACCTTAGCTTGTGTCAGGTTGGGAGTCCAATTCGACCTCAAGTCAGGGCAAGCGCAGGGACAATCAACAAGTCTCTATATCAGCTTCCGACTGACCGGGTAACCTACGGTTAGAACCTCTCTTTTACAACCCACGCAGAGAATCAATATACAGTCAATTGACCTTTCGTCACCCCTCAGAACTACGGTTCGAAACATTTACCCTGTGATACCGATACCGACAGCTTGAATGTATTTAATACGGTCATATCCGCAACGGTCGTTAGGCTCAATCACTAACGCTAGTAGGTTCCATACTTTCCGGTCTCGTTGCACGTCAAGCACAATTTTGGCCACTGAGAGTCACTGCTCTGCCTGGGCCAGACCCACACTACCTGGTAGGGAGTTTAAACTTACCCATATCACCATTGTAGAGAGATTGCAGTACCGAGGGTGTTTAACATACTTAATACTAAGGTAGCACAATATGATTGATGAGGTAGGTTGAGCCATAGTGAGCGACATCTCAGACGTAGTCCACATGGTTTTGATGTTGGAATGGGAGTATTTAAACCAAGTGACTTCACGTCCCCTGGGGCGAAAAGGCCAATCACACGGCCAACCCGAGCTAGATAGGACACCACACCTGCATCTTCTAGCCCTGTACACTTGACAAAATACGAAATGCAGTCTCCGAAGTTGTCTCGAGGTATCTGCGCCCTTTTCGTCGTCTTGATGGCGGCCACCTTCACCACTGCCTCCCCAGTCGCCGTCAACTCCCAGCCAGGCCCCGCCGTCGATGACACCTCCATCGCCCCGCGCGCCTCCGGAGGCGGCTGGTGCTGGCCCTTTTGCAACCCCTTCCTCCGCGGCGTTAACACCCCGAGCACCTACAACTTCCGCACTCCCCCGTCAACGGCGGTCCGCCCACAGTACTTCGACGTCCCGGGCAACCAGTTGACCATCGCTGTCCAGACCATGACCACGGGCGCTGTGCAGGTGACGGTCTCACTGGCGCGGGGATACACGCCGCCGTCACACGCCCAGATAAACGTGCGCCTGCGTGTGGGCACCGTCAATATCGACTTCAATCACGCCAACCTCCAGTTCGGCAGCGAGACGGCCGGCGTGGAGATTCCGGCCGAGCAGGCGGCTGAGTTTAGGACGGCACAGCGGCCCACGGATGGGTCTTTTACAATCAAGCTTTTGTATGAGTTGGACCAAGATCTTTAAGAGACTCCATCATTTGAGACTCTGGGCAGGGACTCTTGGAACAATTGCAAGTGGCCGAGTTTGAATTACAAGGCACAATACGTGTACGCCTCTATGGAGGACTCGAGACTCTTAGAGGAAAAGATAGGGCCCATGCCAATCGTCGAAGGGCGCATTCTAGCTCGACACTTGGTACATGTATCCTTTCATGATTAATGTAGACGCTATCCTTTGAAAACGGCATCAGCATGCTTATTGAACCATTACTGAAAGTTTCATTCGAGACCAAGTCAAAAGGTTCATACATGTAGTGCTGAAAACCAGCCGCATTCTCGAGAATAAAAAAACAGATTCATGGAAAGCCAGATCTTACCCGTCGAGGGCAACGTCTCGTTTCTTACCCCCCCCCCCCCCTCCCCCCCCCCTGATCTTCCTGTACTACGGTACATCGAGACTTGATTTTTTCGGTTTATCTTAATCCCGCAATGGCTGCAAGTCATTAGCATCCAGAAGAGATATAACGGCCGGTGTAAGTGTGGGCATCGATGCTGGATCATAATCACCTTCAGCGGCAAGCATCATCACATACGACCATACCCACTGGAGAATTCGGGATCCCGTCCGCTCTCCCATCGACAAACCAGTGAGGGCCGGATTAGTAGTTGGGTCGGTGACGACCAGCGAATACCTGGTGTTGTATGTTTTTTTCGCATCTGGTGATGCCCTCCTTTTTAGAGGGGTGGGGGGGTTTCCTTGGGCCCAGATCTTCTCGCGATTAATCGCCAATTGCCAGTCGCCAGACTGATGTAATATATGTATAAAACGATAAGAAACCCTTTTCCATTAGGCCGAATTAATTCTTGCCGTAGCGGTCCTACCCACTCAAGTCTCTCCAGTCAATAATATCAAAATTGTAAAGTTACTTTTACGTGCTAAATGAATAGCTAAAATAAGCCGGAGATAATATAATTGCTAATATTAAAACTAATTCTATTATCTAAACTAGCTTTAAGAGAAGGGCGCCTAGTCGCCAGGCTCTCTTACTAACGCTGGTCCCAGAGCTAGAAACACCTATTCCTAGGTGCCCAACGGCCACGGTAGAGGCGCCGGTCTACGGCCTAATCCGTACAGTAGTACAATTACTAGCTGAATAGTGGTTAAGACAGTGGCTTTGTAACTGTGGCGATTGGCAATTGGCAATTAATCTTGAGAAGATCTGGGCTTTAGTAAGTGTTGCGATATCTCTTTGCTTCACTTGGATGTTGATTATTGGTTCCGCTGATCCCACGGCGTACGACCCCGGGGCCCCGGGCGCCGGTCCCGCCACGGAACCAGACCCGTTTAAAAGTCGCAGCAGTATCCATGTATCCCAATGAGACTTATCAAATGTCGGTCCCGTCCTACCTGGCCATGACTCCGATACGTTTTTTTTTTTTTGGCTTTTCTGCATGAGCCCGGTGATTTTGACTATGCGCCAGTGCCAGGAAATTCCCGCCACCTCAAGTGACATTCGGTGTTCCGCGGCCGGTCATCACTACAACCGGCGACAGTCTTCGGGACAAACGGATGTGCGTCTCCCTGTCGGAGACAACGGCGTCGTCCAGCGAGACGTACCACCTACAGCGATGCCACACCTTTACGAAAATGCAACCTTGGATAGTCAACGTTTAGCTCCAAGCGTCACGCGACGTTGATTAAATCGCGGCTTCGAACCCCGGATCTTCCAGAGCCACCCGAACACATCGTATCATGCGAAAAGGGCAATCAGGTCCACCAAAAAAGGCCACCCCCGCGATAGCAACGATATCAACGACCGGGGATCGGCCATCCGCGGGTGCCGGGAGAGATTGTGGTTCCCAATTAGAATAAGGACTCTTCGCTCATCTGAGAAAACAAAAGACGAGGCAATTCCGCGGGGAATAAATGGGACGACGTTGAATTCATCCAAAGATTTCAATTATCTTACGTAAAGACCAACGGCCAACAACCAAAAAAAGGGAGTGCGTTTTTGCTCGTCTTCTTTTAGTGCATCATGGACGTCGCCGAAACGCACCTCGTCACCGGCGGCAGCGGCTTCATCGCACAACACCTCGTCAACGAACTCCTGACGCAGGGTGTCCGCGTAAACGCGACAGTACGCAGCCTCAAGAATGAAAGAAAAGTTGCCTCCCTCAAGGCTCTTCAAGAAAAGCATGCAGGGCGATTGCAACTTTTCGAGGCCGACCTCCTTAAGCCTGGCTCGTTCAAGGAGGCGATGCAGGGGTGCTCGGTGGTCCACCATGTTGCATCACCGTTTATGATGGCGGAGATGATCAAGGACGGCCAAAAGGAATGTGTCGAACCGGCGCTGGAAGGTACTCGAAATGTGCTAGCAAGCGTCAAAGAGACACCATCAGTCAGACGCGTTGTTCTGACATCTACAAGTACGTGCACGCATTTTAGTTTCCTTTCCTATCAATGCAAAGTCGTTTCAATAGTACCAAATTTCTAACGTTCAAATTCGGGTTTACAGTCGGTGCCATTTTCGGAGATTACGAGGACGTCAATGACAAGATGGGGGGCACATTGTCCGAAAAGTACTTCAACGAGACCAGCACCGTAACGCACAACCCATACCACTACTCCAAAGTACTCGCAGAAAAAGAAGCCTGGGAAATCGCCAAAGGACAAACCCGATGGGATCTCGTGGCGGTCTGCCCAGGGCTGGTCCTCGGACCGCCCCTGTCTGCGGGCTCCGACTCGGGCAGCTTGTTCCTGATCGACGAGCTACTCAGCGGCAAGCTGTTCTTTGGCGTACCCAACCTCAATTTTGCGACCGTCGACGTGCGTGAGGTTGTGACGGCACATATCAAAGTCGCGGCGACACCCGCAGCAAGTGGTCGATACATTGTGACGTCACGCCAGTTGGCCACGTTCCTGGAGATGTCCAAGCTGTTTCGGAGACTGAGTAAATCAAGGCTCATCCCGAACCACCTTCTGCCCGACATTCTAGTTCAGGTCGTAGGACCCTTGTTTGGATTAACCAGGAAGTGGATAGCGAGGAACTTGGGGAGCAAGTTCGACATAGACAACAGCCGAAGCATCAAGGAGCTCGGGATTGAGTATCGACCGCTGGAGACTACCCTCACGGAGCATTATCAAGCATGGAAGGTGAAAGCGTGAATACCGATTGGAGTAATGGAATTGAGAGACGATGAGCGGCGGTTCTAACATGAAATATTCGACGATTTATTATGTACATACATGTACACATAACAGGCGCTAGCCCCTACCCCTCCGAAGCATGCTCATCTGGTGATACCATGCTTGTTGCATCTCTGGCGCCTCATCGCAACATTTTCCTCTAGATATAGATGGCGTAAGATAACTTCGCCTGGCCAGTTCTGTAACCGCCAATTAGTGGGTTGATTCTCTGATCATCCTTTTGATATAATTCATGATGGCACGTGCCTGTTTATTGAAACACGTCACGATAGTGCGTATGGCGTTAATTGCTGCCTACAATTAAACAGCGTCGTTTTTGCGACAAGATATTTTTAAAAAAGATGGCCAGCAATCACCATCGCTGATGAGTATTGCAATAACACAAATTTGCAGAATCCAAATTGAATTGAAACGCTCATATTCGAATTCAAGCCAAGGAACAATGCCAATACGCAAAGCCATCTTCATACCAGAACAATAGCGCCCGCGAGCCATGCCGCTACTCTTACAAAAAACGCCCCAAGCCTGCTCCCGTCCACCCATGTACCTACATACATGCCGACCTACTCAAACAATGCTCATATGGTGGCAGCAGCACGTCCAATCACCACCAGGCTCCTGCTTCCAAACGCTATTGCAAATGCCCTCGGTCGCGACGAGCTTCTTGCCCTCCTGGCGCCACGCGGTGACGCGGTAGACGAGGCTGGAGCTCATCATGTCAATCTCGACAAACTCGGGGTCGTCGTGCATGCGGTACGCCGTCCAGGGCTCCCAGTCGTCCTCGAGGAACTCTTGGAGCGTCGGCTTGGACTTGGGGGAGAGGGGCTTCTGGCCCGGGTGGGCGAGGACGGCCTCCTTGTCGAGGTACTTTTTCAGGTGCTTTGGCTTGCTGTCGCACATGGCGCGCCAGAGGAGGGTCTCGGCTTCGATTGTGTCTTCCTTGTTGCGGGAGTAGATTGTTCCCGATCCTGCGTTTTCGTCGCCCATTGTGATGTCTTTTTATGTTTGTCTGTCTTTTTTTTTTTTCTCTTTCTTTTGCTTTCTATGTTGTCTGTCGTGTATTCAGAGCTTGTGAGATTTTTCTCGTACGTGATGGAACCGGTCGAGGTCAGTGGTGGGAGGATGGGATGCGGGAGCGGCAGCGGGAGCGAGGTTGGGGGCGCAGCAAAACAGCTTTATGATGTCGCCCAGAGAGCTCTGGCCTCCAGCGGCGGCATTGCGTGTGACGGAGTCGTCCAAAAACAGGAAATCCTGGGTTTGCGTTGCGCGTCTGATTGGGCGGGCAGGGAAATGCTCGCGCGGTCTTGGGCTTGACGTCACTCTCGATGATGGGCAGCGGCGAACAGGGGGCCACCAGCGGCTTATTGCGGGGGAGAGCGTAAGGGACAGGGGGGTGGGAGCCTGGAAACAGGTTACTTGATCTGGCGAGGTCTAGATTCTGCCTCACTCACTCACTCCCTCTGCCTCTCCCTCTCGGTGAGTGAGAGGTTTGAGAGAGCATGCGACCTCTGATGTAACGCGTGCACTGACGGGTCCGGGTGCAACCCGGCCGAAAAGATTCATATAAGTTGCAGTGTCAGAGTGTGTCTTTGATGAGCTACAGTTACAGACCCGTAGCGTGACTAGCTACCGTTGGTGGGCACGGCACGTCAACGTTGTAACCGGCTCCGCCCGTCAGATCGTGGGCCGCCGGCCTTGGCTTCGATCTATCGTCCAACGTCCCCATCGCGGCGCAAGGGCTACACTAGACTGGTGGGCTTCTGGAATCGCATTCTGGAATCGCGTTCAACCGTAGGCCTTGTCCAAGAGGATTTCATGCCACATTGACTACGAACTGTGTCTACAGATTGTAGTGCGCTGGTTCATCTCATAATGTGTTACATTGTCAGTACGCTTGAGCGCACACATGGTGATCTACTCGTCCAGCTTACCGAGGGACTCATTTGCCGACGCCCCAATGAGCTCTATGAATGCTACAGCATGTGCAACCTCGATCTCTCTTCAATCCATTTTTATTTTTCTCAGTCGACCTTCAGCTCATGAGATTTTCATCTCATAGTCTTGTGCGAAAACGTGAGCGTGACTGACTCAACGCTCGGGTCAATTGAGCCACGGGAGACAAAATGACGTCAAGACTCTCATTTCCGTACTGTAACCGTCAACCTCTCCAGCCACCTCTACATAGTAAGACGATGGCCGCATAGTCTCGTTATCCCCAAAGATTTCATACCATCATATATTATGGACGACTGGCAAGAAGCAGCTTTCACATCGAGACATGTTCACAACAGAGCAAACAAGTCCGGAAAAGGAGGCGGGCGCGGACGACGCGGTGGAGCCTTTGAAGTCAAAAGAACATTCGGGAGTTACGACATCAAATGCCCTAGTGCAACCAAATTGAGTGGCACTGTACACGAAGGAAAGAAAGGGAAGCCTGCCGGGCCGTCAATGGATATCTATCGCCTCTCACAAGATGGCAGGGGCTTGCTGGGGCAGCTGAGCCTGCCTGGGGTGCTCGAGGCCAGGGTCATTCTTACCGGAAGCAGAAAGGTGCTCATTGACTTGATATCGCAACTCGAAGGCAGCGACGCAGGGGAAGAAGTGTCAGAAAATACAGACGTTGATGCTGACTCGGTTCCAAAGCACGTTGTCAGTGCGGATGAGACGAAACTGGACGAACGTCTAGGATCATCAGAGGACCAAACCAATAAGGAGGAACCCGAAGAATCTGAAGAAGAGAGCGACGTCGAGGAACAGCAACGAATCAAGAATTTTGAGAAAAACAGCTTCCGCTCCCCTAAATTCTGGTTCCAATGGAACGGAGATGTCGTATCGTCCACAGCACCCTCCATAGAACAAGAAAAGGCTCTACCTACCAGCCGGGAGACTGGGAGGGGCTACATTGTATTCTCTGGGAATGACTGCCGCTCATTCAAGGGGACCATCAGCTGCGACTCCCTGGGTTGGAAGGATGTCTCCCTGTCTGGATGGAAAGAAGTCTCTATGAGCGAGAGGGATGTTGCCTTTGTCTGGAAGTAGATCATCATAATAATTATCAGCGCACGATGGGAAAGATTCACTAGGTCAATTTCGGCCGTGATACCTTCTCATACAAGGGCGACGACGAGTTAGCATGGAGTATGTAAAGAACCAAAGCAGAAGACGGCTAAGTGAGTCTTCATTCACCCAAAACGAGAGGTGATGAAAATGTCACCCTTGGCTCTTCACAGTGGGAGCCTCGCTCTCCATCTTTCCGTCCTTGGCCTCAACTCCAGCCATCTTCGCCTGCAAAGCCGCGTACATTCTGTTCATGGCGTTGCGATTGAACTCCTCTCCAGTCACCAATGGATACTTCTTCAGCGGGCCCTGAATGACAGCCTCTTTGCACGGCTGGTTGAAGAAAGCCATGCTAAATCTCTCCCCGTAGTAGTCCCCCTCTTCAAACGGCGCCTTGACCCGGTGATAGGTGCTCTTGAACCGATCGTCGCTCCAGCTCATCAGCAAGTCTCCAATGTTGCATATGATGACGCCGGGGTTGATCTCCACCTTTGTCCACTCGTCGCCAAGGGCGTGTTCGGTGACGGCTTCACGGCCAGGACAGATCTCGAGTCCAGATTGCCCTGCACGTTGAAATAGCAGCGTAAGAAATCCCCAGTCGGCGTGGGCGCCTGCACGATGGTATACCTTTCCATCGTTGACGCGAGGAGTTTCAAAGTAGTGCAGAAGCCGGAGCACAGACTGGGCGCCGGGATGGCTGGCATCGTGGTACTTGATGAAGTAATCGTCCGGGAAGCCGAGGCCCCGGGCCAAGCAGAGCATCAACTTTTCCGATATGGCTTGCACACGATGCATAAAGGCTAGAGATTTGTCCTTGAAGCCAGGGATACTATCATCGCTAACCCACACTCCGTCCATGTTCTCCCCGAATTGGAGTTGATAGGACTCCTTTTGATCGGCAGCACCCGTGGACGGTCTGACTTGTGACAATTTCTCCCAGCCGACATTCTTGGGACTCCACGGTACGGTGGCTTTGGTTCCGTCTGGCAGGGCGAAAAAGGACTCAGCTACAGAGAACATAGCCTCCACTTCGGAATCGCTGAGACCATGGTTTTTGATGGAGAAGAACCCGACATTCTCGGCAGCATCACATAGCTGAGAAGTAATCTCATCGATCCGACTTTCGAACTCATGGAGCGAAATCTGCGGAATTGAAGATCTCAGTCAGTTCTCTCGCTAATCCCGAACATCCGATGCAAAGACATTAGAACATACTTCGGGAATCACCCGATGAACATATTTCGTCTTTTCCGCCATGGCACCTCACTTGGCGTTCGCTCACCAAGACATTGAGACCAATGCCAGAAGCTGAAGGTCCAGTTCGAGTGAGTAGGCCGATTAAGAGCCGGTAAAGTTTTCGATATAGAATTGATATGACAAAACTGCAGTGGTAACGATGAAAGTACAAAGATGTTTCTGGCAAACATTATCATCTCTCCTTTCAATCATGCTTTCAGCCGTCGAGATAAGATAATGATAGCTGACTTGCAGGCGTATGCACGTCCCGCTCATCGCAGGGCTTGTATTGGTGGACACCACAACCTCGGTCGAACGACCACGCAAGCTTATCTCTAGCACCACTTCGGCGTCGGAAGCCGAGAGGGCAACTAACACTCGTTTATTCGAGACTGAACTTCATCGGCTGCTACCACTGCGACGATAAGATACAGAATATTTCAAAAAAGAGGTAAAATGTATAGCAGCCTGGAGAGTCCGAGGGCCAAGGCTGGACTCTCATTATTACATTCTTTGACATCCATTGCATCTCAGATTCTCAACACACTTGGTACACCTCAAGCGGCAAATCCTCATCACAGGGTTCATAAATATGAACCCATCTCGGAAAAGAAGTTTTTGTCAAATAGATACTGCAAAGTTTTCAGAGCATGCCAGAGGTTGTGAATAGTTTTAGCACAAATGTCAAATGAAGTTTTGTATTGTATGGCCACTTGACTATGGCCAAAGCAAAAACAGGCTGTATCAACTGGCAGCTATTGGACCTTCACAAATTCTGCTTCTTCTTCAATCGAGACTTCTTCCTTAGACAGATAGGCCACCCCAACTCTCTCAAACACCTTGTCTTCCTTCGAGTTCTCAATCGGCGCTATAATTAGAGCATAGTGTCTGAGTAGGTCATTCTTGTGCTGCTTGCTCGTACCAATGACGACACACATCAGCGGTTGAGGCCAGATTCTTTCTGGATCATCCAAGATCAGCCGCGCTGGGTTCTCGTCAATTAAGGTATGGGCTCGGGCTCGGAAATACGCCTCCCCTGAAAGGTACGGTGCCCCAGCCATGTTGTCGTCAGACAACCTTTCAAACGGCGATGTGATGTCTGTAGCTCTGTCGATATCGCCAAAAGGAACGTTCATGTATCGTATTTCTCCGTCGAAGGCCATCCATGACCAGGAAGGCACTCTTTCTCCGGGAGGAAACGCGATACGTCGCAGCGACGTCCCAGTGTTTCGGCGCTGCCACAAAAGATCTCTGTGGAAGTTGGATTCAAAGACACCGTAGCCGCCGATTGATTTCAGCGCCGTCATCAATCTCTTCTCAAGACCTGCGATAGCTCTCGGTTTGTCGGTCTCGTAAGTCAGTCCCAGAGATGAATAACGTTCGTAAAGGTCATGGTAATGCTGCAGCTGTCTCCCTTGTTTGAAGGACTCGACAGAGTGAGGAAAGTTGGAATCGGCGAGGAACGCTGCCTTCCGACTACAGCCCAAGTTAATCATTGAGCGAATCATCTTGAAAGGGATTTTTCGTCGCCTACTTTGTCGTCTTGGTCAATGTCTCGCATCGTATGCCTTCTCCGCACTCCCAGTACGTCTGATTCCTCGTGAAGTGCAATGTCCTCCGTGAAAGGGCACGCTCCTGCAGTACCCAGCCCCTCTGATTGAGTTCTCCTTGCTCTACATCAGCTTCGAAGTTGTCGATGATCTCGCAGATGTGGAACTGCACACCGTCGTCCGTTCTCATAGTGACAAATTGACGCTGCGTTCGCGGCTTCAAAAACCCTTGGAATCGATTTTCCGCACAGCTTGCGGCAATGGTAAGGTAGGCCGAACCAAAAACCTCTTCCATGAGCTTTGATTCTCTTTCCCAGTCTTGTTTCGAATCCAGATTGGTATGATGTCCATTGTCCTGAAGGATGCACAGAGCGTCGATCCACAAATAGTTGACTTTGAGTTTCCTTGTGATTAATACGGCATCCAGGAAAGTTTGAGGGAGAAAATCGTCATCGATTCCTTCAGAGCTTGTGATTGTGTCGATGTTGTCCGTGGTTGTTGCGACAAACTTGCCTTTAGTGAATGGGCCCATCCCCCATCGGTGAGATAACGCAATGTACTTCACGGATTCCGGTTTCAAGCCATGGTTAGAAATCAGTCGGACACACCCAGCACTTTCATCACCAACCAGTAGCAATCTAGTTGGGATAAAGCTTTTACAATCTGGTAGGTGCTGGGCCTTGTCGCAACTCTTTATCCACTCGGAGAGGACGTCGAGATGCGTCGAGCCTCCGGGCATGATGGGCGTGGGAAATCCCAGCTGAATGCAATAAGACCTCAAGGTCTCTGAGTCTTTACGTGATTTATGAGCGTTACTCTCAAATTTGATGTACGGGTCGCACTTACCACTTGTTCGACAAAATGATAAAATCGGAACCCAGTCCCTGTCTCCAAACATCAAATAAGAACCATTACGGACAAACTTGATGCGTTCATCCCGAGAGGCCGCTCGCCTGGCCATAGTATGATGAATGAGGCGACATAGTTCACACGATTTTGATCGATGTTCCAAGTCTATGAGTGTGTCGGAAAACTTGCAGACGTTGGACCACACCTGGAGGTGTTGACAGCGTTGGCATAGCCGTGAGTCATTGTAGAGCATATGCTGCTCGACGCTGTTGGGGACGATGGATTGAGCGATTGTGTCATCTGAGTCATAGATCCAAATATCGTCAAGCTAACCATGTGTCAGGAGGTCGCGTGTTGGCATACGTCAAATCACATACCGGCTGAAACAACTCATGTTAGTATCAATGGCCTTGCTTCAAACCGTGGCTGTACCATGGACCCTCATGTCTGCAGCGGGGACACATATAATGAACTTACGGTCTAAAGCGGGAAACAATACACTTGTCAGCAATATTTTCTTTAATTCAACTATCACGAATTGCGAATTGCTTACAAACTGAAGAGAGTGATAACGTAATTTATTAGCAGTATCCGCAGATAAGACTCAGCATAACTCTACCATCTATCCCGGTCATCAGATCACTTGCAATCTCCTTGACGTTGATCTTCCTTCATGAGCCACTTACGTACTGTATTGGGTTAGAAGATGAATGGTGCATAAGGTATGAGTGCGACAAAGTCCTTCTAGAGTCTAGGAAAGAGTGTGATCTTACTTTCTGAACTCATGTTGCCTTGTCAGCTACTACCTCCTATCAATGGCACGGTGATGCTTCTGATGACGTACATCGCTTGCCTAGGGAGAAATTAGCATGTTGCGGTCTGAGAGATCAATTACAAGGTCTGGAATACCCCTTTCATCATCCCATTGGCGTCCTTTCCTCTCAGAGCTCCTCGATTATCTCCGGGAGTAAGATTCGCCATAAAAGTCGGCGGCCCGCGTTTAGCAGCATTCACAATGCCGTTTTGGTTGATCCAGGGAATCGAGCGCTCTCGCTTCACAGCGTTGACTATACTCTTCATCTCCTCGTAGACTTCCTCCGCATCCGCCCGCTGAGCATCTTTGGACGACAAGTCCATTGTGGGCCGTTTGAGAATCATCTTGATAGATCCTTCGGTGCTCATGGGAGAAATGCCTCTTCTCGATGGGTCTGACCCGTTGTACTCGGAGAACGAATCTTTGCGAAGTTCAACTTTGACAACCAGTAGTCTGTTTTCAATCAGAGTCACCAGGCGTCCAATGGCGGTTTTCTTGACCTCGGCACACCGAGGATCCTCCTTGATAGCCTTGATCCATTCTTTGACCGGTTCCTTGAGCCCGACCTCGGGTTCTTTTCTGTAGTAGGGTTGGCCCGGTCCAATATCCCGACGGAAAGACTCGAGCGTTAGATTGCCATACAAGATCCAGACGAGAAATTCTAGATAGAGGCACCCTAGAGACCAGATGTCGTATCGCCTCGACCTAGCATCCTGTAATTGCAGCTCAGCCTCAGGAGGCGAATACATAATCGTGCCCTGCGGTGTGCCAGTCGGTTCTCCGCGGAATTCCGTGGCCAACTCATGTACTTTTGCATGCCCAGCATCGGCTACAACGAGACGCACGCCGATGGGGATCTTTTTCGTACCAACGTCGGTGTTGCTGAAGCACAGAATGTTCTCTGGCTTCAGGTCGCCATGCCTGCAGGATTCCCTGGGGTCTTTCTCGGGATGGTGCAGGCTCTCTATGGCACCGGAAAGGCCTAGTAGCTGCTCAAAGAACCACTCAAAGTAACTAGACCAATCTTCGATGTTGATATTTGTTGACGCAACATGCAAAGTGGGTTGGTTAGCCCAGAAGTCACGGAGGTTGCCGCCTCTGGCCCAAGGAAAGACAAAGTAGTACCGATTACCTTGGGTGTAAGTGGCAATCGCTCTGATAAAGTGCGGATGGTCCTGGTCTCGAAGACGTTTCAGGATGGTTGCTTCATTCTCGGCTACTTTGGCAAACTTCTCCCTTGAAAGGCCTTGCGCGGATAGTAGTTCCTTGACGGCGATGTGAGGGTTTCTCTCGCCATCGACTAATGTGCCCTAGTGTGCCTTTTATTAGCCTAGTTCTTCATGGAAACATACCAGGATCTTACAATCTGGTCATCAAGTTTGAAATTCAAGTGTGTACGGTGAATGACAAAATGTCTGACGACACTGAAATTTGTCTGATTTGAACCAAGCTCTTCCAAATATGGCATCTGGCATCGAGGGTCGAAAACGTGAGCCTTGTCGTGAGGACTGAAGACAGGCACAAAAAATCGCCATTGATAGGTATTGCAAAATTGTCGAATCATTTCTTTCTCATTGTCGTCTTCGTCGTCGCTGTCGTCTTCATCCAAGACAACCCCAGAACTGACAGTCTTGTCCGATCTACACGACTGGATAGACCATTTTGGACGGGATTTGTTGCCTGTAGTTCGGGGTTTGATGTATCTGATGGGGAAGTCTTCATCGCCAAACTGTTCGCCATGAAAACGTTGCAGCAAATCCAGGCGGTCTAGCCGGATCAGGAGAGAAACCAGTCTCTTGGCTCGCCCAAATATGAAACGCTTCATACTGTCGCTCATTCTTATTTTCTCTTCAAGTGCTTTTACCACATGGCTGTTGTCCTGAATGATGTTGTTGATGGACGAAAGTGGAGTCCAGGTATATGTTCTTACATCCCTGGTGTTTGACACTTCGCGTTCCGCTTTCTGTAAAGCTTTTCTGATACCCTTGAATGTCAGCATGGTCTTGTTGTTATCTTAGTCCCGACAAATGAAAGGAATTGAGCTTAAAAGCTGAAGGGATTGGATTGAGTCGCCAATGTTTCCGGGAAGTGTTTGTCTTCTTGATAGCCCCAACTTCTGTGCTGAGCGACTGTTGGGGACGGATCCTGTCGTCCGGGCTCGGCGCAGGGGGGGTGGATGATTAAGAGAGGGCTGTTCTTCTCAGCAGGCTTCCTAGAGTAACGAGACAGCCTCTCAGGAGAGGGCTCCGTGGAGACTCCGCAGATTCAAGTTAGCTGAAAATGGATAGCCTTAAATTTTCTCGGCCTGGCAAAGACGACTGTAAGTCGGATAATCCAACGAGAGCCAAGAATTCTCGACTGTTGCTGCTGCAGCACTGGCAGCAGTCAGCAACCGAGGCAGAAGCTAATGCACACTCTCTACGATATCTCTGCCGATCATTCGTGGCAGGGCACGCCGAAGTCAAGGATCATGGTGCGCAATTCTCGGTTGTGTATGCATGATGCAACCACTACGTGCTGGATGCGTGGGCTCGGTCGACCAACGCCAACTTGGTGCAGTTCGCCGGTTTCCCCATATCTCTGGTCTCCAGGACTTACACGTTTCCAGCACTGCAATCAGGTCACATGGCTCATATGCCAGGCATCAGCAACTTGGACGCCTCATTCTGACCACCCGGACGCCTTCATCTCTGAGTGTGCCGTTTCGCATCCGCGATGTGCATTGTGTGCGTGATGATGCGGTATTTACCACGTGCCGCCTCCCATAAAGCAGGCTCTGCCACCCCTTGGACACAGCGAATAGTCAGGCTGCGGCTCAGATACGAACGCATTTACCCCCCAAATAAAGGGGTTTCCTCAATCCCCCCGATTCGTCTGGTCAATTCCTGACTCTTGGAAGTGTGATAAAGCAGCCTGCCCTTTTACCCGCTCTCGAGGCCTATCTCATGAGATTGAGGATTGGCTGAATTGGTCCGGTTTACCCATCTTCCGTTCCGTAACTGTCGGTGGGGTTCATCATCATCCTGAACTCTTCCAGTGAGTGATGCAGTGTATTCTGCTATCTGGGATAGCTAATTGACTAGCCAGGCATATGTTAATATTCATCAGATTCAGACCCAAGTCGAGACAACGTCCCAAGGCCACAACGACTCTTGGAACTTCTAGATCGGCGCCCCATGGCGAAGCCATTAACACTACATCGACGGCTGACCGACGTTCAAGAGCAGGACGATCTGAATGGCAAGCGTAATTACTTGCCCTTGGATGCCCTTCATGCAATCATCAATGAGAACAACGTAAGGATGGAACTGGAGAGAAAAGCGTCAAGACAAACGCCGAGGACATCGATCAGCCCTGCACAAGACAGAGCGCAAGCATTGGCAGGAAGAGTACTAACTAAGAACGCGAGGAAGTTATTCGTGATCCTCGTTCACCTTGGTGTGCCTTGGGATATCAAAAAGCTAATGGATGCGAGAGTCACTGATGATCACTTGCCTCTCTTCAAAAACAAAAGGGGCAAATATGGAGAACAACTACAGTCAGCCTGTAACGCCAGCGTCGTCTTCGACCCACCGGACGAGTGGGAAGAACAAGTTGTCGATGGCTTCATTGAGAAGCAGTGGCTAGTACAAGCGCCAGTCTTTGAGACCGCGGGAGCTCACAGGATACTTGATGCTTTGTGTCCACTACCAATTACCAAGATGGACACTGACATTCATAGCCAAAGAAGCGTGGTGTATAAGACGACTGTTCATCGACACCATCAGCAAGGATTTCTGGTAAGCGGCAATCTGGGACTTCTACGGGCCAATCAAAATTGACCATCACAGCCCGAGTCGCCGAATCTGCGAGTTGCTTTGAAAGAGTTCAAGTACAGAGGCGACTTTCAACAGGAAAGAGAAAACCTCGCAAAAATCCGCAAACTCCGAAACAAGCACATCACTCTCAACTTTGAAACCTTTAGCCAAAGCGATAGAAGCTACATCGTCTTTCCTTGGGCGGAAGGCGGAGACCTGGAGAATTTCTGGCATAGCAGAGACGACAAACCGCGAACACCGCAGCTGGCCCTCTGGAGCTTGGAGCAGATGCTCGGTCTGTCAGGAGCCCTTCACGCTCTACACGAGCAAATTGGCGAAGAAGCAAACTGCCGCCACGGCGATCTCAAACCTGCAAACATACTCCATTTCCTGACGGGGTCGGGCGAGGGCACTCTCAAGATCTCCGACTTTGGAATCTCTCGCATCCACCAGGATGCGACTTTCGAAAGGCAGGAGAAGCCTACAATCACTCGCGCGACGTCGCCGTCCTACGAGGCACCTGAGGCCATCATGTGGACAAAGCAAGCCCGGTCCCGCAAGTACGACATTTGGTCTCTCGGCTGCATCCTCCTGGAGTTCACCATTTGGCTCGTACAGGATTGGAAGGCGGTTGAGAAGTTTAACAATGCCAGAAGGCTAAAGGTACCTCAGCCAGGTGGTAAGACGTGGGCGCACTTCTACCAAATCGAGGGTACTGCGGTTTTCGTTCATCCCGAAGTCACTCGCACCATGACCCATCTCGGAAGAACGAAACAAGCTGCTCCGGGCACGGCATTGGGAGATTTGTTGGATGTCATTCAGAAAAGTCTCGTGAGAATCGAAGTAAAGGAACGACTTGATGCAAAGAGTCTATACGAAAAGCTTCAGCAAATAACGAGCAAAGCTCGTTATAACTCTACATACCTCTTCGGCCTACCTTAGATGGAGTAGCTTTTGAGATACGGGAATTGCGAGGCTATGTAAGTGAAGGATTGTTAGCAACATTGTATTAGGGCGAGGTCCGGGGGTCGTAACAAGGTTATGGAAAACTGATGTTCTTCGCAAGCTTTTCCGTTTCTCTGGTCTCTACTTGGGAGGTACTTCATGATATTTCAGTTGGAACTGTTGTAGTATTTCTTTTCCTTTTCTATCCTATTTCTCTCCTAGGTGCCTAGGAGCTACTTTGGACAATATGCAATCCGACCTACTACCTGTGTAATCAGAAGACTTGCGAAAGCCAGTCTTTGCTCAAACGGAAAGTGCAATAGCATTGAATAATTACAAAATCGACGATGATATGCGACCAGAGGTTTCCAAAAATATTGCAAGCCTAGAAAGCGTGCTACAGGGTGCTCCGGCTTAACACGAGAGGGGTTGATGGGCACCTTGAACGTTTTCGTCAAGATCAAAGCAGACGATCGTATCAACGCGGTGGGACTCTGCAACAAGCCAGAAGCAATAGTGTCGAAAGCCAAGTCTTTACCCCTGTCCATCGTTCCATTTCTATGGTTTTATTATTTCGACTTTGATAGTCTGGTGCACGAAGATGGCAGATCGTGTCCCCGTCAGAATAAACGCGCTATTGGTTCTGTCTGTCCCTCAGAGCCCTGGCTAACGCGCAAACATCACATCGACTGCAAAAGACTTGAGGTGCAATTTAACGCAGTTGTCACCACCGGGGTGATGATGAGGCCATTTTTTTTTTTCGGATCTTGTGATAACGAGCAATGTGATGGCGGAGCGACTGGCGCGGAGATAGGACTTATTCCACTCTCCTCGCCGTGTCCGACTCGCGTGCGTTTCGGGCGAGTTCACGACTTCAGACGGCACAAATATTGCCGTTCGATGAGTGGAGCGCTTCTTCAACCCAAGGTGAAGACAATCGCAAACATTGTCGGATTATTGAACTCTCGTGAATGCCACAAACGCAATCGATACTCCAGCCACGAGGTGATTTTTATCTTACTATTCATGCATTTGACACCGTTAGAGAAGATGGAGTCCCTTAGCGGTCGTTAGACCATAATATAGCGCCGTGCACGGTTCAAGGATAAGGCAAGATTGACCAACGCGGCCGTTTAGCTTTGCTAGCACTGACACCTCACGAACCCACCTACTTGTCAAATTACCCGAGGCGATCATCAAGCGAACGAAGATCATGAATCATGAAACGTGGTGTTAACGATTTCCACAATACATTCGTGTCGAGGCAAAGCAGCGTTACGCGTCTCCGTCTCCTACGCTGGGCGCGTTTGGTGCTAGGGCTGAAACTATTGTGAGGGGTGGTACAGAGTACAGGATGGCATTCTTGTGCTTATCAGATGGAGCATGCAAAGTGTCATCTGATACGGTACAGATCATTCTATGTCCAAACTTTGTCGGGAAGTGGAGTTTGATTCATGGGTGAAGGAGAGTTTGGGAGGGGAAATTAGCATGGCTTTTGAATGGTACTATGATGGCTCGATCAAGGCTCACCAAAACCTGCTCAGGACGAACCAAACAACAATAACCAATAACCATGAGCTGCATGAGACATGTGAGAGAGGAGGCGTATCTCCGAGGCCTGGGCTAAATGTAAAGTGAGTTTTTGTCTACATAGTACGGATAACAATCATGCAAAGTTGCATCGTGCCTGGAGCGACGCATGGTAGCCAATACAAATAGCGAGGACTCCGTATTCGTGCGAATCATACGAATATAGCCATGGATTGATCGGCTCGTTAATCGAGGGGTGCAAAAAAGGGGGGGGGAACTTCTACATTGGATCGCCGCAGGCAGGTGGGCCCGTATCATCTGGTAGGCCCCTTTTTGCAATAAAGAGATGGAAGAAGACGGGAGGGACAGAGTCACCAATGGGATACGAGAAGTCGCCCTCACCTGCCTCACCGGGGGTGTGGTGCGTTCCATTGTAGCAGTGGCAGACCGGCTTCGGGTCCATCCCCCGTCCCCTGACGCTTCCACCTTTAATTTTTCCCCCTTCCCAGGCTCCCTCAGGTACTTCAGTTCCCTCAGTTCCCTGCGTTCCCTCCAGTTCCCCCCCCCCCCCCCCCCCCCCCCCCCCCCCCCCCCCTCCCCCCCCCCCCCCCCCCCCCCCCCCCCCCCCCCCCCCCCCCCCCCCCCCCCCCCCCCCCCTCCCCTCCACCGTTGCCGTCACTGCCACCACTGCCACCACCAATGGCACCAAAAAAGATGATGGAATCTGCCGGCAGCGCATTTTTAAGTGGATTACAAATCGATTGTTGACGGCACACGCAGACCACCAACGGCTCACTCAGCAGCACTCAGCACTCATCGCTCATTTCATCCACTCAACTCACTCACTCATTGCCACAGCCAACAGCACCTGCTACCCAGGTCCCCCATCGGTCAGTTGCATGTCCGACATCCGGCCTCTGACCTCTGTGCTCTTTTTCTTTGTACGGACGGGTACAGCCTTGAGCATCCGCAATCCGTACGAATACACACGCCCGCGCATTCGACTGACGACGGGGCAGCGACCGACGACAAGGACGTTTGCAAACCTCCTCTGAATGTCATTGCCCATCTGGATTTCCCCCCTCCCCCCGTCTCCCTTTTCAAATCATCGCTTGCTGCATGCGCGAAGCAGCAAAAGACGCAGCAGAAGCAGCAGAAGCAGCAGAAGCCGCAAAACCCCCTTAGCCCACCATGTTTTCACGCAACAAGGACCTCTCGCAAATGACCTCGCTGTCGGGCATCCGATCGCGCTTCAAAAGCAGCATGTCGTCGTCGGCCAAGATCCGCAGCTCCGAGGGCTGCTGGACCTGCCGCCTGCGCCGCAAAAAGTGCGACGAGGCTCGGCCCGTCTGTGAAGGGTGCGCCCAGCTCGAGATCAACTGCTTCTACAGCGAGACGAAACCAGATTGGATGGACGGCGGCGAGCGCCAAAAGGAGATGGCAGACCAGCTGAAGAAGCAGGTCAAGATTCAGGCCAACAACCGCCGCGAGCGCAAGTATCTGCAGGGCCTCGATGTGGAGGGCGGCGGCGGCGGATCCGAGGATGGCGACCACGTTCCTCCCGTGCCGGCCCTGAGTGCCGACGACGGCTCATCAAAGGCCAACGACTCCAACAGCCCGTCCACCGTAAACGACACCCCCGGCGACTCCTCGTCCAGCCCACCCTTCCAGATGAACTCGGTCAAGTCGTCCATCCATGAAATCGCCCCCGGCGCCTCGCCGAATCAGATCCGGCAGCACACCCCGGAATGGAACAACCACTCCAGCCCCATCTCCGCGGCACAGCACCACCATCATCACCACCATCAACAACAACACCAGCAGCCCAATGATTTCGCCTTTGGCTTCGGAACCGGGGCCGTCCTCCCCGCCGCAGCACCAACTTCCACCCCGCCCTTCGCCGACGACTCCAACATCGGCTTCATCATGATCTACCTCGACTACGTCTTCCCCTTTCTCTTCCCCTTCTACAAGCCGGCCCTCCTCGAAGGCGGTCGCGGCTGGCTCCTCAACGTCCTCAACCACAACAAGGCCCTCTACCACACGGCCCTCAGCCTCTCCTCCCACTTCTTCGGCGTCGTCCTCGACAGCGCCCAGGTCGAGCATGCCCCCTGCCGCATGAAGAGCGTCGCCAGCCTCCGTCACCAGATGCACCTCGCCCTCCGCGAGCTCCGCGCCGACATGACCCGCATCAGCGAGGGCGCCGCCACCCGCGACCCCCAGGACCAGCTGCAACAGAGCTGCCGCGTCCTCGAGAGCATCGTCCAGCTCCTCATCTTCGACGTCACCCTGGCCACGACGGACCACTGGCACATGCACCTCGACGCCGCAACCATCATCTTCCAGCAGATCCTCCCCCAGCCCGACCGCTGGGACCCAACCATGAAGAGCATGGCCATCCCCCTCCTCCAGGGCGTCAGCTTTCCCCCCGGATCCCACAAGCCCTGGTCCCCGGACCAGGCCGCCCTCCGCTTCTTCACCGCCTCCCTCCTTTACTTTGACATCATCTCCGCCACGGCCCTCGAGCGCCCGCCCCGCCTGCAGCCCTACCACCGCCACCTCCTCTCCCCGCGCAAGGAAGACGGCACCGCCTGCGCCGAGGTCGAGCCCCGGCTGCGGCTCGAGGAGTACTTTGGCTGCCAGAGCTGGGTCCTCCAAATCATTGGCGAAATCGCCACCCTCGACGCCTGGAAAAAGGAAACCCGCCGCGCCGGCTCCCTCTCCATGACCCACCTCGTCTCCCGCGCCGGCTGCCTCGAGCTCGCCCTCCGCGAGGGCATCGCCTGCATGGACAACGCCTGCCCGCAGCTCCTGGGCACCTGCACCGACGAAATGTCCTGCCGCGCCGGCGCCTGCGGTATGGCCGACACCCCGCCCCCGCACCCCACCCACGTCGACACCACCAGGCTGCCCCCGGACCCCCTGACGCTCTACCAGAGCCACCAGAGCCGCGACTCGGACGCGGCCCGCACCCACACCAAGATCTGGGCCTACGCCGCCCTCACCTACCTCTCGACCGTCGTGTCCGGCTGGCAGCCCTCGTGCCCGGAGACGGCCTCCAGCGTCGCCATCGCCATTGAGCTGCTCAACTCGCTCCACAGCCCCGTCTGCCTGCGCACCGTCGTCTGGCCCTTTTGCGTCATCGGGTGCCTCGCCGACCCGTGCCAGGAGCACATGTTCCGCGAAATGGTTGGCAGGATGGGCGCCCTCGAAGTCTTTGGCTCCATCAAGGCCGCGCTCGGCGTCATGGAGAACGTGTGGGCGAAGCGGGAGACCATTGACGAGAGCTGGGACATCACCGCCTGCTTCAAGGTCCTCGGCCATGCTGTACTCTTGACCTGAGAGGTTGTTTTTTGGTCCTGAAACCTGGGGGAATTTTGATCTGGTCTTGCCCACCCGGTGAAGTAACGCTTGGCTTGTGGCAATGGGCATTTCGGCTACTAATCACAGGGTAAACTGGGGGTCTCATTATCGACGCGTGCTCCGATTTCACGATATTCACCCAGAAAAGTAACTCGCCTCTTCCCAGTTATTTTTCTTTTATTATCAGTGGCCCAACCCGAGTACCCCCCCAAAAAAAAGAACGCCTTCGAGATAGCAGCAACCTTGCCACCATTCCCGCCAAAACAGGAAAAGAAAACCGAATCTATCCAGTAGACATTAACCCCGTCGTCCAAAAGCGACGTCTTCTTCCCAGAAACCCAAGCGTGGAAACAATCTCCATTTACCAGCAGAGCAGAAGAAAAGCCAACCCAAAAACCCACCAAGGAACTTCCAGACCACAAGCAGAGAGCTTTTTCTTTCCCCCCCAACTCGTATTCTCCTACTTCTTTCGAGAAGCAGCCCTAGCAAGCAAAGTCTGCCTCTGCTGCTCCAACAACCCCAAATCCCACCACCCGTCAATAAACTCCATAATCGTCTTGCGCTTTGACTTGCCGCGGGAGAGGGGCTTGCGGTGAACGAGGTGCTCCACCGGCGTCATCGGCGACCGCGCCTCGGGAGACAACGGTGGTGCAGGAGAGACAATCAATTCTGGCAAGACGGGCATCGGATGAACGGGCTGCCTCTGCTCGACAATCTGCACGCGCTTATGCTGCACCTGCGCCGTGGTAAGGGGCATCGTTAGCGGCGGCGGCGGGAACCACGCGGTCGTCCGGCTGGTTTGGGAGACGGGAGCAGGCACAGCGACAAAGGCATCGTCCGAGTCGGAGCCGTCGCTGTCCCACCACTTCTTCTCCCGCGCCAACACCGCGGCGGTGCCTAGGCTCTTCGTGCTGTTGCCAACGTAGCAACCCCGTACTTCCCTCGTGGGAGGAGGCGGGAAAGAAGGAGCATAGCCGCCGCCGCCACCACCAGCACCGCCGTAGCCGCCACCGACTGCCGCCACCCTACCACGGGCGCACCCTCAACCCTCAATATCCTTCACAGCGGCAGGCGCAAGCTTGACGCGGCGCCAGAGGCAGACGGCAGTGACGGCGCTGAATGCAAAGAGCACGCAGAGGGCAATGGACAGGCCCCAGACGGCCTTGATGGCGTAGCATGTGCGCTGGTCGGCGCCGACCCAGATAAAGTAGTTGAGCGCGGAGCCCGTGTTGATGTTGGCCGTGACGGAGGCCATGAAGTTGGCAGTGCTGCCCGAGGACTTGGGTAAGGCGGCGCAGTTGAGGTAGGAGAGGGGTTTGCCGAGGAGGCAGGCGACGACGATGACGGCGATGAGGAGGAAAGAGTCGGCGGCTGTGGCGATGAGGAGGGGCAGCATGTTGTCGTAGTAGAGGATGTAGGTGATTGAGATGTAGAGGGTTGCGATGCAGGACTGAATAGAGTGTTAGCTTGATATCGTTCTTCCAATCTACAAATTCACACACTATGTGTTCCCTCGGTTGAAGGAGACAACGTTGGACTACTTACAATAACGAGCGTGCCGATCAAGACCGGAGGCGAGAGGGCATCGGCGCCGTTGATTTCGGAGATAAAGTTGGAGACCATGCCAATGATGGAAACGAGCGCGACGAACTGCATGGCGCGCATGGCGGTGAAGGTGTGCCCGAGGGCGCCGAGGCGGGGAGCGGAACCCATCTTGTGCTTGCGGGCGGCGAAGTCGCGGGTCAGGGAGACGGGGGTGGTGAGGGTGAGTTTCGGACGCGGAGCGTGGAAGTGGAGCGCCGTGCGGACGGGAAATTTCCGGGGCGGGAAGGGGATGCTGGCGGTCGGGGAGGCGGTTGAGGAAGGAATTTTGAGGTCCTTGGCGGAAAGTCGCTTGGTTTAGCGACTTTGTTCTCGTTCTGAAAAAGTTGGCTTTGATAGGTGGACACTAGACTTTGTGGGAAGTGACTTGTCGGTGGGTTTCGATGAATCGATAGAGAAAGTAAATTCGTTCAAGATCGTGTGATTCGTTTCGTTCCTGTCTTGTCGTAACCTTGAAAAGGAAATCCGAGGAATGCGAAATAAAATCGAACGTTGACCGAGATAGATGAGAGATAGAGAGAGAGAAGACCCAAACTTGACCAAGGAAATTGACCTAGGAAATAAGGAAAAGAGAGAGAAAAGAGGAAGAGAAAAAGGAAAAGACGGTAGCTGTTCTGGAGAGTAGTGTTTGTGATGTTGATGAGGAACAGGAAGGGATTCGAGACCGAGAAATGGATGAGATCAATCGTCTTTATACATATTGATTCTACGAAAATAAGAACTCAACATCTCTCGCACAGCCGAGGATCCAGCTACTTGGTTCTTCTGGCCTGCCACAGAAACCTCAGGTTGCCTCGCATTGTTGTTGTGTTGCTAATTCGAGCTCTCGCGTTCTGAACCTGTAAACTCCCATGCCCATAAACTTCGAGATAGGGCCATGTACCTTACGGTTCCTGCATGAGATACGTCAACCGCTGTACCTCTGTGAAAAATAGTGAGTGAGTGGTTCGCCCTAGACCCTTGGAGACTCCAACATCCCGGACGGGACGGCGTTCGGCTAGGTATGATGAGCCGCTGGGACGGGCCAATCACGAGCGATAGCCGGGGCTGCGGTGCGGCGCTTAACGGCGGTGGAGTTCCGGAGAGGTTGGACAAGCGACGCGGGTACGAAATACGACGGAGGCAAACGGCTCCGGGAAATTGGAGGCTCTGGGACCTGCAGCTTTGGGCTTTATTCCCCTTCTTCTGGGTAACTCTCGTAAAGCATGTGGAGAGGGAAATAGGCGCGTCCAATGGCATGTCATCAAGCCAGATCCTGGGATTGAATGGCTGCGCGGCTGTTTTGAACCGGGCAGGGTCGACATGATTGGGTCTGCTTCATTCCGGGCGAGCTCACCTAGCCTTGGCCTTGGCCTCGGCCCAGTGGATTTCCATGCCCCTTCTGCATCTTGAACTGTCAATCGAACAGACCACTGGGCGCGGCCGCTGTGGGATAACGATGGCGGAGGCTGAGGCGCCTGTTCATACGAGCTAGCTTGGAGCCATGCAGGTACCGGACCTGAAACCAGGTCTGGCGGTTGCTGGCCCAGGCCGCAGATCTTGGCTCCATGATGCTTCTTTGTCGAGGCCGGCTCAGGTCTCGTTCCTGGGCCATCGTTGATTTGATGCGGCCTGGATGCGCGAGGATTTGCATATTGACCGTTGAGCCTCTAGAGCCTCCCGCAGCCGCGGGACTACAGTAGTCGGTCCGCGGGCGGTCGCTTCGCTGTTAGTCGTGTTGGCGTCAGTTGGATCCCTGTGATCGAGAGTTCGCGATAGAGTGCTCGACACGGTCCAGACCTTACTCAATCGACCATTCACGGTAGCGACGGCTTGCTTCGGATGGTGGGAGCATGAGGTCGCGTTGTCGGCCGCAGAGGGCTGTGAGTCCTGCAAATGTTATGCTCCGACGATCAGGGCATGAGTGCGCATGATCGTGGCCTTGCAAAGGCGCGCAGACGCGGAGACAACTGTCAAGTCTGTGAGTATGATGTCACATTGCACGAGATGGGAAGGTCGATGAGGACACAATGATTGAAATGTGGTTCGCTTGAAATTTCAGTATATGATTCATTGTCGCAGTGTTCTTTTGCCTGCCGATACGCCTAGGCCAGAGCCTATCAGCACACGTAGTTTTGCCTTATCATCACCGCGACAGCCTGTTTGTTGCTTTGTTACTTGGCCGATGATGCTGTAAAAGTGGGCTCCGGTGGGCTCCGTCTTCTTCTCTCCAATTCTTCGTCTCCGCGTCTTTATATCATTAAAGTAGGCCTAGCCAAGCAAATCGTCCAAGCCGTGGTTTCCGCCGGTGGAGGAGGAGTTACCAGCAGGTTTTGGTGTAGACGCCGCGGCGGGAGCGCCCCAAATGCCAGCGCTGCTCTTCTCCTTCGCAAGCTGACCCAAGGCTGGGCCATTGGTGGGTGTGCTCGTCTTCTTCACGCCGGAGCTAGCCTGTGACCACAGGGCGCCGAAGGCATCGCCGCCTGCAGCTGCCGGCTTAGCAGCGGCCGAAGCTGGCTTCGCCGCCGCCGCACCAGGAGTAGACGCAAAAGAACCACCTATGTTCTGGGGAACAGGAGTTTGAACGGAACCAAAGTAGTTGGGCCCTGATGGCTGATAACCGGTGGGCTTGATCTGGGCTGCGGGGGAGGCGACGGCGGGGGTGCTGAAAGCGGAGTAATTGGCGCTCGGAGCGGGTGACATAGAAGACATGCTGACCATGTTGCCGATATTGGCCTGCTGGGGCGCTGACACCGGCTGGGGAGCGGCGAAGGTCGTGGCAGAGTTGGCGGTCATGACAGGAGGGGATAGGGGGGTGGCTGCTACAGGAGCCGACGGCGCGGACTGGAAGTCGTCAAAGTCGTCGTCATCATTAGCAGCCGCCGGAGCAGCGGAAAGGGAGGCGAAACCAGAGCCGTTGGAGGGTGCCGGGGCAACGGGGGCTGGCATAGAAGATGGCACAGGGTCGTCGAAGGAGAAGAGGTCGACTTCGGGTTCCTTCTTTTTGGGCGGCTCAGCCTTGGGGGTGGCAGCCGCAGCCCGCTCTGGTCTCTTGGAGCGAGACGCCGAAGAGCTGGCAGCCGGACGAGTGTCGTCAAACTCGTCATATTCCTCAAACTTGTCACCGTGTGCCTGTGTTCTGCTGTAGTCGCTGCTCTCTTCGCCGCCGAATCCACCACCGTCACCATAGACGCCTCCGGAATAGCCACCGTAGCCTCCGGTCTCGCTTCCGAAGCCTCCGTAGCGACTGCCGCTGCCGCTTGAGAAACCTCCTCCCATGCTCATTCCACCCTCGACACCGGTGTATTTGTTCTTGGTGGCTCTCGCCTTCTTGCGCTCCGTTCGGATCCGCTCGACGTCGCCCAAGAGTTCCGCCAATTCCTTGGCACGGTTGCGAACATTGACTCCTTGGTCTTTTCCATTCTGATCGATAAAGTGGAACTGGCGAAGCATCTTCAGTAGTGTAATATGACCGCGGGCATCATCGATGACACGTTCGGAGCCGTGCTTGATAAGGAACTCGAGAAGCTGAAGAGCCTTGTAGATTTGCCGCCACTCTTCGGCGGACTTTTCTGTGAATCGACGGTAGATCATGGGCATGATCTCGTTAAGGGTGGCGCTGGAAGCACGTCAGCGTCGTGGATTGTACGGTTCGGTCCGGGGGAAAGTTACTAGTTGAAGGTGCCGTTGGCAATCTCCTGCATCAACGATGAGGACGCGCCCCAGGGTTCGTTGTTGGTCGCCTCTCGGACCTAGCTACTGTCAGACGCAAGGTAGTCGACACAAGACTTTCCGGTAGAACGAACCTTGGACTCCATTTCCGTATAATTCATCACGGCTAGGCCCAATTAGCATGCGATGGAGAGATTGTATTGGACTGGACGCTGGGTGATTACCATTTTGGACCTTTCTCACGCCGGCCTTGACGTCGTACAAGGTCATGTTGGAGACCGTGTCCTTGAGGTTGTTCCAATCCATTTTGGCGGTTTCTACGGGGTCAGGATGAGGATAAATTCGATGGACGGAAATTAAGAAGCCCAAAGGCGCAGGTGAGAGCGGCAGACTCGATGCTCCTGTGATTCTTTGTCGACGTTTCAAAAAGAAGCGCAATCCAGCGACCTGGCCACCTGGAACTTTCAGGCCCAGGCTCAGGTCAATCGGTCTCGGGCTGTGCGGCTGCAGGGGATACGTACCGCTCGAGTGAGATAAGATTGGCCCAGTCTGAAGGGAAAGGAGATGTGGAGAAGGATGATGTCGAGTCACGTGGTGCGCCGTGGGCCGTGGATAGCGTCAGCGGGAGAGCAAGAGCTCCCTGGCCTCGATCAGCTCACAGCTTGATTCGGAACAGCTACTGTTTCTCGACGGACTATTCTCGGAAACCACCAATTGATTGAAGCTACCCAAGTTTCAGCTCGTTTAATTCCCCGACGGTGAAATTACCTTGGGGTCGACTGTATAAGGTTGACTGCCAAGCTGGCTGAATGCAAACAAGTTTAAAGTGCAGGAATGGCGTTAAGCTCCAACAGCTGTCAATCTCCAAGACTCCAATTGACTGAGGCGGGCGCCCGTGCTCCAACTCCTGGACGACGGGACCCTCAGCCGAGCGTGTGTTCCTCAGGTTGTTCTCCCGCCGTGCCGTGGCCTTCCGTCCCCTTTGGGAAGTCCCTGACCTCACCAAAACTTTTTTCTCCTGAGAAGAGTGCAAGATTAAATTCTCTCCCATCAGCGACATTTCCGTCTTCTTTCATCGACGCCCGTGTATCAACAAAACTTCATCTCCTTCCTCTTATTCTGTACCTATACCAGTACCTAGATTGTGTAATCCTGCTCTTTGAGGTGTGTAAAATCGGTTCCTTTCGTCGTCTCCAGATCATATTCGTTTCCCTTCCGCATCCAGCACAAGCTCTGCCCCTGCCACGCCGCTCATCCGTCTACTTTACCTACCTTGCCCATTCCCGCATGAGAGTCGTCGGAGCTGCTAGAGACGGTTGTGCGGCCAATGCGGTTCTTATGCAAGCCAATTGGGCTGTCAGAACGGACCGGAGAGCTTTGTGCCATCCAGCCTCTGCAGCTTGGTATGCTGGCACATGAGCCCTTGAAGCCTACCTGGCATCTTGAGGATAGCTCTGCGTACGAGCACAAGCCTGGACTTCTCTTGTCTGGCCACACTCGCGACGGTGTCAAGAGCACCAGCCTTGGCGAAGCAGTGGATGGTGTCATTCTTCAACTCGGAAATTGGGGGGCTTCATTGGTCGTCGGCTGTTGGATGTTCTGATTCCCGTCGATGGCCGATGCATTGCCTTTCCTTTCCGGCTTGTCACGTCACTTGTCCACCGCCGGTCCGCCGCCGCCGCCGCCGCTGCTGTACCATCCACTCGTCCGTCCAAGCTGCTGTCCCCGCTCCCAAGGGACGCAAGATTCCACGAGCTTCCGAAGGGTTGTCAAGGAACAACAACGTGGGCCAGTGGGGGATGGTGACTTGGCCGCTGCCGACAGCCAGACAAACGACTCGACCCAGCTTTGCCAGCTTGCTGTCGTTGCCCCCCTTCCCAGGGTGCCTCCCTTGTCGCTCCAATAGCCGTCGGACTCGGTGTTTTGACGTGCGTTCACCTTTCCTGCCCATGCCACACTGTGGGTTACCAATGGCTCTCCTATTCGCTGCACTGCTCCGAGGTATTTGCCTCCCCTTGAGCTGTGAGCGAGGTGTTCATCCAGGTACCGGTGTCAAGCTGGCAGGCCGGTGAAGGTACAATCCATCATCCCCCGGCAGGCACTTGGTCCGTACTAGCACACCGTCTTCCGTCCAGGCTGTGGGACGTTTTCCTTCGTCGGCTTCTGTTTGAGAGTCGTTTTCATCCCCAACGATGCCGGCTGGCCGGGCAACAACAGTGGTTGAGTTGAACCTGCGTCTGCTGTTGTTTTGCTTGATCCTGTTCGCCTGTCGAGCTAGGCGCAAGGCGGGGTCGATCGAGAGGTTGATGAAGTCATCCCACTCAGCTCTTTGACATTGGTTCTGGTTCTGGTTCTGGCTTCCGCTGTGACTAGGCTCTGGCCTGACTGGACGAAGGTCAAGCCGGCATCAGCAGAGCAATTGGGCTGGACTGGACTGGACTGGCGGGCTGAGGCGAGACCGAACCAAGGGCCAAGCAGAGAAAGCCGAGAAGAAGATCCCTTTGCCCCTCGTTTGCCCACTATTCTTTGCTTCCTGCTTCTTCCCAGTTGTTGCGCCGGTCTGGCTGCCCCTCCCTGCCGCATCGCCTCCTTCCCTCCCCAACCCCTCCTTCCGTCACCTTGACCACCGGCGGTACTTGCGCCTTGTACCCACTACGTACCTGGAAGTAGTCAGGTACTTCCCGGTCCGTCAGTGACCTCAGCAACAGATCATTTCACGTGACTTTTCACCCCTCTTTTTTTGCTTTCTCAGCCTCCCATTCGCCCCTTCGGCACCCGCAGTGGGGAGCTCCTGCGCTAACAATAAACCCCTCTACCCAGCTGTTGAAAAAATGAGACCAACCCTTTTGCGACCCCTCCTACCCCGCCATACCTTCTCCTGCTCCTCCGTTTCACCCTCGCCCTTTTCTCGACCTTCTGCCTTCATTCAACCTTTCCGAACTGTGATTCCTGCATCTACCAAGCCATCCGTTCGATTCTTCTCAGCATCCAAAATCATGCCTTCCCAAGTGTAAGTTTCTCTCATCACGACCTTGCTCAAGAGCATCGCTATCACGAGCTCTCTATGACGCAATAACTAATCCATCGTTCAGTTACTTCGACATTGAGTGGGAGGGTCCCGTCCTCGACGGCTCCGGACGTCCCACCTCTACCGTCCAGCGTAAGCTTTTTTTTTTTTTGATTCTCCCGTTGAATTTCATCGAAACAATTATCTCGAAGGTCGCTTTCGGTGTTCCTGTCATCGCAATGCCTGTTTCTGCAGCTCTAGGCGGCGCCAAATCACCCCACCTCGACTCCAAAAGACCTAAACTCTGTTGTTCGCCCACTGTTGGCAGGCCGCAGCAGTTTTCGTACCCCGCCATTTCCGCCACAAACAGAGCTTCGCTAACCAAGCTTCCCCCGTACAGAGCAGAACGGCCGCATCGTCTTCAACCTCTTCGATGATGTTGTCCCCAAGACCGCCGCAAACTTCCGTGCTCTCTGCACCGGCGAGAAGGGCTTCGGCTACCAGGGCTCCTCCTTCCATCGCATCATCCCCGACTTCATGCTTCAGGGTGGTGACTTCACCCGTGGCAACGGCACCGGTGGCAAGTCCATCTACGGCGAGAAGTTCGCCGACGAGAACTTCCAGTTGAAGCACGACAAGCCCGGTCTGCTGTCCATGGCCAACGCTGGCCCCAACACGTAAGCTCTCGTCTTTAGCTCGCATGCATCTACATCCAGCGGCTAACCCTCCCATTAGCAACGGCTCCCAGTTCTTCGTCACCACCGTCGTCACCTCGTGGCTCAACGGCCGCCACGTCGTCTTCGGCGAGGTTGCTGACCAGAGCGGCCTCAACATCGTCAAGGCTCTTGAGGCTACCGGCTCCTCCAGCGGTGCCGTCAAGTACGGCAAGCGCCCCACCATCGTCGCCTCTGGTGCGTTGTAAAGTGCTTCTCGCTCGATTCTTTGTACGTTAGGTCCTGCTTCTGAAATGTCGCGAGAGACACCTTGACGCGAAAGGGAGGACGATTTGGTAGAGACTTGGGGATTGCGATATCACGCAGCTTGGCGGTAATCAGCTTAACTGCTGCTACATAGTCAGCCAAGACAAAAAGTGACTACCACTTGTTCCATTACTGCCGCTGCACTGTGACTTGTTACCTCATTGATCGCCTCGTCGACCACCTAACCACCGTTTAAAAGGCCTGCTGTTCACAGACAATGAATGCTACATGAGAGACAAAGAATCACAGGGCACCCTGTCCAAACAACTTGAGCATGGTGGGGTCAAACATGTCATTGGTATAAGTACAGCCAGTAGCTGGCCGCTATTGAAACTCATTCCGCTTGGGAGGATGGAAAATCTACCCTGGCAAACCGTCCCGCCCGTGTCCTCTTTTTTTGATAATCGTGCCAACGCCAATGCAATGCTTCCCATGTTGTGAACCAATCAGACCTAACCGCAACAAAACAGTTCTTTTGTTACTCCCAGAGAGAGAAGCACCCCCGCTCCCCTCCCCTCCTGCTCTCGCTCTCGCTCTCTGTCCCGCGTCCCGTTTCATTCCAGGCCCAGCCACCGCTGAAAGTAGACGCAGTTGCTCGCGCTCACGGGGCCGCCCTCCTCGCAGAGCTCAAACACGGGACACCGCCCGCAAGGGGCCTCTGTGTACCCATTGACAAACGGTTCCGGCCCGCCCTCGTCGGGGCCGCCGTCCTGGCGTCCGGCCCAGGGCGTGTTGCTCTGTCGCGGGGCGCGGCAGACTCTATATCCCAGCCTGCCGGACACGCGGATCGGCTCGATGAGGCCGTCAAAGACGAGCACGTCAATGAGCTTTTGCATGTCTTCCTCGCCGAGGATCGTGTCGCTGGTGATGCCGGACTGGGAGATGAAGCGCGCGATCTCGCGCACGGTGGGGTATTCTTTAAAGCCGGCGGGGAGGGGCAGGCAGGTTGGTTCCCTCTTGGGAGGCTGGACGGCCGGGGCAGCCGCAGCGCTTTTGGCGCCCTCGCCGTCGGCTCCCGAGATCTCGCCCGCGCTGCGCTTCTTTCCCTTGGGATCGGGCAGGCCGCCCTTGAGGACGCCCTTCTTAGGCACGGCGGTGCGGGCGGCGGCGGCAGCGGCCGAGGAGGAGCCGGTGCTGTGGTAGGTGCTCTTGCGCTTGACGTAGTCGAAGATGACGCGCTGGAGCTCTTCGATAAAGGCCTCGTCGAGGGCCGAGTCGGTGAACCAGGGCCCGCCGGTGGCGCGTTCCGAGGGCCGCATGGAGGCCTTGATGAACATGCGCTTGTTGGGGTGCTCGACGTTTTTGAAGGGGGCGATGAGCCCTTTGCCCTGGAGCTGTTTGAGGGCGGTTTTGAGGACCGAGTCGTGCATGTTGAGGCGGTTCTGGATCGATTTGGACCAGATTCCGTCGCCGCCTGCTTCGTCTATTGCGCCGTAGACCATGCGCTGTTCGTCTGTTGTGCAGAGCTTGTACCTGGAGGACGGGGGGAAAAGGGGGTTCAGCATGGGCTGGTAGCGGACTGAAGAGCACAATTGAGGGGGGGAAGGGGGTTTGACTCACTTTTCCGCATCTTCGACGGAGCGCCATCGCCAGGCGAGGCCGGTCTGGGAGGAGACGGCGACGAGGAGGCGGTCGTTTGTGAGGCTCTGGAGGCATTTCAGGAGGGTGACGGTGTCGCGGTTCGGGATGACGTCGAAGTCGAGGAGGTCGTACTGGGTGAAGAGCTCGTTCTCGTCGCCGGCCTTTTGGAACTTTTCGTAGAGCATGTCCTTCCACACCTCTAGCTTGGAGTCGGTGCTCGAGGTCGTTGCCGCCGAGGGCGACGCCGCCGGGGGTGTGGGAGCCATTGCGGCTTGCGGGCGGCTGGCGTTGTATTGCTTTTTCCCTAATGTGTGACGGTACAAGTGCGACAGACGTTGTGAATCGGGACCTGCTTAGGGGAAAGCTGGATTGGGGGGTGGCGGGTGAGGTGTTGGCTATGAGAGATCGATCGGCTTGGTGGTGGTGGTGGTGGGGGAGTTTGTCCTGGGGATTTTTTTGGCCGTCCGGGGTCCTGCTTCAAAGCGGGTTTCGCGCGCTCGAGGGGTCGTCGCTTTGCGCCGGGTGGGGGGAAGATCTGATTAGGCGTTTAGTTGAAGAATCGAACTGCGTCTGCGAAATACAGATCTAGGGGCGAGGTCATCAATTGATTTGCATTGGCGGCTGCGGTGTTCCTGGAGGGAAGAGAGAGCCAAGCGGCGGCGGCGACGCGCAGAGAGGCGCTTCGGCCCTCGACCGGTGCGGTTGACTTGGGTCGGCGACGATGGTGGGATTGGTTTTTGGAGCTGCATCAGAGGTCGATCGGCACCACAGTCAACGGAAAAGAGAAAAAAAAAAAAAAAAGGCCCCGCCCTCGGGGAAAGTTTTAGAGGGAGGACCTGCGGTACCTATCGAATCAGCCTTGCATTGGTGCCGGGTGAACTACGGGCGGGCTGGAATTGTGCTGGGGTTTGGCCTGCTAAGGAACTAGATGGTACGTACTGGCTAGGTATGGTGGAGTCTTATGGACGTCCACTCTCTTTACTGAATCGTCGTCTCAGTTAAGCTCAAGATATCGTAGCTTGTTGAAAACACTGTATGGTGTTTCCTGGGGGTTCGGAGACAATTGAAAGAGAACGCATGTGCGAGTCGAGAAATTTGGCCCAAGTTGATTCGATCAGTCCACGCATTTATCCAGTTCTCCGAGTGAGTCACTGCCAGAACGCCTTAGGTTGACACGGCATGTCAGCCAGTGCCTCGGATGATCCTGTAGCACAGCCAGCCCGGAACTGAGAGACACGGTAACGGAATCCCAATGAATATCATACCCTAATTTATGGCCCCTTCGTGATTATTGAGGTGCGAGACGAGATCTATGGGAGCATCGTCATGACTAAAGGTGCCTGCGCAAACACTGTTGCTATGTTGTTGAGAATAAAACTTGTTCTCAAAACAAGTTAAATTCCTTAACTCTACTCTTTTTTTTATACAACCAGGTCTGTGTGGTCCAGACAATGTGATTTCTTCTTCGGAACGTCTTTTTACTGCTTGAATTTTGTAACAGCGTTAAATCTTTTTTCATGAAAGAGGAACCATTTCTTTTTCGTACCAACGCGTCCGGCCTTCATCATAAGTAACCTCCTTTACCGCCACATTACACACTTCTCAATATCGCAAGACTCAATTGTTCCAGGTAGGGGATATGTAGGTGACATTAAGAAGCTTTACAACGTTGGCGTTTGTTTCTGAAAATAGGACTACACTCAGGGCTGACCAGCATGTAGTTTCCGATCCCGAGGACTCGTGAGTCGTGATGTAGGGCGGTTCTGCTATCTGTTTGCGACTTTCTAGAGAGTGGTTCTCCATACTAGACCCATATAGTGTCTCAATCAGATCTATATCCACCATAGTCCCATAATCCCCTGCTGGACAATCGTGTAGAATATTGAACATCATTTCAGCCAGCTCCGAGACGGAAATTCAACAAAAGTATTGGAAGATCATTTATTAAATCGCTATTACAGAGAAGAAAAGGGAGAAGTTAATCTGTCGTTCTCAACAACTATATTCCGTCAACCATTGCCTTTATGGAATATTTGTCTCAATCTTGCCTCCGCCGACGCAGTTGTCGAAATTTTCGTCTTCGCTGGTGGCCATGGTAACAGCTCTCAATGTAATCTTCTCTCCTAGACACTCTCCAACCCCCAAAACCCGTAAATCTTGATAAGGCCGTCGGCACCCTGACAATTCTGACAAGTGAGATCGTGACGGGGAGGGAAACGACCATGTAAGTCGCTGAAGAGGTCGTCGTCCCAATATCCACAACGACACTAGCTCCTCGGAGTCATCACAATCCTCCAAGAGGGAGTATCGATGTGACACCCGGAAAGAGCGTTTCAATGCAACTTTGCAGCTGAAGAAAAGGCCAAGGGAAAGTGAGGATTTTCATTTCAGAACATTTCACCGGCCCTCAGGGCAATTCATGCACATATCCTAGGATGTGTAAGGCGAGGTCCCGGACCACGGACCACAAACGCACTTAAAACCGGATTGACGGACCGGCCCCCACTTAACACCAAAAAAAAAATCTCTTCACATCACGGCTCCGTCCCTACTTGTATGACTCAATGCCGCTCTGTTTCCAACAACAGCAGGTCTTCTGATCAGCTTCAATAACCCGCCTTGCTAGCTCAATCGGTAGAGCGTGAGACTCTTAATCTCAAGGTTGCGGGTTCGACCCCCGCGTGAGGCTCAAATCCTCACCGCGACTGGCCAAGCCAGTCTTCTGGTTACTCTTTTGCGTTTCGTTCATCTTGAACGACGTTGTTTGTACTTTTCCCTTTTTCCTGCTGGTGTATGTAGTAAGTAGAGTAAATACACTGGTTCAGACTTAGTCAATGTCACTGCGTAACTGACTGGTGTTTAACTCCTGCTCACCTACCCCGTTGAGAAAGGTGGACTTGGTAACTATTTGTTGTCTTGCCCAAGCGGGATTTGCCACAGCTCTGCGGCCTGAGAAGAGCGAGCTTTGATAGTTTGTGCGCTTATAGGGGCCACAGGATTAGCTCTCACATCCACGGCTTGTCGATTTACTTAATTATGATGTATTGGCAGTGCTGTTGTACTAATATCTCGCTGTAGTATGCCTATCTGTTCTAGGCAAACGCCCCAACGATGGCCATAAGTGATGCTCCACCAATCACGGCCATGTAGGCATTCAGCCGTTTCCGTCCCTGCAGAATTTTGTAGCTCTTCTCGGAAAGAAAGTCTTCAGCTAGTAGCTGGACCAGTCCGGCAAAGAGAAGTAAACCAGCCGAGATGGCGTTCATGAATCCGACCATCAACAACCCAGTCTGGCTTAGGGGGTCGTAGAGGTTATGCACGATGAGACCAATGAGCTGGCCGAGCGGCGTCGTGCCTCCGAACGCGAGAACCATGAGCCATGGCCGGGCCGATGAGCGCGGTAGCTGGATAGCGGCAATTCGGCTACCCAAAGCGAGCCCCTCGAACGTCTGGTGAAAGCTGATGGCGATGAGGAAGACGATAAAGGTAGGACCTGTCGCTACCGAAATAGCCATGCCGATGAAGACGCTGTGGAAGAGGATGCCTCCTTCCAGCAGGAGACATTGGCGGAGGAGCTTGCTCTGCTCCTCTTCCGTGACGATCTGCGGTGCGCCGGTGGTCACGGTAATCTTTGGGCGAGTGATATGCGAGCTTCGACGTCTGGGCTCGTCTGCGGAGGCTGGGTCCAGCTCACTTACGTCGAGATCAATGTCCGATTCATCGTCATCAAAGCTTTCACGGCCGTTGGTGAGTTTACCGCTCGCTTTCGCACGCGTCGGTGTCGAGCTGGGCAAAGGCGATGCCCCCGCCATCAGTCCCTGAGCTGAGTCCATATTGTCGAGGGTGATATCCTCTGGGCGGTGGGAGCCGTGCCTGTGCGACGCCAAGCTTCCTGCGGCATGCGCACTTGCTGGGGAGTGGCCGCTATCCTCTTCGTCCCAGTACTCGTACTCGTGCGAATGTGAGTGAGAATGGCCGGCTCCGCGGGTGGCTAGGTAGGACTCGAGCGCAACGACGGAAAGCGCTGCTACCATGGCGATCAAGCCTGCCATCTGAGGGTAACCTTTGTTGAAAAATAATGGGAGACATGGGTCCGTGAGTGAGGTGAATGCGGTTGGGAGGAGGTGGACGAAGGACGTTGCGAGGAGAACGCCGGTGCCAAAGTGCTGGCAGTAGAATAGGATTATGCTTTGGGGTCGGCCTTTGGACGTTCTTCGGGGAAGCAATGGAATGCCGCAAGCTGTTCGCTGCTCATTAGCAAGGTCTCCTCAGGTCAAGATGACGAAATAAAAACTTTATCGAAAGCTCCTCCCAAAGGTTCCATCGTATACCCTTGTGTCTCCTCTTTTGTCGTCCAGCGCCAGGAACTAGAAGGTGTCGCTTACAGATTGTGCTCAAGGCCAATATCAAGATTAGCGCGCCAATATGCAAAGCAGTGTCGTAGGATTCTTTTCTTGAAGAACCGCATTGCGGCTTCGTTGCTTCCGCGGCAGCAGCCTCTGCGTTCGTCACCGGAGGTCCATGTCGTTTGGATAGCTCGGCGAGGAGAAATTCAGTCGGTATGGAGGCCCAGGAAGCGGCATCTTCGGAAGAGCCAAAATAAGACAAGAGTCAGTAAAGAAGACACTTTAGCAAGTGCGGCTTCAAACGAGGAAGCCATCCCCCCGCCGCGGATATATTGGAATAATACGCACCCCTTGGCCAAACTCCCGTGGCTCCTGTATCACCCATTCTGGACGGCGGACGTTGATGGTTTCTGGCACAATACCATGGCGGCTCTGCACCGGGGAAAGATGCAGATGGGTCAATGAGCCAGAACCTACAGAAGGAAAAAAGGGATAGGAAGGGTGACGGATCGTGCTTCGTCTTCGTCCCAAGTTTTGCGCCCTGGAAAACGCGGGACCCAAAAGGACATCAGTGTAAAGTGCCCGGTGGTGACTCGTGAGCACCAACCGAAAGACAGGCCGCCCTTGGGGGAGCGGAGCTCTTGATTGCATGGAGCTCCCTCCGGTCCACTGTGTCCTGATCTTGCCCCCTATGAGAACATGCTCACACGGGGGCCGCTCGGAGCCACTTTAACAGCTGTAATTTCTGCCAACGACGGAAGCGAGGGGGGCCTAGGTAAGCCAGGGCCGTTCTCAGAAACAGCGAGCCAGCGACCCCTGCGAAGCCTGGGCGCTGATGTCTTATCGCTTCCTCAAATTATGTCAGCCACCGCCGATAAGATATCAGCGATGACGAAATATGGGCCTCGGCAACATGACTAACCGATTCGCGATATCGGTCGTCTATCGCAACAGCTCCGAGACCCAGCTCTGACCCGCCCAGGTCTGTGACACACAGCTTTCCAACCTCGTCTCAACCTCATCTCAGCAACCCAAGTTCCGGACTGAGGTATCGAACATCATGGCTGGAGCTCGTCGACTACAATTGGCCGTTTTGGCCCTGCTTGGTGGCGTGTCCGCCCTGCAGATGCAGATGCAAGTGCCCGAACAACAAGCACCGATGATCGCCGATGATGCGCCTATCGTCGCAACATCCTCGTCTACCGCGTCGTCGTCTTCCAAGAAGCCCTTGGTGGAAACCGAGGCTCTTCAGGATACCATCACCGCCGATAACTTGCTTGCGCGCGCAAAGGCGCTCTACGATATCGCGAAGCTGGGAGAGGAAGAATACAATCATCCTACGCGCGTCATTGGCAGCGATGGTACGGCCGTTCCCCCAGCAACTTACCCCCGTTCGTGCTCACCAGTCGCGTAGGTCACCTTGGAACCTTGGAGTACATCTACTTTGAGCTCGCGAAGCTGGGCGACTACTACAAGATCTGGAATCAGACTTTCCCCGCCGTCTCGGGCAATGTTTTCGAGTCGCGCCTTGTTATCGGCGATCAAGTGCCAAAGTCGGCCTCTCCTATGGCCCTAACCCCGCCTACAAAGAACAAGGAACCCGTGTACGGCGACCTCATTTTCGTTGAGAACAATGGATGCGATGCTTCGGACTACCCTTCCAAGGTGAAGGGCAACATTGCCTTTATCCGTCGCGGCACCTGCGCGTTCGGAGCGAAGAGTGAGCAGGCCGGCAAGGCTGGTGCTATCGCTGCCGTCGTTTACAACTACGAAACCGAGACGGTTCACGGCACACTTGGAACCCCTTCCCCCGACCACATTGCCACCTTTGGCCTGGGCGGCGACGACGCCAAGCCTATTCTCGAGAAGCTGGGCAAGGGTGAGACCGTTGACTCTATTGCCTACATTGATGCTGTTGTCAACACCATTGAGACCACCAACATCCTCGCCCAGACCATTGAGGGCGACCAGGACAACTGTGTGATGCTCGGTGGACACAGCGACAGCGTTGCTGAGGGACCTGGCATCAACGATGACGGCTCTGGCAGCTTGAGTCTCCTGGAAATCGCCACCCAGCTGACCAAGTTCAGCGTCAACAACTGCGTTCGCTTCGCTTGGTGGGCCGGCGAGGAGGAGGGTCTTCTTGGCTCCGACTATTACGTTGACGTCTTGCCCGAGGAGGAGAACCAGAAGATTCGTCTCTTCATGGACTACGACATGCTCGGCAGCCCCAACTACGCGTACCAGGTCTACAATGCTACCAACGCCGTCAACCCCACCGGCTCCGAGGAGCTACGTGACCTCTACGTGGATTGGTACAAGGCTCACGGCCTTGCTTACACCTTTATTCCCTTTGACGGCCGCAGCGATTACGACGCATTTATCCGCAACGGTATTCCCGGTGGTGGTATCGCTACCGGCGCCGAGGGCGTCAAGACCAAGGAGGAAGCCAAGCAATTCGGCGGCAAGGCCGGCGACTGGTACGACCCGTGCTACCATCAGTTGTGCGACGATGTTGGCAACGTCAACTTGACTGCTTGGGAGATCAACACGAAGGTGAGTTTCGCGGCATCTCGACTTCTGTCCATATCACTAATCCATGTTTTAGTTGGTTTCTCACTCCGTTGCCACCTACGCTGTGTCGTTCAAGGGCTTCCCCGAGCGCACCAAGGCGGCTGCCGCCTCTACGTACTCGAAGAAGACCAAGTACCATGGCAGCAAGCTTTTCATCTAGTCGTGAGAGGGCTTGGCTTGCCAAGCGTATGACGGACTAGTGTACACTATCTAGCATGGGTTCCAGGGAGTGTGTGAAGACGGGTTGTGTTGTGGCTGGTATTGGAGCAGAGGATCGCTTTACTTGGCGCACATTCATGTTACTAGACGCTACATAAACAACGGCTTTGCATTGGATGATGATGTTGGGCACTGAGTCTTTGTGTGTAAGAATTACCAGTATGTACCTTACCTTAGCCAATGGCAATACCAAGCAGCCGACGGTCGGAGGGATCCACCGGAGTGGGAAGTGGAGGGCGGGGTGGTTGGTTGGTAACTTCCATTTTACCCCGGAGAGCGGAGGAGATCTGGTACCCCAGATTTCCCACCTCGCTGGATCCATTCTACTATCTTGGCATCCTTCACATTCAACTCCAACACCATGGCAAACTTGCTCGCAAATCACACTTGAAATGTCGGACGGTCATTAAACAGTTGGACCTGGACACCAAGCTCAATGCCGTCTGGTTCAGTCAGTCGGACCGGCGCATGCCAGCGCTGCCATCGCAGAAAGGTTAGATGCGACCGAACTCGGCCGTCCTGCGCGCCATGCTCGCGGATCAATGTTCAGTGTACCTATGCCGCGAGAGAACATCAAATACAGCTTCGTCGGCAGGATGTCGAGAGACTTGAGCAGCGTATACGAGATCTACAGGCCGAGAACGACAGTCTCAATGGGAAACTGGCCGATGCTCAGCAGCAGCAGCAACGAGGTACCGCGGATGAGAGGCTTGCGACACCCACTACGACTTCAAGCTTGGGACTGCAGACCGACGAGGATGAAGCACCGGCAGCCGGGAACGGCGAGATCGCCAGTCAGGTCATTCACTTATCACTCAGTGCTGGTGGAGGTCGGGACTTCGTTGGCTCGACGAGCGGCTTGTTCCTCGCCAACTTGCTACAGTCGCATAGCCAGTTTGCCGGGGCATCCAATCATTCCGTTGGCCAACACTCAAGCACAAAATCGCGACACCATGTTCGCTCTGGAAGCCTTGCGCCCAACGGAGCTTCAAGTCTGCCACCCAGGAACATGGCGGTAGAGATACTTGACGCTTATTCCAGTCACGACCGGCTTTGCTACCCTTTCCTCTCACCCAAGGCTCTGGATCGGGCATTAGATGTCGTATATGATGCGGGGATTCCAGAGACCGCGGACCCTATCGACAGCTTTCTCGTCGACATGACACTTGCGATTGGGACAGCGCAAGTCTACAAGCTGAATTGGAATGGCTTTTGGGACTCAGAGGTCCACTACAGCCGTGCCATGACACGCCTGGGCGATGTGCTCTCTCGTGGGGGCATCACTGCCCTGCAGGCTTTGCTTCTGATCTGTCAGTACAGGATGGGCACGACTTCACACGACACGAGCACCAGCGTGTGGCACTTGATTGGCGTTGCGGCAAGGACATGCTTCGAGCTTGGGTTACACAAAGCGTCGACATATACAATCCCTCAATCGCTAACTAACGACCAGTTGGATGCGGAGGGGAGACATGAAGACATTGAGATCAAGAGAAGGTGTTTTTGGAGTGTTGTATCCATGGATCGAATTGCCAGTCTCATCCTAGGGCGACCACTGGCTATCCAGCTGGAAGACATCGACGTTGAGCTCCCGCCCTTCGATATGCCTGCCAGTCCTGTCTCACTTCCTAATTCTTTGTCGACGGCCTCTTTTGGAACCCCGGAGTGGCATCTTGGAACCTCAATCTTCGTACACATTGTCAGGTACCGATTGATTTGCGGCAAGATCCTCAACGTCCTCCACCGCAGTGCAAACACAACCAGGGACTCGCTAGTCACATACGAGGATAGTCGGAGTACCCTCGTCGAAGAGCTCCAGTCGTGGCGTGAAGGGACGAGCAACCTCCCATTGATACCAGCGGAGGTACCGCTTACCTCGACCGCCAGCAGGTCCAGTTTCCGCTCAGCAGAATGGTACAACCTCCTCTACCACAACGGAATTTTGATGTTGTTCCGACCATCTCCCACTCTATGCGATGCGAGCGGAAATCGCACCGTGCTGCAACACATGTTTGATTCATCACAAGAAGCCATCAAGCTTTACGCCAACCTACATCGCTCGAGAAAGATCAACTATTCTTGGGTGACACTGCACTCCATCTTCATTGCGGGACTTTCCTACATCTATGCCCTGCGAAATCATCTCCAGCATATTCAAAGCCGGAACCCTGCCAACGTAAACACGCCCAGAGCTACACTGCGAGCAACCCCGACAATCAGCCAGGTTGTCAACGACACCCGGGCCTGCTCAAAAGTGTTGGTGGCGGTGTCCGAGAGATGGGCGATAGCGCGCAACTGCTCGGAAGTATTCGACCGTCTCAGCGATGCCGTCGTCGCTGACATTGTTGAAGCCCAAACTGGACACGGCCCAGTATCAACTGAGCCAGCATATGGCAATCAATCTACTGGCGAGACAAGTCATTTGCCACAATCCGTGGACATGAGTCTCAATGACGCCATGTACGGCCAGGGTCCCAGCCAGAGCTTTATCAACATGACTGTCGACGATACTCTACGAGATTGCTTCGGGGACCTGCAGAATATCTGCTACGACCAGAACCATAGCGATGCTATCGCTCAACTTTCGCAAGATTGGTTATTCGGAATGGGAGAGACTCCGAGTCGCTACTTCTAGCATGGTTAGGTGTCATGAACGAAGGCGTCATTACTTTACTATTCTTACGATCTATCATTACATCTCAAATTCTACCTCGTTGCAAGAATACTCGTGGCACTTCAACGTATCTACTCCGCAGGTACTCAGCAATCCCTTTGCCCAAGCCATCTATCCTATCTGATGATGCGATTCCTCCATTCAAGTTGTCCAGGATGCGGCTAATACAATCATTAGTCAACACTCATACAGCAAGAAAGACACAGCTCTACTCACAAATGCACAGCATTAATACCGGGGAACTCGACTCGTTCGACCCTTCGGTCTGGGTTACTTTTGTACCAGTCGTCGCCCAGCAACTGCTTCAGCCGACTCACGGTCAAGAGGGTCCGTAGCCAGGGATACTCATCTTCGTTGCGAACGAAGAAACCCACGTTTGAGTTGTCGGCCTTGTCGCCAGAACGAGCGTGGACGATACTGCCCAGAGGCGCGAACTCGGTTGGACCCAAAGAGACGATATCAATCGGCTCCACCGTGTCGGCAGACGGTCTTTCGACCTTATATAACGCTGTGTTGTGAGGCGGAGCCACGGAGATCAGCTTGCCTGTGCCCAGGAGCACTTGATGGTCGATTGCTGATTGTGGTATCAGTGCCGGGAACATCTCCATGAACGGCTTCGGATCCATGGTGCGAAAATCTAGCGACATGTGATATCCGGGGTAACTCTGCATTCTTACGGCATAAATGGGAACCTTGAAGTTGAAGGCTGCAATGTCCTCTTTCTTTCGCGCCTGAGCGAATACGCGGAGCTGTACGGTGCCCATCTGCTGAGAGCTAGGGTTCTGCGCCTGTGTGCCGTACTGCTCGATGCTCAGCCTGCTAAAATTACTATCCTTGAACAGGTATCCCAGCTGATTCTTCATCATGGTCACTTTCTCGTCCACGTCAAGCCCGTTGATGTAGAATGTTGCCTCGGCCTGGTAGCCGCCTTCGGCAGCGAACATAACCTTCGTTGTCGCCGGAGGCGCAAGCCCTTTGACACCCCACACCCGAACGCGATCTTCCTCGGAACCTTTTTGCGCCTCGACGCGGACCTTGGAAAAGTCGGCTACCACGTCGGGGTTGAGGTAGAGATGACCCTGCAGCTCGTAAAGCAGCTGGGCCGTGACGGTGTCCCGCGTGACATGGCCCCCGCCCTCGTTAGTCTTGCTGATGACGCATTCGCCGTCGCGAGAAATCTCAGCTACAGGGAACGCGAGATCAATCAGCTCTGGCAGGAAGTCCTTGAAGCCGGAGAAGTTGGCGCCTACGACGTACGGTCCGCATTCGATCAAGTGCGCCGCGAGCAGCGCGCCGGCCAGCTCCTGGTGTTGGTCTTCTCTCCAGCCGTAGTACCACGCCGCGGCGCCCATGACGGGCGAAGCGTCGGTACATCGTCCACAGACTACGATGCGCGCGCCTGCTTTGAGAGCCTCTACGATTCCCCAGCAGCCAATGTATGCGTTGCCACAACATGGCTCAAACCCCCAGTCATCGAGGGTGGTCTCCGGATGATCCAGGTGCGGGAATGTCAAATTCCCTCTCTTCGAAGTGTCTTGAAGTAGCCCAGAGACATCGTCTCCCAAAACTGCGGCAGCCACACTCTCATGATATCCTTTTCTCTTGCACAGTCCTTTGATCTTGTCGAACAACGCAACGGTATTGAGCGCTCCGGCGTTGGTTACGACCCGGACGTCTTTTGTCATGATGTCGTCGATGCATTCTTCGAGCTGCTTGTAGAAGCCGTTCTCGTAGCCGAGGTTCGGGTCAACATCTCGCTTGGTGATGGCGTTCCAGGCGATGTTCATCTCGGAGAGCCAGTCACCCGTGATTACTTGGACGTTGCCGGAGCGCAGCATCCGCGCCATGGCGTGGGGGTGGTCGCCTGTCGCGCCGGAGACATTTCCGATTCTGATGGGAGGTTTATCGATCATGGTTCGAATTTGGATGTGTTGATGAGAGGGAGCTGGGTTGGGGGG